GAGATGTCCTGATAAATTATATTTTAGTGAATATAATTCTCTTTACAGATTCAGTTTAATGACTTTTACTGGTAGAAAATTCTACATGTACTTATGCATAGAATTTGTGGTACAACATCAGTTCACCCAAAACAAGACTTTGTTCTGAGTTCAGTTCAAACAGCCTAAAACTGTTTAATGTGTTATAATCCTATGAATTAGCCAACAGATTATGATATCGCATAGTGTTTACAAGCTGATCTTCAGTTTTCATACATTTGTGCAATATTCTCTACAATACATTCACTCATTTTAATATGGGTAATTTTTCCATATTACTGCACCAACATATTTAATCATCAAAATCTGAACATAAAATAAAAGTTCTGTTTAAACACAAATCTGAAGAGTTTATATTTTTAACTGTGACAACTTTAAATGTGCTACCCAAAGGAATTCACTTCTGATTAAATCCAGATAAAATCACACATGAGTGTAAATATCGTGTCTCCTAAAACAGCAAAACTATTACCACGTTTACACTTTTTATTCACTCGTGACTAAAGTGGTGTCATTTTATTCAAGAGTGACACTTCAAGTGTTTTATGTAAAATAGGTGAGTTCAAAGCAATCAAAACATGCACATACACTGCCACTGTATGCAATGTATGCAAACCACCTCCAATGTTGGCACTGTCAGCACCTTCGTATGAAGTTAATGTTTTGTTACACTTTTGCTCTGTGAACCAATATATGGTAGTTGTTTAATTTTTTATTTTTGTTTTTTAGCAAAACTATATTAAACAAAACCCTGCATACTAAACCTAGAGGAAGTGGTATTTATTTCCTTTCCAGACAAAGGTCATTGACTGGAGTAGTTTTTTTTTTGTTTGTTTTTTTTCCTGGTGTTGTGGTTTCTTTTCATTTAAATTGTGGATAAGCTCTGGTGCACCAAAATACTCACCTCTTGAGAAAATTAGAGAATAAGAGGGAAATGGTGCTTTGTAGTGCTACTGAAAACATTGACAAATCTCACAAAAACATTGTAATCTTGCAGAGCATTGACTAAACCACAATGTTTGCAATGCTTATTAAGAGGTGAGGAAAGGAGGATGACAGGTGGCAGCAGCAACAGTAAAACAAACACTGCAGAATAATAAAAAGCTCATCAGGCTTGTCCTATCTCTTACCTGGATGTCTCGCAGGAGCTGAGTGCAGCGCCCTCTGACATCTTCAAAAGGACACCGTCTGGAGAACATGAGAAGGTGAACCAGGATGTCGTTCAGGTCACTGTTGGGAGAGCTTCCTAGGGCAGGGGTTGCGGCCTTTATGGGTTCGATGGCTTCCACTTTCCTCATGACCTCCTGGCAGATGAACTCCATCGCTTCAGCTCTGGAGGAGGCATCCCGGCTGCCCAGCCCATCCCATCTCCCCAAAGACTCCTGATGCTGCATCTCCATCATTTTATACAGGACTAATGCTTTTGCTGCCTTACAACAGGCTGAAAACAAGATATTAGACGTATTTATATTTATTTGGTTGTTAATTATTAGTATCAATAATATAACTTTTGATTAGTTCTATTAGTCGGTGTAAGCATGAATTTAAAAAAAAAATCAAAGCAAAATATGTTAAACTGAATTTTAAGGAAGAGGTTCTCACTGTACAAAGACCTTTAGTACTACCAGTACCGTGGTATTATGGTATTTAGACAAAAATGTACAACAGGGTCTAATGCTTTTGATGTAAAAAAGAAAAGCAACAATTACTTTTAATTTTACTAAATTAATGCAACATACTTTAAATGAGTTACACTAATGTAGTGGCGCTACATTTCTTCATTATTTCAATGTCACTACGTAAACAAACAGTACAAATCTATGTTAAACACTCAGAAACTTTAATAGCACTTTTCAAACAGAAAAGTGCTATTTTCTGTTTGAAAATAGCAAACAGAAAATTTGCTAAGCTACTTTTTCAATATGTTGTTTAAAGAGTAAAACGAGTGCAAAGGCTGATTTTAGCTGGTTTATTAGTCTGACTATCTGGGGATAGACAGTGCTCCATTACTTTTCACAACATTAACATATTTTGTGACTGGAAATATTTTAAATCAGCCAAATCTGTATTTACAGTAAGCAAGGGAAATGATAGAGGCTGTCTATTTAGCTGGCTGACTGGCAGTGTCCAGCAACAGGTCGAGGAGGGGCAGCACTGTGAACTGTGGCAACTTATTAAAAATAACTGTAAACAGTAGGACCAGCGTATGGGAACCTTTGGTGTACTTCGTATGCATGCCCAAACATGTTAAAACATTTTTGTTCACTGTTAGTATTTCACGTTAACATAGAGTGAGACTCTCCTACTGGCCCGAATTCATTAAAATCGTTTATTAGAATATGTTTATCACCATTTGGTCCATAATAAGAAATCTCGTTCAAAATTCTTCATCGGCCAATTTCAGACGATGTAGATTCCACAACAAAAACATAATAGTACTCACATCTGTCTGTATCATCAATCATGTTGCAAATCAGTGTCATCAGTGTTGTAACTTAAATTTAACAGACAATTTAAAATCAGAATTTGTACAAAACTATGCATTTCATCTATGCATCATTTTTCTAATTTTCGCGTATTTTTCGGGTCCATTCAGCCTGTCTGGGAGCCTCTACCATTATGACAGTGTTTTCAAGCTGACCGTTAACAAAAACAATCAGTAAAGTACAACAAAAACTGCGGTGAGGTAAAATACCCCATGTACTAAACCATCACCGAGAGTCAAAAAGAAATAGTGTCAATAACAAATACTCACTTTGTGTACATTCTTCGGTGCAGTTTTACCGCTACTTTACGGCTTGCCAGTCAGCACTGACCAGACTCCCAGGGCAGAAACGATAAGAGGTAGCAACTTCAAGGGGAGGAGCGCCTGGGCTGACAATTTGACAGGCGGAAGATTTCAACCAATCAACGTACGTATACAACACTCAAGGGCGTTACCTTTACAATCTTAGAAGATGATTGGTTAGTGTGAAATCACTTTGTCAGTTGGGAAAGGGGCTAAGGGAGATGAAGTTTCTTCTATTGTTACTTCTATTAGCCAGGCCCTTTTATAAACTACATATCCCATCATGCATTTTACTAAGAACAGCTACCACCATAGACACCACCCCCCTTGTCTGTTGTTTATCAAGAAATTACAGGCAGCAAGAAAAACAGAGGGGAGAGGAAAGAAAGGTGGCGATGTTATACATTTCCCCTCAAGTTGTTTTCTGTTTAACATCAATGATATTTTAAAAGCGTATCTCCAAAAAGTTAGTAAATAGAGATAACTTCAAATAGTCAGTTTGACATTAAAATTTTGTAATAATAATTTGTAGAAAATGTATCATATAATTAATTACGCGGCCGAACGAACGCTATTTAGAAAATATTTTGCTGTGTTGACAGCATAACTTAATTGGTCATCAAAAGACTAAAAAAAACTAAAGTTAGACAAACTAAAATCCAGACATTATTGCATGTAATTTTTCAATGCATCTTATTTTACCATTAGTGGAGTATAAAAAGCAAATTACTGGTTCAGTTAACAGTCATTATATTTTATATAAAACTATACAATTTGGTGTCTTACAAACACTTTTATTAAGATTTTAAAGCAAATGTGTTTCTAAGTGTTACTCTATTCTTTCTAGAACCTAATACACAACTGGGTATGAGGATAAAAGTATTTCATCTTTGCACTTCTAATCTTTTTGTCTATATCATTTGAAATATAATCTAGACCTTTTTCCGGGTTTGAAAGCGAATGTGGGGTTGGAGAGTCTGCTTTCGAGAGGGCAAAGAAACGGCAGTTTGTCCTCAGAAAGCTAGCCAGGCTGAAGATGCTACTGCGGACCATGACTACACGGCACATCCACCCGCAGGTAATATAATATATTGTATATATTTTCCATGTAAGAGAATTTCAGTAAAATATAGCTGTTGCAATAATAATGTTATTATTATGATCACATAATAATTATGTGGTTATGTATTTTGTGGAGAGATTAAGTCAATGGCTGAATACATACATGCTCCGACTAACATGTATTGATCTTCACAGAAGTAATGTTTCAAATATACATTTAAAACTTATTGGAGTTGCTCCCAGTGGGTTGGTGACATTTATTTCAGCGTTGTACACAGGCTGCATCTCCGACAAAGAAATAACGAAGGTCAGTGGAATCCTTCCTCTGCTTGAGCTGGGAGATGAAGTCATAGCTGATAAAGGCTTCCTCATTCAAGACCTCCTTCATGAAGTTGGAGCCAAACTCATCATTCCACCATTTAGGCATCCTGGTCAGTTCAGCAAGGAAGAGACAGAGGAGACCCAGACCATTGCTCGGATCATTGTAGAGCGAGCAATCGCTAGAGTAAAGTGCAACCACATCTGGGATTCCCCGGTGCCTCTCATTTTAATAGGAACTGTCAATCAAATCTGGCACAACTGTTGTGTTTTGGCAAATTATCAAGCCCCATGTTGTGTTGCAGACTAAATTGTTTCTGTATGTTAATTGTTGTAATGCTATGTAAAAAGTCAAATGTCGAGACTGTTGCAAAAAAATATTCAGTTAAAACACACTTTAGCACTTGACTTTCTTTTTGTATTAAGTTGAATGGCAAGGAAAACAAATCAAGTACAATTTACAATATCTAGTAAAAACAACAAAATCCATAACTATTTCATATTTTATAATTGTACACCATACATTGATTTAACAAAATACTTAAGACAACCTCAAGGAGAAAAATTTTAAAACATCAGTTTCAAGACAACTGCACTTAAGAAAACACATTTTTGTAAATTATCCAACTGCCTTTTAAAGACATTTGCACATTTCTGTATGTTTCATGAGTAACAACTATTTACAGTGATTCACACAACTTGAAATTGGATATTTGAAATGCAAAGGAACAAAAGGGTTAGTTACACATTTTATAATTCTTATTGAATTGACATGAACACATCAATGGTGTTGAAGTAAAATAAGCCCAGTTTAGATTTCATTTGATCAATGAAAGCCTCGTCACGCCACACCCGCTCAACAGTTGTTGTTAGCTTGTCTAACAAAGTCGCACCATTCCAATCCGCTGACTGCCAGCTGACCCTGTACCTGCCAGTAGTAGGCGTGTGAAGGCCTCAAAACTGAGTGGTCATCCTGGACCTTGAGGTGAGCAACCTGAGATGCATCTTTCTTCATGCTGCTTTTTACCTCAACCAGTCCAAACGGGGGTGATTCTGACGGGTTGTTCACCTTACCATCTGGAGTTGCACCAAGATATGATGTGTCAGGGTGAACAATGAATCACACTGGAAGCATGTTGACCCTCAACATCTCAGCATAGTTTGCCAGCACCTCAGACTCTACCTGCAGACCACGCTTCATGGCGGCAGTTTGTCTAGTGGAACCCCTAATCATCCGAGATGCCAGTGCTGTGGCAGAAGACTCCTCCTCTGCACTTCCTCTGCAAGCATCACGGAAACGGCTAGCAGTAAGTCTTGGTTGTCGAAGATGTACCCATGCAGGACATCTGGACTGGTCTCTCGTTCTGTCTTCTATTTCATAAGACATTTCCAGTGACACTTGCAGAGAATGAAGATGCATAAGTTGACCAAGTGTGGGCACAAAGCACATATTTGGAAGACTATGCAGCATCAAAGGAAGAGAAGGGAAGTCTGGAGCCATGTGGTGCAGAATGATGCTACCAGAGGATTTTTCAGGTGGGCACTGATAAGTCATTGGTGAGCCCTGTGGCACAGGCCCAAATTTGGATGGAACCAGCTCCAAATGTGAAAGACCATCTAGGACAAGAGCAATAAGTGGTTGGGACTCCAGCTGGCGTAGTTTTTCTCCTGATGCCAGAATGTCGGGATCTGGAAGTGTCCTACAAACATCAGTGATATAATCATAATAAATTATGAAACATACGTGTAAAAACAAACCAAACGTTATACCTGTGTAAGCTCTGTAAAGTGTGGAGTGCAGATATCTTTTCCCCATAGTTTTGGGCTTCCGCACCACCATGTTGCTGGCAGGTTCAGGATGTATCTCCTTACAAGAAATACACAGAAAGATGTCGAACTAAAGGACAAATAAATGGATGAGTGAGCAATTTGTTAGGACATAATGGGACTGATTTGGCACAGTTTAGATTTTTACCCAACTTGCAAATAAATTAATTGATAGCAGTTGAGCCTGTTTTTTTTTTCATTGCCTACAAAAAAGAAATATTCCAAACAAACTGAGAGAAATTATATTTGACAAGTAATATTGAGATTACAACAAATTTTATATGGTGATTATAAAATACAGGTGGGAAAGGAACATAAATGGCAGTGCGAGGAATCAAAGGAGGAATAAATTGTGTACATAACTATACTACTGTTATTTTAAGATCATATGTGTATGAGCGATACATTGCAAATTATATATGCAATGTATATAATTTAGTATATCTAGTATATTTATATATAACATCCCATAGGACAATGTGTTCCACTCTTTTTCTTACCTGTGTTCTTGGTTTGTGCCATCTTTGTAAATCACTTGTGCAGGAGGAACAGTTGGCAGCTGGAGTTGGGAGTAGTGTGCAGTCTGCTAAAGAAGTGCAACTACATGATTTCAAAAACCTTTACCAGCTGCACAGCTACAGGAATAATCCAGTAATTCAGCCTTTTCTTTTCCAACACCCAGTGATATCTAAAATAGACAACTGTTTTAGTAACACATATGTACATCAATACATATAGCATGTTTAGCTTTAAACAATAAATTCTAGTTTGAAGGTAAGCTTCAACAACAGCAGAAAAAACACAGACTGTGTTGCAACCGCAACAAAAACAGAAAACAAATAGTCTTAACAAATAGAACTTGTATCCTTTCACACGTTTGTTGGTGGATGAATTAGCCGCTGCGATTTCCTCCGCATCAGCGAAAGAAAGGGCTGGCAAATTAAGTAAGGACGATGAAAAGGACCGGAGGAGGAGAGCCATTTTCAGAGTACTTGAATTACAGTCACCAAAACAGGAAGTGCCGCAGCCCTTTCAGATACAGCTTCCGGTTGCCGTGAAAAAGGTCTATTAGATTAATATTATTAATAATATTATTTGAAGTCTTGTTCCAGATTCTCACCTGGATCTGGGCGTCATTCTAACATATGTGTTGGTCAAATTTCAGTGCTTCACATTATGTAATAGTATATTCCAACCTCTAGAGAGTTTTTCCTACATAGCTGCTATGTTTTTAGTTCCATCCCTTTTCATAACTTCTGTCTACACTGGACAAAAATATAGCATGTGTCCCCATGGTGAGACTTTGCTTTGGATCATGATTTTAGGAACCAGTTATTGTGATTATTTATTTATTTATTTGGTTGTTTAGAGTTTTATAAAACATTTATTACTTTAAAAAAACGTATTGTGGCTGTGTTTGCCCGAAAGATCTAGTACGTCTAGAATTGTCCACGAAATAGGAACTATAGCCAACGGAACAACTTATGGAGGGAAATTTAAAAAGGGCGGACTGCTCGTCTGTTGTTGACAACTATTAAAGAAAGACGTAAAATTTGAGAGAGAAGGCATAGGGCGCTACTTGACGAAATTTATTTTCGTCGTTACAACATGGAAACGCATTACGACGAGGTAACGTTACAAAAATAACCGTTAGGCGTAAATGTGGTTAGCTAGCGTTAGCTTGAATCTGTTTACTATTTGGAAGAAATGGTCAGCTCTGTGTGTTTTGGGTCGTTTATCTCGATCGCTTCTTAGTTTAAGCAGTTCTGGTATGCGCTTTGTAAGAGGTTTATTTTGTTTTGTGAGTTTAAAAATATGTTTGCTTGCAAACGGAAGCAGATCATCTTTACGTAGTTCAAAAAAGACATATAACATTATCATTTTTCTTAGATCTGGTTGGAAGGCAAGAAAAAAAATGTTTATTGTTTTTGTCCCTGAGGTGAATAACTTATAAATATGTAAAGAGTTCCGCTTTTGATCAATGAGATATAATGTCCTGCAGCAAGCTAACCATATTTCCATTGCAGTCACATAAAATTGCAGTAAAATGTTGATTGTCAAAATGAATCAAATTTCTACTTACTTAATTGAGGAGTCAAATCTAAAGCTTCTAGTCTCTTTATTTTCTAAAGCTGGAAAGTTGTTTAAAGTAATTGATCTGTAGCATCAAATATAGCTGTAGGTTATTTTTTCTTTGGATCAAATTGATGCAAAAACATTCACCAAGTAGTCTTGGTGAAAAGTACGATATGACAAAGAGATGACCTGAGGATCTCCTGTCCTCATTTGGCTATGGGAATGTTTTGAATGATTTTTTTTTTTTATCTTATGGACCACAAAATATGATTCTGCCTTTTTTAATAAGTGAAGACCCTGTTGTGTTCAGATTTTAGACACACCTTCCAAAAACAGCTACATTGGGAGCTACTACCGGCCTCCAGACAGAATTTCATTAGTACCAAAACATTTGGCGTCTCCTCTTGTTTCACCTCTCAACATGGACCAGACCACCAACAGTCTGTCTCAGACCACACATAATATAGACAACAAAGGTAAGGCACAACATTTTGTTTTCAACTACACAACAGTGTTTTATTTTGCTTGTCTGTTTTCTTTCTCTTCCGCTCTCAGCCGTTGTAGAGGCACTGAAGACCCTCCAGGAAAAAATCAGGAGGCTGGAACTGGAGCGGAGACAATCGGAGAGGAATTACACTCAGTTCCTTCAGAATGCTCGTAAGCATCAGCAGGACTTCACATCACAGAGTCGGACTGAAGTCACCCTGCCTGGGACAGAGGTGGACCAGAAGCTGCAGTCTGCAGAAGCCCGCTGCAAAGTTCTTGAGAAGCAACTGGAATACATGAAGAAAATGGTTGCAAATGTCAAGAAGGAGAGAAACGTTCTGATGGAAAATGAGGTAAAATGTTAACCATTCAAAAGACCAGATATGTAAAAACAGCTTGATGACTGAATAAATGTTCAAGGTTCATTTTTAGGAAACTTTGATTTGTAGTGATATGATTTCATTTTTGGTATTCTTGTTTTGTTTATTTTTACTGTAGGCTTCACTGCAGAAGCAACAGCTGAGCAGCCCAAACAACCAATATCAGCAGGAGAAGCTGGAGAAACTCGAATCCCAGTATCTCAAATTAAGTAAAACCCAGGCACTCGCAGAGGTAAAATATTTTCTATTTTATAATAAAGTCAGCGTCGTCCGGCCCTGTACTTTCTAGTTTTCTAATCAACTAACACTGATTCTTTTCTGATTCCACTCAGATGTAATGATTCTGAGTCACTACATTAGCTAAAGTGGCCCAATATGTGGGGTCATGAACAATTATAAAAGGAACATTGAAGCAGTCGCAACATAAAATGCTAATTTTATGTAATCTGTAGGTCAAATACCAAAAAATTTTAATGTTTTTTCCATATTCATTAACTCCCACTCCTTTCTTTCTTTAATACCCTTTACCAGGAGCACCCCTCTTTTAATTGCTAAAAATGTGATAATTTAGGGAAATGTCCATTGATGCACAAATCATTCTATTGATTTCTAAACTACTTTGTCTAAACTCATCCAATAATATAACCGATATTACACACTATACTCTATAGGTCAAACTACTCCAAACATGTTGTGGCAAGTAATGCTAAAATACCATTAACCTTAAATTATTATTTAAAGATAAAAACCATAAAAGGCTGAGCTTAAGTTATTGTTATGATTGTGTGTTTACTTTCAGATAAAGCTTTCCATCCTGGAGCAGAAGCTGCTGAATGAAGAGCATGAACGTAAACTTGTGCAGGAGAAAGCAGATGAGGTCAGTTAGCCTCTTCAAATAAACTTCATGGAAGTGATTTTCAGATTCTGTTTCTCCACAGTCAGTAGTTGTTTTGTTGTTGTTTTTGTCCATGGTTTCTCTACTTGCTCAGTTTTGCAATGTTTAAGAACAAACTGTGCATGCACGGATTTGGCTAACATCATTTTCTGAATCACCTTAAATAGATTCATCTTCAGAAAGGAGAAAAAACATGAGACTGTTGTGAAGTGATCCTTCTAAATGTCCAGAGTCTTTTTATGAGCTGACTTTCAGAGTTGAGCTCAAGCAGCCATTATAGGAATTGAGTTTTCATGTACTTCTGTGTTGACTTCATTCTTCAGTCTTAGTTTAAATATGATGTTGAACAACAGCTGGCAAGTCTCCGTTGTATTTTTTGTTTTAGTCATTAGCCGATTTATGTTTTTCATACCACAGCTGCAGAGGGAGTTGGATGTAAACCTTCGATTGTCTGCTCCACCTACTGAAGAAACGAGGCCGAAGAAGAAAACCAAAAAGACAAACAAGGTGTAATAAACTGCTGGTTTGCACATTATCCGAAAAATGTATAAATCACAGAGTTAAATAATCTACCTTCTTTTCAGAAAACACCGAAACAGAATGAGCTGGCAGTAAACAGCCTGAGGCACAAAAAGGTGCCTTTTGTGATAGGAACAGTAAGTTGCCTCATGTTGTGCATAGATTTTTTTCTCTCATGACTTACTTAGTTTTAATTTCGGTTTGCTGTTACCGGTCATAGTCGACAAGCCCAAGCCATTCAGTGCATGCCAACGTTCAGAGCATCCTCCACATGATGAAGCACCACCAGCCTCACCTGTGTGAGCGAGTGAGCGCCCTGCAGAGGTTTGGATGCAGCGTCAAGAAAAACCTTCACACAGACTTCTCTATTAGCATCTCAAAGCCTGACAGTCCACCTGCAGATCAGTCACTGACTTCACTGTCCGACCTGCTGGTGGCCTTGCAGGATGAGCTCGGACAGATGAGCTTGTGAGTAATTATTTTATTTTGGGGGTTACTTTTAGGTGTGTGTGTGTGTGTTTTTTTTTTTTTTTATGTCTTTTGAAAATCTTTTGGTCAGTGACTACCAGGAATTAGTGGGTCAGATAGAAGCAACTGAAGAACAGGAGCAGCGAGAGGACCTGCAGGGAGAACTGGAAAGACTCACTGTCAAGATGGAGGAGAAGGGAGCCCAAATCACCAAACTCCGCAAACATCAGCAGATGGTACTTGACTTAAAAAGTTTAAATCATTATGGCAGATTTGCTCTTAATTCAATTAATTGGTTATTTATTGATCTTTCCCCATAGCAAGCATTAAAAAAAACAACTTTTGCACCGTATTTTCATAATTTGTGCAACATATTTATTTTCTTATCAAATATTCAGAATGTTGTAAAACCTAGAAGTGTTACATTCTGTAATGTAAAGTTATCTTGAATTCTGGAAAGAAGTTTATGTTTTCTCTTTTGCAGGTCCATAAGCTGTCCCGGCAACGTTCGGAGGAACGGATGGTCAGGAAGACGTCTGGGATCAAGCTGCCTATTCCGTCGCCTGTTCAAGACAAACAGAAAGCGAGAAGAAAAGGCGTTGTGGGTCAGAACAACCTGCAGCTCCTCAGAGAGACCAAGAAGTTCAGAAACGGCCTAAAGGAAGACGATCTGTCCTGGGAAACATGAGTGTCTTTCTTTGTCTTGTTTTTGATACTGCAGCTTAGTGGAAGTCAGAGCTTTCTTCTTGTTTCTGTCAGAGACTTGTATATGTAACGATTACAGATACAAGCGTGATTCCAGTTTACGCCGGACTCAATGGATTATTATAACACCAACAGTCTGCAGTGCTGAACGTCTCTCACCTCCAATAGAAATGAATTGGATTATGTTTTAATGATCACTATATTTTAATAAAGCTTATTTATGAATAGCTTGAAATGATTTGTTCATTTTTTAAATGCTCACTTTAACTTTTTTTTTCAGAATTTTATAGCAGCCACCACTAGATGGCAGTCATGCAGGACAAATTTGAAGATTTGTTTTTTTTTTTTTACTTTAAAATCATGCCCTTGCATGATATAATACAGAAATTGTTCTGTGCAGTTTTATTTAACAGTGAAAAACTTTAAAATATTTTGGTAATCAGGGAACTGTGACCACAGTTTTTTTAATTTAAACAGGAAGAATTGGTTTTTAACCTATTTTTTTTTTTTTTACTTTGAATGTGAAAAAGGCAGCAGCTCCTGGTTTTATGCTGGCCAATAATTTTTTTTTTCCCTCACATTTTCGACAGCTTTACATTCATCTAGACTGGTCAGTCGCCATTTATGGACAGAAGAACTGCATGTTCAACTCCCTGATAACATTTCCAGATTTATCTCCTTGTTTAATGTGTCATCAGCTTTACAGTTTGATGCTGCTATCACTCTACTGCAAGGAAAGGAAAGGCTCAGGGATTTCTGCTTGTTGTTGTGCCGCTGACATTTACTGGTCCTGGTATTCTTGGCTTGATTAGGAGTTGATTGCATGACCAATTGAGAGTGAATGTAATCCATTGTTTTTCTATATTGGATTACAGAGCGTGGCTGGAAACAACAATCAGGTTAGTGGAGTCGAGATCCCTCCTTGCCCTCGTATCCAGTGACCATTTTACTCCTGACCACGCAACTTTGATACCTTCTGACTGAACTTCCAAGTTTTTGTCTGAATGGCAGCAGTGTGTTTTGACAAAACAAAAATCCACAGCATTTCGCTGACAGTATTTTTTCAGTACTAACAGGAGCAAATCAGTCTTAAAATGATATAACTCAAGGGAGATTTTAAATAAAGTTGGAACATCTGTCCACAGTTTAATTTTCTAAGAATTTTATAGAAAGAAAAACTTGCTGGAGATGTCAAGAGAGGAATAAGAGCTCTACTGAGGACCAAATATAAAATCACATTTTCTTTAAGAGACACATGAAGGACAAGAGCATCAGCAAAAGGAAAACAGGCTGGAGGACAAGATGTTCTATAAAGAGCAGCTGAGGTAAGATGCTGCACACACATCCTCTCTACTGTTTCCATCAGTGGTAAGTTTTTGCTACATAAGCAGAACTTTGCCGGGTCACAGAAAGTCCTATTTGTAGATGCTTCAAATTTTATTCAACTGGTTTTTGTGGATTTTGAAGTTTTCTATCTAGTTTGAGGGTGGTAAGCTTTGCACTTTGTAGCTTTTCAAAATCCCCTAAACTCAGTTTTTCTAAAAATTATAATGCATAGGGTTACTTAAAGAGGATTTTTAATAACCAAAGGTTGTTTTGACCATGTTAAACTTGGGGAGGGCCGTTGACATTAAGTCAGTCACCATCAGGTCATTACCGTCATGTACAGCACAGGTGTCAAACTCCAGTCCTCAAGGGCTGCTGTCCTGCATCTTTTAGATGTGCCTCTGCTGCACCACACCTGAATAGAATAGTAAGGTAACTAACAAGGTTCTGGAGAACTTATCTACACAATGAGGAAAATTAAGCCATTTCATTCCCGTGTTTTGTATCTGTGGCACATGCAAAAACTACAAGACAGTGGCCAATGAGGACTGGAGTCTTAAACCAGTGCTCTACAGGGATAAGTCACAAAATAAGCTGACTTTCCACTGTGCTTTATTATATTATATTATAATTTATATTATATTATATTACATTATAATTACATATAATAATTACATATATAATTGATATAATTACATTATATTAGTGGGAGGAAAAAGTGTAGAAGAAAAATGCAGAAACTGTAACTGGGGAAGTTTTTCTTTCAGCCCATTCAGCAATGTATGGGAGAAGATTTAGGAAGTTTGGTCTGCAGGTGCAGTGCACTCCCATGCATCTAAGACAACACACTAACTGGATAATGTCACTCCTAAACCGCAGAAAATGTTAGTTAGAAGGACATTTATTTCATCAAGGATAAAAATAACTGCACTCATCTGAGGTTAATCTACTGATTTATTAAGTGAAGAGTCACATCGGCTATACTGAGAAAGTGTAGAATATTTCATAATGGAGGGGGAAAAGAGGGATATTTCTTTTGCCAAAAAGTTATTGATGATTCCAAAAATTCTTTTTCCACAAATATTAATATTTTGTAACAGCAGTTCCAAGAACCAATATACAGTCAAACAGTGTTGAAAAGTGTGAAAATCCTGAAGAAGAAAGTTTATTTATGAAAACAACAAATGAAGCTTTTGGGATGGCCTACTCAAAGTCTGGACTTAAAGCTGATCAAGATGCAGTGGTTTGACCTGAAAAAAACAAACAACAAAAAAAAAAAAAAAACACAAGCAATTGTTCAGGCTCAAAACTCATTCAATTTGGCTAAATTAAAAATTCTGAAAAACAAATAGAACCAAAGTTCTTCCAGAGGTGTTAAAGACAAGTTACCACAAACTTGTGTTAAATGTTTACTTGGATGGCTTCTTTCAGCTCAAATCATTTGAAATCTGCATCGTCTTGCTCGGGTTCTGTTTCCGACATGCAAATGTGTTTGTTGATCTAAAACAAGCAACAAAACGCAGGATGCAAACAACTTTTCCACAGTGCAGAATATTGTAGACTTACTTCCTCTGCTCCCAGCAGATCTGTTGGGTCAGTATTAAGTTAAACTAAAGACAAAGAATCAGTAGAACTTGATACGACACCTTTCATCATCAGGGCAGCTGTAACCACAACAATGACTGTATCCTTATCCCACTTAGGTAAACTACACACACACATACACACACAGGTATCATATGAAGAGTAAACGCAAAGATTTGTTTAACGATATTCACACTTTATTGGTTTAACATTGTAAAACTAAAGGCAACACCAGAAAACAAGGCCAACAAAAACAAAACAAAACGAAAAAAAAAACATTTGAGAGGCATCAGAGGCACAAAAAATGTTGGGTGGCACAAAAAGAAGCAAAGACCATTCAAGGGGAGGCATTGTGGCACCGTTCAGTGTTTACATATGGCTATATACGTTTCTGTGTTAGAGTGGTGAGAGAGAAAAGCCAGAAGTCGTACCAACAAGACAAATGGACAGTGAAAGACAGCACTAAAGTGTGTATGCAATTAGCAATAAAGCGACAAGGCAAAGAAGGCCAACACTGCCTGGTTGAAAACTGAATTGTGATACAATTAATCTTAATGTTGCACTTTAAAATCCTTCACAACAGAAAACATCAGCAGGTTACAACTGAAGAGGAGTTCAAGTCATTGTGTAAAAGGGGGAGGGTATGTTGAAATAGAGAACACCAGGCCTGTCTGTGGTTACTTCACCAGTGTGTTTGATCATAAATAGCTGCCGAGAAGCTGTTCAGGCTACAACCAGCCTGCTTCAGCTGACATGTATGATTTACTTGATGTTTTTCATCTCGACAAAAGCAGCATTTAATTTTACACCCAAACAGAAAGTAGCCTACGCGTGTTGCCTGAACAGCTTGTCACTTTGCAACAGCTCTGTGGACTCGATCGAAAAGATTAAGGCCGGGAGCAACAAACGTACGCAGAACACAGGAAAGCACTTTACAGGAGCCTTAAAGTGACGAGTCGGGCTGACGTTTAGTCACCGTGACAACTCGTTTCACAACAGATGGAAATGGATGATAAACGAATAAGGCACTTTTGCTCGAGACGCGGCACATTGGGACGTCGACGTGCCGTTCGCAGAAAGCGTAACGTGCTCAGCGGCACTAAATATTTCTAAATATTTCTCTTCACTTGTGCAAATGGACTCGACATGCAGCAGAGAGGGAAACCGAAGCGGTGCAGCAGCGCTGGAATGTTGCCGGCTCGTGACCTTAATGCACAAGAGACCATGCAACCTCAAAAGATACAAGCCAAAACAAACATCTGCATTCATTAATTGCTTTGTGGTCATAATCTGAATATTTAAAACAAGCCTCTGATTGTATTTGTGAGATAAACCTGAAACCGTTTACCAAATAAGAAGAAGGGGAAAAAAAGGATTACAAAACATGCCAAAAACTGAGGCTTTGGCTTCATGTACGTGGTTTCAAGGCATCCTTCCATTCGCATATGAACTTGTCACAAATAAGTGGTTTTTGAATGTGTCTAAGGTACTAGTTGCATATGCAATGAAAACAGCTTCGAGCATGCACTAACTGTAGGGAAGAAAGCCATTTATACAAAATTAGTGGACACACTAATTTTCCTTCAGCAGGACAGAAACAGGATGTGGCTGTTTACAGATTAGGCAAAAGCTGAGAAATTCAGAAAAAAAAGTTAGCAGCCAGCTAATAAGATGAGGCTCCAATATGGCCACTTGGCTGATATTCTGAATTTACACTCCAAATCAATTAAATAGAAGTGAAATCCTTAACGCCAGTCTCTTCTAGACATTTACTTTGAAAGATAAAGTCCAACAGTTTCACAATCTTTTAGTATAAAGTACACCATCATGCTTGTCGCCGATATCAAAATATTTTCCTGCCAGCTCACTCAGATTTGAACCATGATGTAGCAAAGTAGAAGGAAACTCTATTTAAATTATTCACTCCAAAAGTCTGTGGTAGCGTGATTGCGCGCACAGTCGTCCTGCCGCGTTTGGTCTTTCTGCTGCACCTACAAACCGAATGATGGCCTTTGAGGACAAAAAAAATCCTGTTTTCTTCAACAATAAAAGGCTCTTCAGTCCAGCTGTGACACTATACCTCTAAGCAATATCAGCGCAGCGATACTGTTACTTCTCACAATACGGAAACAAAAAGAGAAAACAGAAAAATACAAACCCATTCCTTGCTTTAACTCACACTGGACATCAAAGGCACTTCACTGTCCACATCAAGAAAGGTGCACACCACACCTCATCCTCTTCTGCACAATAAAACTAAATAATCTGAAAATATTCTAAAATAATTCACTTTGACCCGGTTTAAATACCAAAGCTAACGACAAGGACCTGCTCCACACGAATCACCTGCAAGATTTAACGATCAGAAAATGAAAAGATCTGGGAGATTTGTGGTTCTGAAATTAGCTCTATGCATTATTTATTGCGGTGGGCTGCTCTTCAGGCAGTTGGCGTTTGACATTTTTAAACATCTTGTATTGGGAGAGAGGTTTCCAAGGGGGAGCGGTGGGAACCAAACAGCAGAAACACCCGACACTCAAATAAGACTTATTTTATCTCCTGTTTGACGTCAGATGATTAATTGTCGCTTTTATTCCTGACGGATCAGATGTGGAGAGACAAAATAAACATTTCACAAGCTAAGAGCAATCCTTAATTATCTGTTGTCACATTTAACACGAGCTCAAACAGTGTTTCCAAATCAAGTTAAAAAAATAATGTAGATATTCAAGCCTCAGCAGGAAAAAGCTACTCTGTATACATGGCTAATTGTCTTTCTCTCGTGTGGTGCATTTAATTGGGGAAGGCATAAGAAGAGGGGCTGTAAATAACTCAAGCCCACTCAATTCGCTGGAAAATGCTCCATGGAGGATGACTAACAACACGATGAAGGTGGGGGTAGCTGCTTGATTATGTAATCTACATGCTTGAGCACGTTGGAGGAGATTCACTTTGAAATGAAACATTCAGTCATGCAGGTCTAAAAATTAAAGAAAAACAAATAGCAGAAAAAAAAAGAAAACCGCATGGAAACGCTGTTTGAGTCCACCTCTCTGAGTGTGTGCTGAGGGGTCGAAATCGGTGAGGACGGCTTGGATCCTAAAGTGCGGCCACTTCAGAGAGTGTGGTAGTTACGGTCTTTGGATTTGCAGAACTTGTAGAGGAAGAAGATAACGGCCTGAAGGCCCAGGACGAGCACTATTCCACCGATGAAGCTCGCGGCATCAAATGTCGAGTTCTTATGAGGGGCGATCGTTGTGGTATTCGGTGCTTTAAAAAAGAAAAAAGAAAATGTGATGTTTAGAAAAAATTTATAATTTTAATGGAGCTCCATTTAGTTTGATTTCCTTAAGTTTTAGCTTCAAGAAGTCAAAAATCTTCCAAAATAATTTTTTGGAGTTTTTCTTTTAGGCATTTGGTCTTTCGTTCTTTTTTATTCCAGATTTCATGATGGACCCAGTGAGATCTCATTATGGCACTGAGGAAGAAAACACTACTACAGATATTCAGATGGCTTCAGATATTTTATACATGACAAATTTATTTTACAGAAACTTAAAACATGCTGTCGCACGAGGTTGGACTAGATCAAGTTTGTAACGTTACATCTTTGCCAAAGTTACATTTAAGGCAAGTTCTTAAATTAGGCCAAAATATTTCTTCTAAATGGAAGAAATATGAATGTTTTGGAGTTTCCAGCAAGAATCCTGACTCGAATCTAATAAAGAACCAATGAAGGGAGTTAAAAATTAGGGGAATGGCAAAAACCTCAAAGATTGACCTCAATGTCAAAGATAAATTTTTGAAACACATGTAGAAATCCCTGTTTTCAATAAACATTCAATAAATTATAATACAAGTCTAGATGAGTCTTCTCAAATTAAAAGTAGCCTCTGAAAATAACAAATTTCTTTGCTTTTAAATACCTATGCAATATATTTCCACTTAATGAAAAACTTCTGAAAAATTGGATTTTCAGTAATATTCTAATTTATTGAATGGGTCTACTATATGCAATAGAGGTTGAATTTCTGCAACGCTACAGATTTAATTCCTAAGAAAGGTTTGAATTAAACTAAAATACTTCATCTGACTCAGTGGTGTAGAAAAGAAAGATCAATGAAGTCAATTACGGTCAACTGTAGCCAAACTAACATTATTAATATTTTTTTTCTGCCATTATGCATCCCTTTTAATATTATATTTTCTCAATGTTCAACTCTAATTTCCACTCACTGTGGTTCTGATTCACTCTTTGGGCCTGTCAACTTTTATTAAATATGAAATTATGGCCCCTGATCAAACTAAAGTAAGAATGAGTCACTTCCTATAATTTATAGGAGTCACATAACCTCATAGCTTTACAAGTTGACTGAGTAGATTAAAAAAAATGCTGTAAATCAAGAGGCAGGATGAAACACCCCAGGTGGGTAAGGAAAAAACAAAATCCAGAAGCAGATTATTGTGCAAGATGTTGATGGAGCTAAAACTATGTTACTCTTTAACTTGTTGAAAAGCTTTATTGATAAGTACCAAATGACACCTCTGTGCCAAGCAAAGTAGCAAAATGTCTAAAAAATGTTTAAATATTTCAGAATTATCTCAGCAAACTTGAAATATTGCTCGGGACACTTCTTGGAAAATAAAAAAGGAAATAAATTAGAAACCCTTCTGTAAGATAAAGTGAGCTACAAGACCACTACGAGGCCTGCTATTGTAAATGTCAGACCTACCCAAGGTGGAGGCTGGAGTTGTAGTGGTGGAGCTGTTGCCACGATGAGTCGGCGTTACGGTTGCAGTCGTTGAATTCACTGAAACAGGGTCACAGCAAGAACAAACCCTTAACAAATATAAATTCTTGCAAACTTTGAACACATAACCTATATATTTGTATCACTTTGCAGCCCTATCAAACATTTATTCAAGGTAAAAATCGACAACAGTTACTCTCTGCCTCGCAGGATTCATAGTTTCACTCACAAATGGCAGAGAAACGGCAGAGAAGAGTGAATGTTAAACTGTTGAAGAGCTAAAGGTGTCAAGCATGTGCTTCACACCTTGCTCTCCTGTTAAGAGTTACTTCTGGCTTCCACCTCACAGCAAAAGCTCCCTCATGTTTCTTTGAATTACAGTTTCCAGAATAAAGCAGGCTTGTTCACTTTAACTTAGACATATTTAAAAATGAGGGCAATCAAATGAAGAATTTGACATTTAACGACGGATTATTAGTATCCACTTAACAAAAGCAACATTCTGCTACTATTCTGCTTCCACCCTAATATCAATCTGTAAGACCAAGAAAGATGTCTGTAGTGATAGTTTTAACAAATATGTAAAATAAATAAACACTTTTATAAAAGTTGCACATTGCAGCTTTACATATGTACATTTCTCCAAAACATACAATAGAAAACTGCTGTTTACAAATGCTAACTGCATACATGTCATAGTCTTTGAAATAACAGTAAAACCCTATTTCACAGCTACTTTTGAAATGCAGCCCAGTAATGGCACTGTTTTAAAGCTAGCTAAAATTATTTTTAGTGTTCTTATAACATTTTATATTTAAGAGAAATCACAAATTGACAAAAACTGGCATCCCAGATCAAAACATTATACAAAACCATTTTAAATCCAACTTAAACCGGTTAACTAAATAAAAATAAATCACCACTCAAGTACTCAGATGACATTATTGCACATCTTTTTATTGGATGTGGGTCTTACCACCTTAAGCCAGATAAAATACTTCTGACACAAAGTTTATGAAAACACAAAAAACAGAAAACACCTGTTAATAAAACCAGACTCTACAGACTAGATAGAGCTCAGGTATTAGGCAGTGATTACCTGTTGTAGAGGTGGTGGGGGCAACAGATGAATGTTTGGTAGTAGGTGAAACCGGGACTGTAGGAAGAGCAGCTGGACAAGGAACCAACACCAGCACACAACATACAAAGGAAAGCCAGACAAAACACCCAAACATCTGGATTATAGACAACAAATAAGAGGAAAACACCCAAATAGCACTGACTGATCATTAATTATTTTAGTAAGACAATAATTAGACCCATCCAGAATCTACAGATAAATAAAAGTCTTATCATGAAGAAATACATCATATGTAAAACGATATGTGTCTGCTGATTCTCTAGGGTCTAAAATGTTACGTTAATGCCAGAAGAATATAACTGCTATTCATTTAGTGCTGATTTGAAGTCAAACTTACTTGTACAGGTTGCGTTGCTGCAGGTTCCGTTTTGCACAAAGATTGGGACAACACAGGAAAAATTCCCTGAAACACCTAATAAAAAAATTAAAAAAACAGCAATTTAAAGCTTCAGGTTTTACTAAAACATCATAAATAAGCCAAACATCAAAGCATGTAACAAATTCCAACTATGACTAATGGTCAAAGATGAAGTGACTCACAAATATACAGAAGCATGTATACAGAAACAGCACCACCCTGAATCAGGGCGCACAGCTTGATCCGCAGGCGAGACACTCTGTTCTCGTCTCCCCCAACAGGAATCAGCTGCTCACGCAGACCTACATCCTACTTCCACTTCCTGCAGAGGGAGGATGAACCCTCTCTAACCTGCCTGCCCCATCGGACCACCTCATTTCTTTCAAGTCAGCATAATGTTCCTGTGCCTTATAGCTGACACTTAGTTTTAGTAAAGAGCTCTTGATACTTCTTTATTTTCAAATGGTAAAAATTAACATTTTAGGAATCCAAATATAGTCAATAAACACTGAGCGATGATCATTTACATAGATTATCGCTACTCTGCGTGTCTTTCATTAAGATTAAATCTACCAAAAAACTCCAAATGAGTTCCTCACTTGCTTTTTTTTAATACACTGATTTCATCCTTGCATTTAATTCTGAATATGGTAGTCTAATGTACATGATCAATGTCTCATATTTAACTTCAGTTAAGTTAAAGATGGACAACTGCAGATGTACTGCCATGAAAAGCTTTTATGTACAGAAGAGAAGTTCCACAGCCAGAGAGAAGTTCCACAGCCAGATCCCTGCATGATTTAGATTTGCCCCTGCTCCAAAATTTACCCCTACCTATTTTTCTTTCTTTTTCTTTTTGCTGGAAGTACAAGTTCCTCACAAGCACAGACTTGAGGTCATCAACGATTTCTTTCACAAGAGAACAAGGCCTTCATTGACAACTGCAAACACTGAAACTGTTTTTGGCATGACATTTCTTTTACCGAGCCAAATGTGACCCTGTTTGCTGCATTTATACTAAACCTACTCCGTTATCATTCAACCCCCGAAATATTAGCAGCAAGTTTTATCACACATTACCAAACAGAAGCTGAAGAGTGAGCATTACTCTAAATCGTAGTACAGGATTTTAATGCAACGCTTTAAACACTTGTAGCATCTACAAGGGTTAAATTAACACATTGGAAATATTGGCATTATTTTTTCTGTAATATTAGAAAGAAAGAAATGGAAGTGTAATATTTTGTCCAAATCATTTAGGTGCATTGTTCATTATTGTGTAGTCTAATCATTTATTAACCATGTGCAAGGCAAACTTTGCCCTATTGTCAAGTCTGCTCTTGGCTGTGCTTCATATTATGTACAACAGAGAAAAATGCTCCGTTTTAAACCCAGAATCTACAATAATTCAGATTTTTCACTGATTTTCGACGCGCTTGTAGCTTTGATCACGGTGGAGAAAAGACAACAAATCACTATGCGTTCCCTTCCACACCCGTTTATTGTCTTACCTGTGCTCAACAGCTGTTAAAGATTAACCATGAAACAAAAGCAAACAATTACATAATTTTTTTCCAGACATAAAAAAAAAATACAAAAATAAAAACTAAAAAAAAAAAAATCATCCCCAAACCTTATACTAAATTTCGATGAAAGAAACCTAAGCTGAGAAATGTCACAGTAACAACCATGTGATTGTCAGGACGAATGCTTTGTGCAGGAAGCGGGTTGTGTCGTTGCTTTAACACTGCAGTTTTTTTGTGTAATGGACATCTTTCCATAGGGTTCATTAAATATTTTAGGAGTGGAAGAAATATTTCTAATTAAATATACATCAGCAGTTAAATATGATTGCAGAGAAGTTCAATGCAGAACAGGAATTCTTCTAAATGTGTTTTACTTAAAACCTGTGGAGATATTATGAATCTGACATGCACAGAGAACAGAACAGGTATCTTTAAGAGCAACCAAACCATAAAACCAAATCATATGGGAATCCACTTGATAAATTTCCATAAATTACAAAAATACACCAGGTTTACCAAAGCAAGTCTTGAAAGTGAGTTTTAAGCCTCTAAATAAGATGAAGTGTGGCTCACTAGCTTTAGCCTGTATGAGATTTTCCACTGCTTTGCAGCAGATTACACATTAATTAGGCACGCAGTTATAAAAAACAAGTAACTCCCAAACAGCTTCTGAGATGTAATTATCAGTTTGTGGAGCTTATGATGCAAAAGTCTTGAGAGTTTGACACTTTGCTGTTGGTTCAGTTATGTGAGGCATTCGGTCGCTACTCAGACGTCAGCGGCTGTCATAAAGCTCAGCTCTGCCACTCTGCAGCTTTTCTCTGACATGTTTTCAAACTAATTGCCCCTCTGAATAACTTGATTTATCAGCATTTCTCTAAGTGGTCAGAAAAGAAAACTATATGAACACCTTAGTTCTATTAATTTTGTGAATATGCCTTGTAGCTTTTTAAAACTATTTTTCTCAATAACATTTAAATAAGAGATTTAAATGTATTTGTGGTACAGATATGTTGGTGCAAATAATGTCCATGAGCTTTCAGTAAATGTACTCAATACTTGGTTGGGCCTCATTTTGCATGATCTTAATCAGTAATGCAGCACGACATGGAGGAGATCAAACTGCAGCTCCGGTGAGGCGGTGAGGAAAATTAAATCAGCATTTGCATAAAGCTCCTGAGCTACAGAAATCAGAAAGTGCTCAAAAATTGCCTGTTTGAACACCAGCGAATGGCATGGCTCCCCCAAATAATCAATTCATGGAAACCTCACTGTGGACTTCTTAAACTACCCTCCTCCTCCAGAGTCCGGGACTTTAATTTCCTAATATCCTTTTCTAATATTTTCAGATTGAAGTAAATTTTGGACTTATGAACTTAGCATGTTCAATATTCAGTGGTGAATTTGTGCAGAATCATGTGGACTAAAACTGTTCTGAAACCAGTCCCACATGCATGATATTATTTTTTAAAATGAGGTGGCAGAGATATTTGTTTTTATGACGACCTGGCTGTGTGTGCACAAGGCCTGAAACAGTGCCTCCACCCCAAAAACATTCCTGAGGAATCAACTCCAAACTCCTAAAAACATCTCAACTTTACCATTTATGCAACTTTTTCCACACAGATTTTTTTCCTTCCACTCAACTTTCCATCAATAAATTTGAAGCACAGTGAACTCCCAGCTTATTAGCAATTACTCTTTTGCGATGTGTATGACGGAAATTTTTAGACAATGCTCTGAGTACAGGTTTTGTTAGCAGCAGTTATTAAAAAAAAAAGAAGCAAATATCCTAATCAACTGAAATAAAACATTTTAAATATAATCCCTGTGGATGAAGTAAGTTTTATTTAACTAAAATAAATTATGTTTTTGTTGATATTCTACTCTATTGACATGTGCATGTAAATTTGATTAAAAAAAATATATGATAGACTTCCCCCCCCCCCCTACAACTTTTGTGTAACCTGATACTGTAGTCTGTGTATGTTTTTTCTTCTCCATTAGGTCAGAAGGATGTTATGTCACATGCAGCTGCAAAAGGTAGGACCCACTCCCACACTTTGCCAAGATGGTGACATTATCATCAATGTGCTGAACAACCTCGGGGTCCTGAGAGTTGGTGCTCCCAGCTGGCTCTGTCACAGTCTGCACTTAAAAGCTCCTCAGCGCTCACATGTACACGTGTAAGCTTTTGGAGCGTTAAAGCCGGAGACAGCAGGGAAACATGCTCCTGGTAAAGAGTGCTTGTTTACAGAAAATCCCTAAAACCAAAAGTAAACCTGGCGATAATGTGCCGTTGACTCGCTAACCACAGCGTGCGGATACCCCTTATTACAGAGCAGCCGTCTTAGTGGGCCCGGCTGGCGTTCCAGCTGCCTGCTCTGTTCATTTTAAATGGGTGATCCCTTCCTGAACATGGTCGCGTTTTATTTTCAGAGAAAAGCCATCATAAAAGGTCTCAGTATTCCTTCATGTCGAGCAGGCGCATATGTTTGTTTTTCAGGGTCATTCTTTCGAAAGAAAACAAGGCTTTACTTTATATAATCGCAAGAAAAATGTGTTTAAAAGTTTTGTTTCAATACCACAATTGTATAGACTAAATACTTTCTGAATGCACGCTGAGGTAATTGTTTCAAAGTTATTGTTTTTGCGGGTGGCAAGCTGTTATTTCCTCCTGTGCACAAAATGTAACAGTAAACCGGGTCAGGCTTCTTCCTCGGCTAAAACAATAAAAACCAAACCATCTAGTCTTGCAACGCCCCAAAAAGGAGGCAGTCGCACGTTGTTCTACCTGTTCTGCTGAAACTCAGGAATGTATTATCACAGAACCTTTTAACAGTCATTGTCAAAACAGGTGGAGGGCGCGGTGTCACAAAATCTCAATATAGTCTGTCCTGAAAAGAATCAACCTCAAACATATGAGGTTGTCAAACAGGTTGGCTATCGTGTCGGTTAAAACACCTACGGCTTTCGGGTCTGTTGAGGGAATTTGGATCGTTGAAGTTTCCTGGAGCTACTTCTAACAAATTTTTGAGATCCGATATTCCAATATTCAAGATTTCTTTTTTTGCATCTTGAGCTACAGCCAATTATCTCAATACAGTCATTGAGAATCTTAAAGGAGATCTTTCATCCTCTCAGCACACTTTCCTCAGACTTGTGTCATTATATTTTCCTTCCTTCATTCGTTTACCCTGCTAGGGGATATTGCCCACTTCCTGCCACACATCCCCACACTTCCTCTGCTGTTTTCTTCAAAATGACTAGAGGTGTGCCTCATGTCAAACCGAACTTTGAAGTCTTCCAAAAAGCATGTTTAACTAGATCTCTTGAAATAATGCATTATTTTGGAAAAAAAAAAACAAGAAGCTGAGCTGTTGAGTTAAAAAAAAAATCCCCAAACCGAAAGAGGGAACGTTTTAATAAAAAAAAAAAAAACCCGGCAGGCATCTAACTGAATGAGGCATAACTCGAATAACCACAGCAGACTGTGAAACATGCTTTAAAAAGTCACTGGAACCGCTTTGCTACCAACATTTTTATACTGCAGAAATTCTAAATCTCATTTAGAGGGAACTGTTGTTTTGGGGAAATGTAGTTCATTAAAATGTGATAAAAATCAGAAGTAGCTTCTAACTTGTTATTCTCTCGCAGTTAACTTGTGGTTGCAAAAGTAAGCGTTCATTCTTACTTTTGGTAATTTGGTCAATTTGAAAATTTGTTGATTTCTTTCTATATTTTTGCAGTAAGAGATCTTGAATATTGATATTTGCTACATTTATGTTGACTCACATGAGACAAATTGTACAAACAATCAAAGTTTTAGTTACAATTGAATTTAGGAAGCTCAAAAAAGGTTACTGGAGTCCTTATTAGAAATGATGTGATCTGAGATCAACCTTAATCCAAAGAGAATGCACAGAAAAAGGAAATTTGGTGGGAAAATGTTGATGAAATAAAACATTGGCTAGCTGAATATCAACAGGTTAGTGGGAAACAATTTCAACAATTTAAATATTTATTAAAGATGCACAGAGAATTTGAATTTGGAATCAGGCTATTTTCCGCTTATGCGTACACTGAAGTCCTTTTAAAATCATTTGTTCCAAGTCAGGCATTTTATCATTTATAATAAATAAATGATAAAATGAATTGTGCAAAATTTAGATAAGCCATCAATGCACTCATCATAATATATATATTTCTTTATTTTCTGAGCCCCCCAATGTGGGCAGGCCGCCAATCATCTGCCAAATTCATTCCAGCCTTATCTTGTTTCCATAATTTACTGCTTAACGCTGGCCCTGAGCTGGCCAGTGTCTACACAAGGCTGTGGTTTAGCTCAGGCTTTTGAGAAGCCAAAATGAGCTGCTCCTCCACGGCAAGGAATCTAACTTCCAATAAGTTCAGCTGTCTGCACAATTAAGGGCACAAAGGCCAACCTGTGCTCCTGGGTTCCACAACCTGCCACATATTGAGATACTTACTTGAGCAGTTAGCCCACAAACATTGAGGTTTTTGGACACACTCGTCACATGTCGTAGAGGTACAGTCATCTGGAAGGAATTCAGAAATGGAGCTTAGTTATGGTTATTTGAACATGAATGACTTCTAAGATATAGATATTTATCTAATTAACCCAATTATGATCAGGTTAAGCATTTGAGCATTAACACAGAAAGCAAGAAATGAACTTAAAATAAATGTGGAGTGTCATAGAAAAATAATGCAACAAATTATTTGTCAAGGGCATATTTACCTATGAAAAAAAAATAAACTGGAGAAAATGCATTAAATTTTATGTCAATTGATTACATACGCCTTACAGCATAAATCTTAGACTAGTCAGACCTGGAGTGGGTTATCCCATAACAATCAATAACACCCTAAAAAGTTTTATTTACCATTTGTTAAAATGGTTCTTTTTTTTTTCTTTGAAAACTTTATAGTTGTTGCATAAATGGATAAAACTATGATTTCAGTACCTTCAGTGCTCTTACATCATTCTAGATCAGGTTCTACACAAACCTCAAAATTAAAGTAGCCAAACTTGGACTGGTGCGTTTATGAAACTTTTGAAAATTGGAAAAACCACATATTAATTGTTTTTGAAGAGGGTAGATCGATTTGAACATAGCAGCCTTTATAAACTTTTAAAAATATTTATGCAAAATCAAAAAAGAAAGTACCACGGTTTGTTTGAAGTGTGACTGCACGACAACAACCTCTTCCGGATTCGCAAATCATCATGCCTGCTTCCGATTATATTTTTATAATCCATATCTGTGTTATCAGATAACATTATGACTCAAACGTCTCACTGATCGTTACACAACACCAGTGTAATTTCGCAGTGCTTATTAACAAGCTAAAGCGCTAGCATTTACTGGAAGCACGACTTCCTCTCGCCAACGTGGATATAAAGCTGGTAAGTTCCCAGAAACTGGATAAATAATTGATATAAACCAGAACACTGACGTGGTAACTGTCAAACTAAAGAAGCGAGACACCTAGCGGGTGTCGCAGTAAGCAGATATGAACTGATTTTAAAAAGTCCTGCTTTTGCCGTGGGGGTTTTCTGGCTGCAATTAGCCGCTAGCTGTGCTCGGCGAAGAGGTCGCGAAACTTACCTGGGGCGGCTGCAGCGACAATCAGCGCCAGAGCTGCGGAGAAAAGCACCACCTTGACGAACATGACTGCGGCCGATTCACAGCTCGGTCTGGTTCACGCGGAGGCTGGTTATCTTCACGAAAACGTCGAGAATGTGAACTCGGAATTTCGCGGCTTCCTTCTCGTCTTTTCTGAGGACTGCTGCTTCCACTGCTGTTGATGTCCGCTAGCGCGACACTTCCTACTCGGCAGGTCATGTGGCGCTTTTTATGGGAGGGGTGAGAAAAATAAAGCGAGTGGGCAGGAAACACGGAAGAACCCGAGAGGGACTTTCCCCCAGAAACACGGCTTTAAACGCACACTTGTAACACAAACACAAGTCACCTGGGCTACTTTATCCCAGTTTATGTTTACTGCCTTGATTTATAAAACTAGAATTGGATTATCTTGAACAGAAACTAAATATTTAAATTGGTTAGTGATTTACTGAAATTCTAAAAAGGATCATTATTGTTGATTGGTTCCCTAAACCATCTTGAAATGCTGCTTGTTTTATCAAAACAGATCTCTTTTGTAAATGAGATGATAACCTGTTTGAATTAATGTCAAATAAAAAAAAGAATATTAGTAATTCAAAATAAAAAGATAATTATATTGACACATTCTTTTAAAAAAAATTTATTCCTCTTTCTTTTTCCCTTCTAACCTTAAATCGAGTCATATAGAAAAACAGTGCAATACCACAGGTCTACTTTACTTTTGTACAAACATGAGCTGGAACTTCATATCAAATTTATATGTATTTTTTCCCTTTTTATATCAGTATTTATTTAATTGCTGACACCCAAAGTACATCAGATTGGGGTCTGTACAAGACCTGCAGCACACTGGGGAGATCTGGCTTAGATTATTCTTGAATAAATATAGTGTTTTTATAATAAATATAAAGGGGAAATTTGAATATTTCAACGCTTTGATTTTAACCCTGGACTGCATTGCGTTTCTTCAATTTTCCACCCAAAGATTCTTTTAATAGTTTTTATCTCTTAGACCACCTGGAATCATTTACAGAAATAACTTTTCTTAGCAGAAGTAGAGTCACATCTTCTCTATTTTCAATGTGAAATGAGGATCCACATTCATCTATCCATTTAGCGTAATGAAGTAAAAAATAACCAAAATTAAACTTGCAACACTGTTGAAATACGTGCTGACAAAATTGTTCTTTTATCAGGGAGAACACCACAAATATTCCAAAATGCTAAGATAAGAACAATTTGTCTCCGACATGTTAGAAAAGCGTGATAAAAACAATACCACCACCTCCAGCAACAAAAAATCTCGCCAATACACCCAATTTTGTTACTCAAGCTGTGTCCTACTCTTGCATACAAACTACAGGGTTTCTACAGGACTCTGATTTTCACAAGTCAAATAAAGTAAAATAATAGAATTACATTTAAGCTTTTTTTTTCTCTGAGCAGGAAAGTGTGGATAAACACAGAAGTGAGTTTGTTCTTCAATTTACTGCATCAAAAAGTGATAAAATACTAAATAAAGTGAGTAATTAATGGGCACTATATTGGTAGCACTCCACAAGCTGACACTCTGCATTCATATTTGGGTCTTTCATTGAAAGTCTTGGACTCTTCTAATTTCTTCAGGACTTCTACACCTTCAATCACTTGACTAAAAATAGAAATAAGGAATGTAATCAGAGATCATATATATTGTCACTTGGTGATTCACTTGATGACAACTGAAACAAATTTGTGACACAAACCCAAAGGCAACATAGGTTTTGTCCATCCAGGGCGTTGGCTGCAAGGTGATGTAGAACTGGGATCCGTTGGTGTGGGGACCCTTGTTGGCCATTCCCAAAATGCCCCGTTTTGAGTGGGAAATAGCAAAACTTTCGTCTGACAGGTGAGATGGTCACATGTTGAGGTGGTACAAACTATATGAACTCACTAATAATTCCATCTTCAAGAATCGTTGGTACCTTCAAAAGTTGGTCCATAGATTGACTCGCCCCCATCACCTTTACTTTGAGGAGAAATATCTGCAGAGAGTAAAATGCAAAGTTAGACAAATCAAGTGACATTGAACACACTTATGTCAATTATATTTTAATCCAAGAATTGAATGGAACATTTTATCAATTTTTTTCTTTGTGCCACAAATTGTAAAATCAGACACCATATGATCAACTTCAAATCACTGCATAAATATATCTATGTCATTTAACTTCCTGCATCTAAATGGGTTTCTGAATGATATAATCCTGTTACACGTCCTGAATATTAATGAGGCACTTGAAAAGTAAGAGGTGACAGTGGGCTCTTAGAGCACCTCCACCTTGCACCCAGCCATTGGGCACAATGCGATGAAACAGAGAGCCCTTGTAGTGGAGTGGGAGGCCACTCTCTGATGTTCCCTGTTCTCCTGTGCATAGAGCCTCAAAGTTCTCTGATGCCTTTGGACACACATCGGAGAACAGCTGAGGAGAGACGACGCAACATGCTGTTCTGTATTAATCATTCGTTTTCTTATATTTGCATTCTAAAATGTTTAATAATGTCAAATTATAAGGCTCCACTTTGAAAGTAAAATTTGATCAAAAAGAATTTACCTCAAAACTTATCCTCTCAGGATCTTCTCCTGCTATAACAATATCCATGAAGACAAACTTATGCTGAAAAGAAAAGAATGGAAGTTTGATTAACAAAAACAACAGCAACCACAGTTTTAACTTCTAAACAAACTCTTCAGATTTATGCTAGGGGAATTTGCCACCTTGAAATCTTAGGTATGGCAATAATTCACATGTTGCCTGAACTCAAAACTAAGCACACAAATTCTACTTCCTGTAGAAGTGATATATTATAATGATATATTACAGCAAGTGCTAGTAGCAATGAAGAACAATAGATAAAGACATGATACTCACTTTGAACACTGATTACTTGTGTAATTTCTGAAATGCAAAACCAACCAACCATCCATCGACACGTAATCAGCCATGTACTGATTTTACTGTATAAAAAGGAGCTGACTTGTTTCCAACTTTGTTTTCACTTTTCAACATTCACTGACAAAAACCTAAGAGTCCTACGCTACAAACATCAAACATGTCTAAAGGTGATAAGGCATTCTCTAAATAACTTTCAATCAGGGCTTCAGAGCTTCTTATCTTATCTGTTGGTTTTGCAACCATAATACCATTAAGTCCTCTTCGGCACTAGAAATAAACTCAGCATGAGAAATACTGAAAAATTCCAACAGATTCTGAAAAGACCATTAAAAGAGGTGAAAAGGTTAACAAAGTGACCTGTAGCAACCTGGAATGGTGGGTTTATGCTCCACCATCAACATCATATAAAGCCAAGCAGAGTCACACATATTAATAGTAAATAATAGCAGTATCTGTTTTTCAGAATAAGTTACAAAACAGTGAAGGAACTCATATTTCTAACCTATTATTTCAGTAGTACTGTGGAAAGAATGAATAATGGGTTGGAATATTGCTCATCATTCCAAAAATTACATTTTTTGTTGAGCTTTTTTTTTAAAAGGAAAAATATCGTTTAGATTGAAAATCTCCTTTTCAAGAGATTGAGAAGTTCTTCAAGAGATAGTCACGAACTTACAGAAGTAGTATCTTAAAAACACTCAAACCACTCATAAATAAAAAGGATTTTTAATGATTCCATCTGAAAGCCAAAGACATTCCTGAACTTTGATTGCTAAACAGTTCCTGGACACATGAACTTCTGCTCAATGCATTAGATACTGTGTCTAAAATTCTCTAGAAGCAGGCTTCCTGTAGCCAAGTATTACTGAAAAGTGAAACTGGTTGTCTCAGTACACTTTATATCTTCCTGGTTCTCTACTGTGAGTCTTCTCCTTTTTATGTTTAGTGGTTTGTTTATTTTAATGTTCTACTCTGAGACAAAATTTAGAAGTGACAATAAATAGGATTAGACACAGGAGTCACTTGCTGCACAAAGGATAATTCTTGCCTTTCAAAATAGCATAAACAAATAGTATGCATGTTTTTAGATGCCAATTTCAACCATTCTACTTTGTTTATGTGTTCTTGTAACTGGTGTCAGCCTACTCCAGTGTTCTGAAGGTGTTTGGCGTAGCTCTCCTCAGTGATAGCCGTATAGAAATCCTCTGGATGAGTGGCGGTGAAATTCCACTGATTCTCTGCCCAGCTGGCGAGCTGCTTTTCATTACCGAGGAAAACGCCATTAAGGAAGCATATCACATTGCTGGGATACTCCCACACATCACCACGCAGCTCCTGAAATCACAAGTTCACAACAATAGCTGTGTTGTGAATCAGCATTTTAGAATAACAATGGCGTCAAACTGCAGGGAGATCATATCTGTGTTGGGGTGCAGGACCACAGCCGCAAGCTTTGTCCACGCTCAGTTGAAAAATGTATAACAATATTTTTCATCACATACACTGGCATTAGAAATGTAGACAATGAATAGTTTTATTTCTAAGAAGTGATAACTCTTTTTAATCACACTATGTTTGAGAAATAGTGTTTTTCTTGTATTAATCAATGTTTAAAATGCATAGCTTGTTTTACCAGTCTTTGTTTGGTTTTTAATGTCTGAGGAGTTGCTTATTGTGTCATATTTCATCCATATTTTTCATAGAAAATGTGTTGCTGGTAATTGACCAGCAAGAGGATATTGAGGGGAGTTGAAAGGATCATTAGTTTACCTACTTTCTCCCAATGATCTGTTTCAGATCCACTGCAGTGATATTGCACCTCAGAAACTCCCCACACCCTCTCTAAGAACTTTGTGAACTTCTTTCAAAGCACTATTTTATATTATTGCACATATTTTATATTTGTATTTATTTTTGTTGTTTAAGTGGTTCATTTTAATTTATGCTGATCTGTTTAAGTTCATATTTATTGTATATTTATATGATTAAATAATTTATCTAATTTAAATGAAATATTTCTGTATTTCAAGTGCTGAAATAGAGTTTGATATGATATATTTTTGCAATGATTAGTACACAGTTCCTTGAAAAAGTATTCATATCCCTTTAAAATGTTCACTATTGCATTTCTAAATGGCCATAAGTTTTTCTTCCAGCTTTGCACAGGAAGACTGAAACTTTTATCCATTCTTCTTACTAAAATAGCACAAGCGTAATCAGACTGAATGAAGAGAATGAACACAAATTTTCCACTTATTGCTGTGAATAAGTGAAAAATTATTCACAGCAGGTAGTCATAACGAACACATGAATATGCGTTGATTTAAACTACCACACTGTAGCTCTGCTTATATCTGGAGAGCCGGTTTCCTACTGGAAACCTCTAACACATTGTCTTTTGGATTTTACTTGTATTTAGCTCCTTCCATTTTCAATTCTGACCAGCTTCCCTGTGGCCCCTGAAGAGAACCATACCCAAGACATGATGCTGCCACTACCATGTTAGACAATGAGCTCATTGCGTTATAATATAATCCCGCTATGTATAGTCTTAGACCCAACCTTTCTGGTGAGTTTCTTGGTCTCCATGACGCTGTTTGTTCACTAATGTCCTTCAACAAATATCTGAGGTCTACACCGAATCACAGAGTTTTCCTTACAGGTAACTTCTGAGGATAATTGGTTGCACTGGATTAAAGGTATTAAGGGGATTGAAAGATTGCATGTCATACTTTTCACATGGAATTCTTTTGTCGTTTTCCTTTCGGTTGACAGTTTTACTTTAGCTTGCGTTATTTCTGAATAATTTGCTGAAAGAAATAACCTACCCGTTTCTTGTTGCACAGGTATTCATGCCAGTCGAATTCAAGAAGGGGCACAATTTCTGGATCCAAAAAATCATCAGGAAACAGTTGTTTGAGTTCCTACAAATGGCAGAGGTGGAATTTCAAATGAATTATTTAATCAACAGTAAGAACATAATACACTTGTTATTTTACCTCGGCTATACTTCTGGCAGCATGAAAATGTGGGTCTTTAACTACGCCAACGATTTCTATTTGCGTTTGTGAGGCCATTGATAAACTCCTCAGCGCATAACCTCCGAGTATCCATAGCAACAGTCTGTGAAGGCGCATGAAAATGACGTCTCGTTGTTTGAAAGTCAGGCTTCGATCTACTTTTTTGGCTATCTTTCCTTCTCTCCTGCAACATTCATTTGAAAGCTTTAATAGCCACAATATACTGAAAAGGGATTTTTATTTAATCATTTTATTAAATTGATATAGTACATGTAATCTATGTAAGATGTAAAGACAGCCGTCACAGCAGAAAGAAAGCGTAAGAAAACAAATTGGGACGCAGCCGAACGGCGCCAGCGTTTGAAAACCTCGACTCGTCAAGTTCCGTGTTCCTTTTCTGCGTTCTTTTTTAGTTTTTTTTTTTCACTAATTTTGTTAATTTTCTTAACTTCATTCCATTTTACCAGTATTAATCATGGGTGTTCACGACTTGTGGTCCATCGTGGAGCCAGTCCGAGAGGCGGTGCCGTTGTACAGTTTGAGCGGAAAGACTCTGGCGGTAGACCTGAGCTTATGGGTCTGTGAGGCTCAGCACGTCCAGGCCATGATGGGCAGAGTTATGAAGCCACATCTGAGGTAAGTGTTCATATATTGTTCTTTAAAAAAAAAAAAAAAACTTCATTAGAACGTGAAGTTGTTATTTATAGTGGGTAAATAGCAGCTTATTTTACCCACTGTGTTTCCTCACAGGCGTTTCGATGAGCAGTTTTTTTTAAGTGCATTATTTCACACTGAATATAAAAGTACACCTGAGTAATGGAATATGGATTTCCACCCAAGAATCTCACAAATTATTGAAAAAGAAAACCGTACTGAAAGCAAATTATAACTTGACCTATAGCTATAAAACTGTACGAAATGTGAGTTTTATTCATTTAACCGTAAAGTCTGTGTTATAATTAAAAACCAACACAATGCTGTTTAATGTGCAGGAATTTATTTTTCCGAGTATCATCGCTCACACTGATGGGGGTGAAGCTCGTCTTTGTCATGGAGGGAGAAGCTCCCCAACTTAAATCAGAAACAATGAGCAAAAGGACAGAAATGAGATTCGGAGGATCCAGAAAAGCCCATTTCTCAAAGTCATCCACAACTACCAGCAGAGGGCGCTTTAAAGCTGTACTTCGAGAGGTATGACTTTCTGATAACCGACTGTAAATTATTCCCTCAGCTCTTTGTCAACCTCTGTGTTTCCTACAGTGTGCAGATATGTTGAACTACTTGGGTGTGCCCTGGGTGACAGCAGCTGGGGAAGCAGAGGCCATGTGTGCTTACCTGGACTCAGCAGGGCTGGTTGATGGCTGCATCACCAACGATGGAGATGCATTCTTATATGGGGCTAGGACGGTCTACAGGAACTTCAATATGAACAGTAAAGTATGTTTCTGGAAATTAAGAGAAACGCTGAAACACGTTGGGGCTAAGATCTCAATAAGACTATGTTGAATATTAATAATGTTCTTCTTTTGACAAAATAAATACATCTCAGTTTGACAAATACAAATAATAAATTATCTAATAGATAAATTCTATATTATTTATTTACAATTAGTATGGATTATTAACAAAATATCATGTACATGATTTTGTGTCATTCTTGTGGTTTCAAAATTCTCATTTGCCACTTCATTTTGGAGACGGTAAGAGATTCCTCATTCCTCATCCTAGTCCTGAAGTCATCATTTACACTCTTAATCCAGATGGAACTGACGTGTCAAATTTTGACTTTTTTTCTCCCAGGACCCTCAGGTCGATTGCTACCAGACATCCCGAGTGCAGACCGAGCTACACCTGTCAAGAGAGAATCTTGTTGGCTTGGCCATTCTCCTCGGTTGTGATTATATTCCTAAGGTAGAGAAGACACAACGTAAAAAAGTTACTTCAGAATAATATTGCCAGTTAAATTTTTATTTCTTAATGTACATTTTAATGGTTCCCTCAGGGTATACCTGGTGTTGGCAGAGAGCAGGCCTTGAGGCTTATGCAGACCCTGAGAGGACAGTCACTTCTACAGAGGTCCTACTCATGCAGTTACTAAAATGTACGTTGCATTAAGGGTTGTAGATCCTCAGGAAATCTTATTCTTGTCACTAAAGGTTCAACCAGTGGAAGCAGGAGAGTCCTGACGTGCCTGTCGGAGTTGCAAAGAAAGTTCCCCACTGCAACTTATGTCGACATCCTGGTGAGCAAACCAAAGCAGCAGTGACTTGTCTCACAGTTTTCTAAAGTAAAGCTATTTCATCTGCCATGTTAAATTTTACAAATATGTGAGAAGTTTCAGGAATCGACACTAGTTTCTCTTTGGCTCTCAGGCTCAGCTAAGGCACATGAGCGTGGCGGCTGTGTGCTCTGCTGCAGTCAGCGATTCTGCCAGCCTCAGGACTTCGATTATCAGTGTCCATGTGACTGGCACTGCTACGAACAGAGCCGCCAGGCATCGTCTCTCGAGGCAAACATCAGGAAGTATGTGTTGTTTTAGAAAGCTGGTCGAACCATAAAAATCAAAAAAATTTTAATATAGTGACATAATTTTGTGGTGTACTTTTGGGCAAAGTCAAGCAGTGTATAACTGTGATAAAAATTGAAAATGATACATGATGTGTCTTTATTTTTATACAAATATGAAAAGTGTTACATTTAGCCTCCTTTATGCTGATACCCCTAAACAAAGCACAGTTCAATCAACTGAATTTGACTCACAAACACCAAAGTTGGTTGATGATAAACTTATTGGTTTGTGTGCATCTAGATTCTCAAACTGTAATAAATTAAAAACAAGATTTTATATGCTAGACCCGCATGAATGTTTACAAATATAAATCTTGGAAATTTGGCTGTGGGGGCAAATGAAGGTTTGAAATGTCTGTTTTGATTTTTTTTTTTTTTTGGTTTTTTTTTTTTTAGAAAAACTTTGGCAAGTCACCAGTTCCCATTTACAGAGGTATATATATATATTTTTTTTTCAAGTTTTCTTCTTCTTTCAGTAACACTTGAAATAATACTTGAACATTTATCCTAGATTATAAACGAGTTTCTGGTTTCCAAGGATAAACCTGTGGCACAGTTTAAGAGAAAACAGCCAAATATTCTGCTGATGCAGGTAATGCGTTTTTACATTTTTCATTAATTTAAGCACCTCTTGCTGCCTAATGTGGACATGAATGAGAAAGCTTGTGTCTTGTTTTCTGTAGAAATTCGCTTATGAGAAGATGGAATGGCCAAAACACTACACGAGTGAAAAGGTTTTGATCCTGATGACCTACACTGAGCTGATGAACAAAAAAGACGGAAGAGACGTGCCCTCTCAAATCACGCCTATCCGGTAGTCTTATAATGTTTTTAAAGCTGAAAAGCTGCATTATTGTGATAATATCGCTGTTTATGAGTGTCCAGAAGCTTTTCTTTAACATAACTTATTTTTTCTGTAAAAGAATTCTGAAACCAAGGGTGAGGAACAGTGTTGCTTGCTTTGAAGTCATCTGGAACACTCCAGGTGAGTTAAAATCTTCACTTCTTTCCTGAATAAATTACCCTTTGTGTTTAATTTGTCCTGTTAGCGGCTCATTATATGCTTGGGCAGTGAAAAAACGCTGGATTTGTGAGCTGGTGACACGACTGCAGTGCTATGTTGGGGTGCAGGGTGTTTGTCACCGGGTTGTCTGTTAGTGACTGGCTGTGAGGTGGGGTTCAGAGGTGACAGATAAGTCACAACAGCTTCTAGGTGCTAAACCGACTTCCTCTCTTAGCTGGGAAATCTGTCAAATCAAAGCAGCCATCACTAACAAGCCTGTTTGACATCACTGACCTGAGAAAGTCTCAATGAACTAACTCAGGTTACAGACTTTTATAGTGTGCAACAGAAGAAATACTTTAAATACAAATATAAGTTGTATTATATGAATTATGGTCAAAATGTGGCAGCTATGTCTGAAAAACACTAATTATGTAAGTCTATGACAAAATCAGGAAAGTGGCCCCAATGTTAGATTCTATTTAGTTTATAAAATAAATGTAAATGAATAAAGGAAAATTTTAAATCAGATATTTTAGGTTATTTTTTAAACAGAACTTCTTAAATATATTTGTGACAAATCTTCAGATATGCAAACAGACATGATAATTTATATGTATTGCAGGTTTTAAATGTTTTCTCTTTTGCTGTGTTCTAATTATTTGTTCACATTACAAGGAAATTGAGACCATATTTGCTGATTTCACTTTCTTATTCCTCTGTAATCTGGGGGTTTGGTTTAATAATGCAAAAATAATAAAATATATGTTTTGAGGTGATTTTTACTGTGTTTTCTGCTTTAGGTCTTTCATATGTTATTCACTAAAATTTTAAAATGTTTTTTTAGCCATTATTGCAGCAATTTGATTTCTGTTTTCAATTTAAGATTTTATTTCTTGGCATTTCTTCAAAACTTCATGCTTTTTTCCTGCTGAAGATTTTTTTCTTGTGAAGCTATCACTTTGCATACATAGAATGGGGATTTTCTTTTCTTAAAAAAGACTTACATAATTAAAACTGATGTTTATTGAGGAAAAATGTTAGAAAATGCATCAATAGTTGTAATCTGTGGTGATGGATGAAAATAATAATTGGGATTCATAAAAAAACCAAAAAAAACTAAAGACACAGGAAAGGACGATAGCTCTTAATTTATTTAGAAAGACATAAGGTTACCGTGTCCTAGCCTAAATTTGTTCCTGTTTTCTGCAGAACATTTTGTGTTTCCAGAGGAACGACCCACAGAGGACCAACATGAGGTTAGGACGGTGGAGGAAGAGTCGCTTTTCCGTTTGGCTTTCCCTGAGATCGTTGAAAGCTACCTAAGAAACAAAGCTCTGCTTGAAGAGAACAAAACTAAACGTAAGACACCTATTTTCACTTTAAATATATCCTACTACATGTTGTTTTTAGTGCAATAGTTATTTAATAAGGTGTTTGCATGATCTCATTCTGCATTTTTCCATAAAAAAACTCCCCTGCTGCTTTGACAAACTTCCCTGACTTCCCAGTGTGCGCTGCCAGGGCAGCGCAGATCAAAGCTATTTGAAGGTTTTACATGTGTTTTTAAAGCTCTCGCTTACAGCAGCTCTAACACCTGAAAATGTAGAGTTAGCAGCTCAATTACTTCACACCAGAACCTTTAACGCACCTTTAAGTGTCTGCCTCACAGGATTTGCTGACTTATTTTTGGCCACCGCAGTAATCATCTGTATTTATTTGCTTTCAACCAAATTTAAAAAATATATATATGTCTACATAATGACTGTTAAAATTCCTGGTCAATCTTTTATTTTAGAGACAAAATGAGACAAATGCATAACAGATACGAGCAAATGTATAAAATATACTTGTACAGGAAACAGGTGGCAGTCACAGTAAGTAAACTGTTTGTTCATATCTCACACTCAGCAGTTCATTCTTAAAATTCACTAATTTATAAATGTTAATTGTCAATGTCAGAAATATCCAATTGTGGCCAGTTAAACAGAAACACCAGCAAAGTCCTCTGACATACCTGTCTTTCTGTCTCTATTGTTTTTTCTTACAGAGAAGAAAGCTAGACGTAAAAAGGAGAAACCATCTGATAGTTCTGCTGGTGTCGCCGATCTCTTGGCTCAGATGACGCTTCAGACGTCCGTAGAGAACAGGTCCACTCAGCCACAAACTCATCTCCCTTCCAGCTCAAGCTCCGAAAAAACAGAACTGATTATTTTAGACACTCCAGTGAATCGTAAGCAACACAGGAAAGAAAAAGAAGACAGTCAAGTCCACAAAACTCTGCCTGACGTCGAACCAGAAAGCACTTCACCTTCTGTCTCTGTCGTTATTGAAGCTCTACATCTCAGTGATATCGACTGGGATGCGTTGTCTTTCACTTCCTCGCCTTCCTCACCAGCAGTCCAGGCTGCAGAGCCTGGGCAAACTGAAGAAACCCGAGGTGCAACCAAACAGCCAGAGCTCTGTTACACCGAGTGTCCTTTGAGAGACAGAGTCCTCATGAGGAACGCCGATAAATCTCTGAAAGCTACAGCTGAGGTTTCAAAACATCTGAACTGTGAGTTGGTCATTTCACATGGAAAGCAAACTGGGAAAATTTCCAGTGGAAGTAGCAGTGAGGGCATCATGTTGACTGGCATTGAAAAGGAACCACTAACAAACAAAATCCAAGGTATGTTAAAAGAAAGTCTTGAAAGATCAAAAGAGCAAAAAATTTTGCCATGTGAGACAAAGGAGGAATCTAACGGACGTGAAAAGCCTTCTCCAAAATACAAATTTGTCAGAGCTGCTTTGTCATTGTCCTCTGCTCTGCCACAGAGATGTAACTCTGACCCAGGACAAAGAGTCAAAAAGGGCAGCAGCAAGAAGACCGTCTGCATGAGCGCGTGCTCATCCAGCGAGGATAGTGATGTTGAAAACCGGCAATCTGGATCTCAACGTCGAGCAAAACTGAAACCAGCAGACAAAAGTATAAGAAGCCTAATATCAGACTTCCCTCTAAAACCAGCCTCTGATCACTTCAAAGTTGCTAAGCCAAAGACTTCTCCAACGCTTCAATTAACTAGACCAAAGTCACAGAGCCACGGGGAAAATGTTGAAAATGAAACACCTGCATCGATGAAAAACAGTTGTCAGGATGTTCAAACAGCTAAAGTCAGTGATGATGAGATTCTCCAGACTCCTGCTTCCTCCGTCATCTTGTTAGATGATGAGGATTCAGTGATTTGTAGTGACAGTCCCCTACCACTGGCTGAGAGACTGAGACTGAAATTTCTGAAGTGAGCGTCAAGTTTTGTCAGTTTGAAGAGTATTTTTATATATTATTCACATCCTATTTGCTTCTAATTAAGAAATTTCTTTCAGATTTTTTGCTTTTTGAAAAACCAAATGCCAGAGGGTAGGCTTAGAATACTGTGACCCATTTTGAATTTTATTTGTGTGTTGTGTTTTGAAAATAAACTTAGAAGATTCATTTGTATTTTGAAAAAGTCTGAAAATGTATTTATTTCATATTTATTGTATATATCCAACCTGCCCAAACTCATGCATGTTCAGAAATACATTTCTTGAAAAAAAAATGTAACAAAGTTACAATTCTTGCTCAAATTATGTTTAATGCATAAATATAAAATCACTGCCTAAAAATATGGTTCTAATGTGTTCTGTGAAAGTGTCAGGCATGATTTTCCAGATCAGGATATGTGCAGAAAAATATTAGGATTTATTTCAGACCTTTTTACTGCCCCAGGAAACTATTTCATTTGGAAAACCTTGTTTTTTTTTGTTTTTTTTCCTATCAGACATACGTTCATAGATTCTGAATTATAAGCTCCTCTGGAAAATACATGTAATAGTTGCTCATCTTATTTTGCTCCAACTGCTCTAATTTTTCCCCCAGCTGAAAGAAGCGGGGACAGAAGATGCTGAAGACACTGTTTTTGAAACAACAGAGCAGTGTTGTGTCCCCTTGATCCTGAGTGAGGGCTCACACCTATTCAGACATGAAAGGTCTGGCAGAAGTTCTGGTGACAGCTGCATCCTCTGCCCAAATAACATCCCCGCAAAAAGAGTCCCACTGATTTCAGCTTCATTCTCTTAGAATAAAAGTTCTGGAATAGGTAAGAATGGATTCCATCACAAAGAATGTCTACAGTTTAGAAAACGGCACACTTCAAGGTAGACAAATTGTAGGTGTCTACACAGTGATTGTAGCTGTTGTGATTTTGACCTTTATCTATCCTGTAGAATTAACCTTTCACGAAGAAAGTGATGAGCTCCAACGTGCTGTTTGTTTGTACAGTGAGGACACACGCAGGGCTGACTTGTCAGAGTGGTGTGAACGTCTCAGGTGAAACGGCAGTCTTCATTAAGACGCATCACATCAAACTGATAATTGTCGCTGAGCAGACTTTAGAGTCATTTCCCACAGAAGGAATCTAATTATTTTTCTTTCCATCACATTAACCGTCTGTTTGGCCTTATTCACACCACGGTGATAACGAACCAAGTCCCTTCGGGAAGGTCTCATTTTGGCACTTTAGTTGTTCTTTGAACTTTTTTCTGAAGTTGTGAACCCATAAAGGTCCGGAGATCTGCTTCTATATAAAACGCGTTTGGCGAGAAAAGAAAAGAAGAAGAGGAAGCTCACATTCTCTCAAGCCGCCTGTCATCCGCCTCGCTGAACAGTAGTCTGGATTTCTAACATGGATCTGGAGGCTGTCACGGCTGCTATACTATCTGATTGGGAGATCCTTGAGAGTGCCTCTGGAGAAAATCCGGAGTCCGTCTGTCCGGAGTCCCCCCTGGACTCTTCGCTGTGCTCCTCACCGGAGATTTGCTTCCCCCTCTCCAAACAGGGGATTAAGGATTTATCCTTTGGCTGCGCCGGACGCAAAGAGACTCCTCCGGGGCAAAGGCAGAGCAAAACGAAGATGTCCGTGAAAAGGCGCATGAAGGCCAGCGAGAGGGAGAAGATGCGGATGAGGAGCTTGGCAGAGGCTCTGCACCAGCTCCGCGACTACCTTCCACCGGATTACAGCAAGAGAGGCCAGCCCTTGACCAAGATCCAGACGCTTAAATACACCATCGAGTACATCAATAAGCTCTCTGACATCCTGAGCCGTGCGTAACGGAGGCACCGTGGAGCGCTTTTACGCGACATACCATCTCTCATCTGGACCCCTTTTTGAACTTAGATATTTCATTTTTCATCATAATAACTTTGAAGTCTCTCTTACTTGATAGTCTTTTGGGTTTTTTCTTTAATGTAAATATGGTTTGGGCACTTGGAAAGTATTTGTATATGAGGCTGCCCCTTTTGTGAATTCAGTTTTTTAGTTGTTACTAGAATAGAATGAACTTGGCCAAACTATTGGCTATTATTGTTTTTTGCTGAACAGACATAAGAAAGAACATATTTTTCCGATGATTTAAAACCCTTAATTGTGTTTTAATTGTGTTTTCTGTTTGCAAAACCATTAGTTTGTGTTTGTGTGAATAACAAGGCTGCATGTGAGTCACACAACAGCTTTTAACAACACTTGCTGTTGTGTTCACCCTTTCTTCCTTTTGTTTGATAAGTTTTCAATAAAATAATTTGTTGAAACTGTGGTTCAGTTCAGTTATCCAGGTGTCATTTTGTGTTATGAACTCAGGATCTGTCTTAGTTTTAGCATTTTTCCATGCTCAGTTTTTGTAATTTTTATGTAAATATTGTTTGGATATTTGGCAAGTCTTGGGTTTTTTTTAGACAAATTATGTTTCTCTTTTTTTCCCTCAAATTTGATAGAACTGTAGATGGCATGAAAAACAACGTTGCTATTTTTTAAATTACGTTTTGCTCACTAGAAGTAAGAAAAAACACAATTTTAAAATCCCGATTTAATCCCTTTTTTAATGAGTGAGACAGTGTAAACTATTCTTAGGTAAATATTGTATCGTTATGAAGTGCAAAGAAGCAGAGTTCAGGTTAACAATTCCTAAATGCCTCTAAAACCGAGAAGACACCAACATTTTGAGCCTATCCTCTGTTAGTATTTTTGTTTTGTTTTTTTTCCTTCTGTTTCTAAAATAATTAATTCTCGAAATATTCAATAAAAATATGTATTTAAATTGTGATTCAATGTGATTCAGTATTACAGTGGGAGACGATTGCTTTCACGTCAGAAACTTCTGCCAATCAAAATAAAAGTATTTGGAAGGCAGGTGACGATTAGCCAATCAAAGTCAATGCTGAACCTAATGGGTGGGACTCTAACCATGACGTCTCTCACACAAAGAAATCTCAACCTAGGATGTTTGGCGAAGCCGCCATTTCAAAACGCTTAGGAATTCTAGGACCTGTTGGGAATTTTCTATACCTATATTTTTATTTTTGTATTATATTTTTATTTTGACTAGCAAGTAGTACATTTAATACCTCTCTCTTTTTTTAAAATAAATATATATCTTGCCTGTACTACCAATAGGGGTAAGTAATGTCTCCTTTTTTCATTTGCCCGAAGCAGTAGAAATTATCAGAAAATAACAGAAACGCCCCTTTTCTGTTTAGCTCTAATTGTTCATTACACACCCAATGTTTATTTTTGACTTTTAATTGGGCTATTGTTCATAAAATGTTTAGAAATTCGCTCCATAACATAGAAGACATTGACTTAGTTAGGGATTTTAGCTAATTCTAGGAATTAGCCAGAGCCATTCAACGTTTTTTTTTAACAGTTTAATCCAACCTCTTCTGACCAGGTGATGGTATTATGTGTTACCACATACTGCCAGGTATTGTGTAGCATATTAGCTGTATCCAAGTCGTATTTAGTTGCCACAGGATAAATATTACAGGCTAATACTGCACCAGCTGTCCGTTAAGATCAAGATAAGAATGCTTCCGTTACGTTCGAGGTGTCCTCTATCCATAGTTAGTCCAGCTAAAGGTTATATTTTTATGTCATGGATTTTTTGAGTATTTTTATTGGCCTAAAACGATCGAATGGCGTTTAACACTTGAATCTAACATACCAGGCGTATTCCCTCATAGATATAGACAATGAGAAATATTCCCGTTTGGTATTGAAAAAAAGCAACAGCTCAGTGTTTCCCATTATCTGGACGTAACAACTATAAATTTGTTGTGTGTTCTGTGTACCACAAAAGCAAGTCTAAGAACTTCAGAAACTGGACCGTACATTGTGTACAGTAAACGCCCATTTAGGTCCTGGAATGATAATATTCCTGAAATAATCAACAATACCTCTATGAAATAAGATGTGAAATAAAATAGGCTTATGATAATTTATAGTATGTTGTTTTTAAATATGTAAATCCATGTGTTATAGTGCATTTCCGAGATAGTGCTAAGCAGTAGGGGGTTTTCTTTGACAGATGGTATTTGAAAAGGGTCCAGAAACATACTGGGAAAGTATGGAATGTGATTTCCATGTCCATTTTCCAGTATGAGATACAAATATTAAATACACATAGATACTTTTAGATTTTTTTTTCTTGTCCCGTTGCCTATCCACACATCTATCGGTAATTCTTCCTCTCTTCATCCATTTATTCATATCATTATTAATCCATCCACTTTTGCAGATTAGTGTAAAAGATTCTTATTCATAATTTAAATTAACTAAAACAACAATAACTCTTGAAATTTGAGTTTAGAAAATGTGTAGGAACTTGTTTAAAATAAAGACAGCCACCCCCTAATGTTCCTCATCCATTATTTAGTTATCAAACATTGAGGCTCTTTCCTGCTGAAATACAAAGTTATTGAAGTTCACCCTCAGTTTGTTATCTGCTTGAGGTTCTTGTGGACAACCAACCTCCCAGATTACAAGATCATCCGGTCACACTGGTCCACTTTGGATCAGGAGTCACCCGGATGATATATTTATACATTATCTCTACAATAAGTCTGCCAAAGAAAGCATATTTTATCAGATTGTTTTAGGGGTTACGGTTACTCATTTTATAGTAATCTGAATATAAGTTTAATGATGACCTCTATTTTTTATGATGTATGCATAAAAGTGGCCCATTTTTTTTCACTTCTTTTAATAGTGAAAATAAGTGTGGCCATCACATGCCACAGCAAATTTATGAGCACTTCCTCATCACTATCTAAGAAAAGATGTCATTTAAAAAATCTGTTAAATTAGATGTTATCTGCATATAACATGCATGATTACCTTGGAGCTGCAGGGGATATCTAGAAATTGTATGCATAATTACCTTTTCTTTTGTTCTAGACTTCAATTATAAAGCATAAGCTGTTCTTGAACAGTAGGTATATTGTTTTAGATCATTGTGGCTTACTTATCTTTATTAATTTATCTGATATTAACATTTAAATTAAGATAAATAATCACCTTTGTAAAGGTAATTGTCCTGTCTGACTGTTTTCAGATGGATTCAGACCCTGAACAGAATCCCCAAATGCCTAAGAATGAATCCCAGAGAGGTTCAGGTGACTTCAATTCCAGGTCTGTCCTGTGACGTCTTTTAGACTTCTGCTATAGTTGCAAAGACAACGTCATCAGCTAGTGAGACCTTATAGATATCTAGAAGCACATGTGTGAATGCACAAAATGGCATTGCTTTCTGTAGCATTTAACACACAGTAAAGTATTTATTTTGATATGAGCACCGTCATCAATAAATATCTGGCATTCTTCATATTCAGCAAAATACTTGACAAACACATTTTACAAGCTGCAGTGAACAAGCATTACTCATCCCTGGTCTTTTTATCTATAAAGGGATCACTGCATAACAACGCTCAATGCCTCAAAAATAAAAATCTTTCTCATCATATAAAACTTTCCCATTTTTAAACCATAGAACAGCTTTTTCTGTTATGATTAAAAAGATATATAGCTATTAACTACGAACAATTATTGTAAATAAGAAGCACTGTTTAATTTGAGCTGGAAGAGTGATTTCTGTCTTCCTGTTGCAGGGGACGAGGATCCAAAGGCCGTGGTCGTGGGGGGCGTATGGGCCGAGGCGGTATGCGAGGGGCCGGAGGCGTAGTTAAAGCTTTTGGTCCACCAGGACGTGGGAGAGGCCGAGGGAAAGATGGAGCCATGAATGGATTTGGACCCATGAGGTATTCATTTGGATATGTTTACAAGTGTGTCCAGAGTTTTGCCCATGTACTCTCCTTTGGTGTTAGTGGAGTGCTTTACTATTTTTGCTTGATACAGTCCATAAGGTGAGTAGAAGTTGACCCTATTCTTTTCTGTTGCAGAGGATTGGGGAGGATGCGACCTTATCCAGACCTCAGAGGTCATCGTGGGAGGGGTGGACCAATGGCTATGCGTCCTCCACCTCCTCTCCCTCCCCCGCCTCCTCCACTTCCGCCTCCTATGCACTTCCGAGCCCCCTTTCCACCCATGCCAAGGTAACTTCCTGACACTATTTTATACAGTACATAAATATAGTTCGGCTTACTTTTTAGAGTCAATTCACATCATCATCTTCAGGTACATTCCAGACAGATGGGTCCAATTCATAACTTTAATCCAAATTTTTCTTTTTAAAGATGTCTCTCCAAAATCTTTGTATTATTACTTTTTAAGTTATTTTTTGACAAGTTATAGAAATATCACATATATGTTTGCTCATTCCCTTTTTTATAGTAAAAGTTTTGGTATTTAAGTGAGCTTAGAACAATGAACAGCTTCAAGAAATGATCTTACTTTTTCACAAAAACATTCATGGTTTTGCTTGTTCTAGGCATGGACCGCCTCCACTCTCACCTCCATGTCACCCTGGTTTCAGAGGGCCCCCACCATACCCACGAGGCAGAGGCATGCCACCACCTGGCCCCCCACGCCACTTCCTCCCTCGCGGACCAAGAGGGTAAGACTTGTTTCAGCTCTAATTTACACCGTAACTCGTCGTTTCACATTTATTCCCTCTTTGTTGTCACACTTATAAGATCCTTTATTCTCCATGAGACCTTTTCCTCCCAACCTGTTCCAATGTTTAACTGGTGCTAAAGCCTGCTAAGTTTATTGTGTTTCCACTGACACAGTCAGGCAGTGAACTTTAAAAACTGGGTCCATCAGTTTTGTTTTAGTATTGATTGATCAAATTAAAAAGAGTAAAATACACAAAGTACATTGTACTTGTACTGTGTTTGATATAGAGATAGTGATGCAGTATCCTTATTTTTGCAAGGATACTGGGATAAATAACAGTTGTGGTTAAATTGTCTGCACACTACGATTCTTTGCAAAAACGTAATAGAATGAGAAAAATCAAACTTTAACTGGATGAGATGTCTATAAAGACATAATGACATGACTTTGATTTGGCTTTGTGGTGGTGGTGAAGCAAAGCTGTTCTTTTTTGACCCCAGTTAAGAACTGGCTGTAGCACCAGCCATGCTTCTCAACTGGAACCTGTTTGGTGGAAAAGCCCTGAGTAAAGATTCTAACGTCTTCTTTTTCTCTTAAACCTGCTTTATTTATAAATATAACTTGCTCATATTTATTTGGAATTTGATCACATGCTAGAAAAAAAATGACAGCATTATTATTATTATATGCCCTATGACAACAAACCTCTAGCTAGTTGATAATTGAGTCTTTAAATAGAAACATAGAAATTTATTAGCATCATGAAGCCAAGCCATTTTAACAGTGCATGACTGATAGAACTGAAAAAACACATCTTTTGCTTCTCACATGTACAGAGTTGCTTGAGAATAGTCTAGAGATGGCTGCTCTTACCAGAGTTTGCCCCCTATTGGCCAAAGCCAAGTATCCAATGTGTGATTTTATCCTTTTACACAGCTACCACAATGGACCGGTCTCTCCTCCGCCTCACCCCCCACCTGGCAGAGGCCAGAGGTGGCCAGGCCCCCCTGGTGGCCGCCGATTTTAACACAGTCTAAAATCTATAGAATGACTACCCGATAATGCAGGACTGGCCTAAAATGGAGAAGGGAATGAATCGTACCTGAACTATGTGTCATACAGCATTGAATATCTATAAAACAGTCTGTGGCCAAGTATTATTGGTATTGTTTTCTGGCGAAGAAAGGAAACTTACTTGTTCCACATAACATGATGCATAACTTGGCAATGTGAAAGCATTAACACATTGTGTTGCTCATAAATAATGTTGGCACTGCAGAGACTTTGATATTGTTAAAAGCTGTTTGTAGTTGAACTCATTGTTCTCAAAGAGGGAAAAAAAAATGTTTCGTAAATGTTCTGTTATTCTTGTCACCTGTTAGCCTTAACATTTTTCCTGATTTCTAAAAAAAGACTAAAAATATGGTGGCACTGTATATTTAAAGGTGGGAGAAAAGGGAGAAAAAAGTACTGTGCCCTCAAGGATTAATGTTACACCCTGGACCTCCCTTGTATTTCCTTTTGTTACGTCAAGATAGTTATGTATTATGTCTCAAAATAGTGCAACAAATATTGTTAAACACTTGCTCTTTTTGTCAAGTGATAAGACGACATTGAATTTGTCAAGTATTCGTGAATATTTACTTTTATAATATCTTAAATGTGCAGCTATTTTACGTTATGAGTACTGCTATTTGAAAGATTCATGTTGTTTCAAGCAATCTATTGTGAAATGACACTAAAGCATCATACATAAATAGTATACTGAAGAAATTTATACAGTAATTCAATTTTATTTATATTCACTTTAGTTAAGTAGAAGTTACTCTTTATTCTGTTTTAGTTTTTTGAGTTGTTACTTTATTATTCACTGTAATTAACATCACTTTTGTGAACCTGTGAATGTGTTTTATGAAAACGTTTCAGATATGAGACAGTCGTGAAAGAAAACAAAAATAAAACAAAAAATTAATAAACTCTACTTCTCCTTATTTGTTATTCACAAACAAGTTTGAGAGTTTGAGGCGATTTTCATGTCAGTGCCTTGCAAAAGTCTTCATACTTACTGAATGATTCCCCGTTTTGTCACGTTGCAACCACATACTCCAATGAACATTATTGGGATTTTGTGTGGTAGACAAACACAAGGTAGCATGCAATTGTGAACTGGAAAATAATGCTTGATTTTCAAACTTTTTAACAAATAAAAATCTGAAAATTGTGGATGTCCATTAGTTTTCACCCCCATCTGAATAAACCAATTTTCACTGCAATTGCAGTCTTTTATAGTATGCTCCCACCATTTTATTTATTCCTACTTTCTACTTCACAATTATGCGCTACTTTTTGTTCATGAGGCATAAAATACTACATATACTTCAGAATTTATGGCAAATATGAAAATAGGCAGAAAATATAAATATCTTTACAAGAAACAATGAACAATATGAGTGATACTTTCAGTGTGAGGCTATATTTTATACTTGCATAAATATATTTTATGCATGTAACTTCAGAGATTAGCTATTTGAATGCTTAAATTGGAAATATTTTATACACTTTTCCGGTTTGGAAAAAGATTGTATGTAATTCAGCACATGTATTACATTGTCACATCTATTTATGGAGTTTAGCTTAAGTTACAGTTACGGGCAAAATAGAAAAGAGAATCAAATATGTCTATCTATGCTAAACGGAGAGTATAAAAAGGGTTTTATAAGAGGTGTTTTTGATTGCTAATGTTACTGGAGGACGTAGGACCGCTCCAATATCAAGGCTTTGAAAAGCTCATGTCATGATACAAGAATCAGTGGTAGCATGTCTAAAAGGAGGATATCATCCTGAAACTCAGTGAGATGAGTTAGCACTATAAATTTTCTGGCTGTTTTAAGAAAAAATATATATGCTGTTACATTCATGTATGCAGTAAATGTGATCAGGGTTCTTAGACAATATTAGCACTGTAATAGCTCCGTCCTTATTTCTCAGTAGCTTTTAAAGTTACTGAGTATCTAGTTGTATCAATAAATTACTAAAATAAGTAAAAATATATTTGGTTATTGGAATGTCAAATATACAAGATAAGCTCTTTATTTCTGTTAATCTCTGAGCCCTTTTTAGGATGGCGAATTTCTTCAAATAAAGCAAGCATTGCTCACTTGAAATTGTATGATTTATTTAATCCGAACAAGAACTTTTAATCCTCTTCTAGATGAGAGCGTTTTCATACTTCCAACCAGAGATGCTGCAGAATGATTAAATCCTGCAGACCCAAGAGGGGTATCAATTCCAGGTGCAGCCCCCTCTCATCATCTGTTTATCTCCATCTCTTCCAGTATTGTTTTTATTTTGCTCTTTCTTCCACCTCTGCAGTCCCCCCTCATGTCTCTAACTGTGGTTGATTATAACAGACTGACTGTTGTTGTCTCCTGAAGGGGGGCACACAGTACAGTTAACCTCCCTGGCCCCAGGAGCCCAGATCCTCCCTCACATCCCTCCTCTCCTTCACCAGCAGCGTGACACCTGAGAAAACGCGACGCCTCAATTGACAAGGTGAGCCTCGTCTTGTGTCTTTAATGCCTCTCTGACCAAGAGAAATTTTCAGGACAGAAGGCGCAACTATATTTGAGTTTCATCACATATGGAGAGACGCAGAATATTTATGGGTTATGCTCTGCTTCAGTGCCTTTTTTAATTAAATAAAGAGGTAAAAAATAGCTTTAAACTTTATGGAGCTGCTGGATTGTGATTTTAACATAGATGAATTAGATATTAAATAAGAAGTTCATAAAAAAAATTTAAAAAATCATTCCTCCTCAATTACCTCACGGTTGTGTCCTCTGAGGTTGAAGTTCACTCTCTAATTGTCATCTCAATTAAGATAGATACCAGTGTGTGCAGTATTGTAATTACAAAAGGCTGTTTAGATGTAATATTTGGAATGGGCGTCTTTTAATTGCCATGCATGCAAATTCTGCATTTCGGGAATGTGTGGGTGGATTGTGTGAAATAATACTATGGCAATTATATGCTTTTTTGATATATATAAATCAAGTTAACATGATCTACAAAGGTGACCCATTCAAGAAAGGGCACCACTGCTAACTTGATAATTGAAACACAGTCTGTTCAGATGACCATTTTGCACTTATGTGCCGCTGAAAATAAGCATTAAAAGTTGGGAAAGGTTTATATTAACAGGTGTTCATGAATTCAACATTTATCATTTTTATTTACCTAGTTTTCAACTTTATCACAGCAATAATTCTGTAAATTCCTGTAATAATGACTGAGGAGAAGCTTTTTAACAAATACAAATAAGATTTTTTTTTTTGCATGTTCTTATTTTAATTTATGAAGTGTCATTATGAAAGGCTATTGCTTCTCAGAAAAATATATAACTGTGGAGTTCAGATATTTGTATGCATCACAAGTTCCCTATTTCTCTCTGATTACCAGGCATCCTACAAACATAAGACAATATATTATTCTTAATCAGTTTTGGTTTGACTGTATATGGGGCTAAAAATATTTTGATACCTTTGACACTTTGCATGCTAACATAGCTAATAAGCAAGCTATGTTTCAATTAACTCATGTAATGTATCAGTTATTTAACGTATGCATGTTCTTTTTCATTACTGCTAAAAGCTGAATATTTGGAATGTTGTACTGTGATGTCTGTGTGTCAAGAATATAATAAACACACACTCAAAAAATATATGTGTGCAGGTTTTTTGTTGTATGCAAGTATGATATGAAGAAATTAATAACTTCAACAACAGATAATCAATGTATTATATTAACATAATAACTAAAAAACACACTTCCATGTAAGATTTGATTCAAAATTTTACTTAGAAATGAATGTTTACACACAGAAATGAACTGAACAATAATGTGTTTAACACATTAATAAATGGATACAAAATATGAAGCTACCGTTCAGTAATCTGCTATGTTTAGAAATATTACAGCATTACCTGTGTACAACCGGTTACACTTTTTCCAGTAAAGAAAATTCATTAGACGACCTATTTACTGGATTTGTCATCAATGGGGAGATCTTTCCACATGGGTTCAAGGATATGATCTGGAATCTTCTCCATAGCGGTCTAAAATGTGAACAAAGGAGAATAATCAATTGTCATGCATAAATTATTAACTCTTCATAAAAGTTGCTGTTCTACTGGTTCTTCACTTCCTTACCTTTGACACCTCCATGGCTAAACCCTCAGGGAGATTCCTCTGGATGTATTCAAGGTACACTTGTGCTGTGCAGCCTGTAACATGCAGTAGCTAAGAAGATGAACACAATAGTTATTAAAAACACTGCATTTTGTCATTGTTCATGGTTGAATTTTGCTTAAAAATTGAAGCCTCCACCTCAATAGAACGGTAGTGTGTCCTCATCTCATACTGAACCCTGTGCTTCTTGTAGATGTGCACTGACTTCAGTAGCGTCAGCTTCTCTATATCCTTCGGAGGCTCAAAACTGGTCGAAAAGAGTAGTAAAAATCTTGAAGTTACAAGGTGTTCATAGTGCTTGAATGAGCTTCTGATGTCTTGCCACTGAGACTCACACTTTGCCCATAGTTATGCCCAGCTCTTTAGCTGCCATCGTGGCAAAGAACTCATAGCTGTCCAGCACGGCTCTGTCATGAGCCTTGATCAGAACAACCACCTTCTGGAAGAGGGTGTCGGGCTCGTCTGTGACAGTGATCTGGATAGAGGACCACAAATGACTAATTTAACACCATCACTCTTTGATAGAAATATTTTGATTAAGTTTGATGTTAAAATACAGAAAAATGCCACTTGCTGGAAAAGGAGTTGAAGATAAATATGCAGCTGTGTGGAAGAAAGAGTTGGGTCTTTGTAGCAATTCGAACCTGCACAGAGTGAAATATTACAGCTGTATGAATTATAGAGGCCTGATTAAAATCTCGTATTGATTTTAAAGCTGCACTAAATAGGCACATCAAATGTGTTTTGAATTTTACTGATCTTGATTTAAGTTAAGATAGCTCTTCAATACAATGTTCAGGTATTGTTGCAGAATCAAAATGTATACAACTGAACAAAAGAAGCTACTCAAAACTTTAATATAACAATAATTGCGTTTTAAACTGTTAAAATGTAGTGTCATGACTCAATACTGTCTGAAAGCCAGTACAGAATAAAATAAACTTACCGAGTTTGACTACATTTCCTGTGATTGGAACAAGCTCCCAAACCTCTCGGTCCCTATGAACAATAAAGTTAATTAGGTACAAATCTATATATTATGACATTCATGGTGCTGAAGGAGCCACGGGTGACCGCAATGGGGGATTAGATGACCATTTTTATCAATTCAACGAGCAATAATGTTTCTTAATTATTCAAACAGGATATTTAAAACAAGAAATGTTATCGTTAACATACCAGCTGTGAAATTCCACCTAATATTTTAACTAAAGAGAATAACTCCCGTCTGAGTATCAAGGGCGCAGCCATGTTTTAAAAAACCTTGCAATTTATTTTCTGTACTGCCCTCTTGTGTATTGGAGAACACACTACATCACGGAATTGATACAAAAGGATTTAAAAAAGCAAACAGAAAGCTACATTTTTAGCAACAATTTTATAAGCTTTACTTTATTCAGAACATAATTTATATAATGTAATAAAAAAATTTCAAAGGCTACTATCATCAATTTTTGGATTATATTTTCTAACATTCAGTTTTAGCTCATTAAATTGATGAAGAAAGTGAGCATTTTAATAGTGTATGATTGGGGGGAAAATGCTATATCCTATAAATCACTTTTCTGATGAAGATGTCATACTTCGTCAACCTCAGTATATATGCAAGTATTTTTTTATTGCAGCAAATTTGAATGTTTTATTTGGCCATAAAATCATAAAAATCAACATAAATGCAAGCTGAAGTCAATGGTTGGTATCTGATAATGAAATAAATTAAAACTTATATCTGCAAAAAAAAATGTACCAACAATATAAACTAAATAATAAAGTAACGTAGATGAGATGTTTACTCAAATATAATTAATAAACAGGGTATAAAGTGGACAAAATAAAACAAATAATGTAATACTTGTTACAATTAATAATGAAAATATGAATAATTAAGAACTAAAATGAAGACACACACAGAGAATAATATCTGCTTAGCTAAATAATAACAAATAGAAAATAATAATTAACTTCAACTACTCAATAATACGCTTTCTTGCTTGCTATTAGAAACGTCCACAATCACAGTTTATTTTATTTACAGATGTGGTTAATTTACAACGTATATGTAAATATTAATTATTCATTTTCCCCCCAAATGTGTAAGATCTTTATTGAAGGAAACTACACGTCAATTGAGCTGTTTGTATTTATGATCATTCAAATAATAGTCGTAGCATGAGCTGGTAATAATAATGAGTAAACAATGCAAATTATTTGTATCAGTTTTATTTAGTTTGACCCTCTTCCTCCAGTTCATTGCCTGTTTTCCAACGGTCGCTGTTTCTGCAATAGTCAGCGAAGCAGTGACAACAAATGAAGCGTGTCTCCTCTGACAATAAAGAGCTTGTATTTTTATCCACACGTGGAGAAAGATCAAAGTTAAACCGCTACAGTTGTTGGTATAAATAATTCAGTCGGCTTGGGTCACGTGTCCGTCACGTGTCTCAGCTGTCGGGGCCCTGCCAGTGTACAGTAGCTCTGAGGCTGCAGGCGGAGGAATCGGCAGCAGCGGCAGCAACAGCAACACATCGAGCCAAGGTAAGCTCCCCTCTGCCCACTGGTGCTTCTGTGGCTTTGTTCACAGCGGGGCTGGGTTTATTCTCACTCTTTGTTCACTACACCAATTAGCTGTCGTTGTATTCCGAAGCTGTCTTTAAATATTGAATAAACTCTAGAGGAAACGGTTCTGTTAGCCGTAGCCGTGTTAGCGACAGTGCCAACGGAGGCTGGACGGTTAATGTTTCGGCTGAAGATGGGGCTTCGGGTTCGGGTCCGGCTAGCTGTTCGGCTAGCCAGCCCAGCGTTCACTGGTTGTTTTCTTTTGTTACGCTCCGACACTCCTTACTGTGGTAGCTGTATTCTAGGTGATCTGCTGAGATGTTTTGTTTTTTGGAGCCAGCAGCTCCACTGGCTCGACCCCAACATCCAACTGTTGGCTAGCAGCTGTTAGCAGGCAGATAAAGGCTGTTTTTGAGTCCTCTAATAAACTAACAACAAAAAAAAAAGTTTAATTACATGTATTATTGCGTGTCATTGTTTCTTTTTCTATTGCGCAAGAAACAGTTTGACCAGCATCTATTAATACTATTACTCTGTAATTTGTTAATGTAAAACTGTTGTGATAACTGGACTCTCATGTATCAAATTGATTTTACATACATTTCGATTTCAATCAACTAGGCGGGTGTCGTTTTATTGTCATTGAGCGGGGAAAAAAGTCTTGAAATGTTGAAACCCAGTTTTTTGTACCTGTTTTTTACACAGACTGCTTTTATGCAAGTTTAAACGCCAATCAAGCCTTATTTGTGTTGAATCCTTTTTGCAACTTCATGCAACTCAAGCTGTTTTAGAATATTTAAAACGACGCTCTCCTCCTTTAGTCACACCAATCAGTCTAAAAGAAATCAAGACTGTTTTTCCTCTGATCAGTAGACACAATACAGAAAAATCTGATGAAGATTGAAAGTAAAAATTGTGAAATAAAATGAGACAAAATCAAAGATAATTAAGAAACAGCTCAATTATCAGATGTAGACCCGTTTTCCATAGATTGGCTTCTTATTTGTGCAATCAGCATGTCAAAGGCATGCTTTCTAATTCATCGATTGCATCAAGCTGACGACTCCTAAAATTTTGGCGTACAAAGCATCAGCAAAAAGCGCTTGATACATAAATTATTATGATCTTGTAATTCCATAATAATAAGAAAAAGAAATCAATCTGTTGCACAAATTTAAAAAAAAAAATTTGTGGTGTAGGCTTCAGAAGAAAAGAAAACTCAGCAATTGCAACATCAATTACTGGATTTATCTCAAAGAAAGATTGGTAGCAGCCAGAAAAAGAACCCGATCAGTGCTTTTCCACACCGGATTCTTCTCAAAACCAACCAAAGAGGGGACACTGTTAAATAATGTGGCAAAAGAAGTTAAAATGACTGTTCAACACACTTTCTAGTCATGAAAAAAAGCAACAATCTTCCATTGATTTTGACTGAATGTTTTTCTTTTCTCTAAAGAACTCACAACACAAAAGAGAGCATATTCTCTACTTTTTATTCTTACTTTTGATGTGTAGATCTCGTTTGATCGAGGTAATATCAGCCTATTAATTAGTGCATAATTAGGATATATTGTAAATATTTGTCAGTTTAATATAATAAGCAATGTAAAAACAAGTGAAAAAGGATACATTTCTTAAATACAAAGAAAAAGATCTAAATTATGGTTTAATGTCTGGCAACCTGTCCAGGGTGGACCCTGCGTCTCAACCAATGGCTGCTGGAAAAATGCACCATTCCTACCGTAATCCTGCAAGTTGTTGTGGGTATAGACAACAGATGGATGGATTAAATTAAACCTAAATATCAAATAAAAGAAAATATAAAAGTCAAATGCGTTGTGTTATTTTAAATCTAAAAAAGATGCTAAATTTAAAAGATTTTTCTTCAGTTAACCTCTAAACACTGTGTTTAGAGATTTTCAGTTGTAATGGCATCCAGGTCGGTATTAGTCGATGTTAGTAATTTTTTAACGTATCTGTCCAATAAGTAAAACCAGGTTGATATGAACAACCTATGTTTATTTTCTATCTTGTTTTTGTTTGTGTTTCAGGAGGAGGTCAGGGTGGTATTTGTTTGGTCAAGTGAAAGTGATGCATTGTAAGATTGTGGGAGTGTTAAACTGAAGCAGAGAAGCAATGTAGGTCGTGACATGTAGGAAAATATACAAAATATTGTTTTTTTTTACCATAACTTTAGCCCAAATGTTCATACTAGCGCATAGTTTTTAGGGTGGACAAGAATAGAAAATGGAGGCCTTTCTGTATGTTTTAGTTTAGTTTTTAAACCTGCTACCAGAAGACTTGAGGATGCTAGAGGGCTCCTACAATAAAATGGCCCTTAAATAAAATTGACTACTTCTATTAAGAGTCTTCCTGCAAGAGGAAACCTTATTATAACATTATATTGAAATAAAACAGAAGCTTAAATGACGAATTGTTTTTCTAAAATAGATAAGTCTCTAATTAAACATGCTTCCGCTGAGCAGCAGGGACCTTGAACTATTTTCGGTGGGCACATTAATATTTCAGTCAGTGGCTATGGGTGGCAGGTGAAGGATTTTACTGTCTTTTTCGTGGGTTGGTTTTGTTTTTGTTTCATCAGATCATTTCTGCGTGATAACATTTGTTGCTCTGTGTCACCTAGCAGCCCTCTCTAGAGTCCCCGAGGCAGCTTGAAGAAGCAGACAGGCTGACATGATGAGGTTCCCAGGAGAAGCTGCTCCCCTGTGGGCTGACAGCTGATAGAGAGGAGTCCCTTCTCCTCTCACACGCGCAGTCAGGAACAAACGAGGAGGACCATGAACGTCGAAACCAGACCCATTTGAAGAAAAACGTCACTCGGACCAACTGGAAGCACTGCCTGGTTGAACATGCTTGTTTTTGGGCGTAGAAGATGCAGCTTGTTTTTGATGTCTCTTTTTGCTCTGCTGCTGACATGAGTGGCGTGGTTTTTGCTACATTAAATGTCTGAGTATTTCTTTTTTCACATTGCTGGCTTTTGTTGCCTTGTCCACGAAACTGCATCAGCCACGCTGTTCAAAAACATCACAATGACTTGAGTGCCTTTTTATTTTAAATTTTTTTTTTGCAACCCAGTTGGCTAAATGACATAATTAATTCAGCAATTCTGACGTCCACAGTTTTCTGATCCTATTTCTTTATTTTGGGGAAGTTTTGATTGATCACTTTTACTCACTGTTGCAGATAGCCAAAGGAAAGCATAAGTACTATGCACCGTTGTTGCTCACACAGATCCTATACAAAACCATTGACCTCACAGGAAGAGAGGGAGTCATAACAGCACCCAAACCCGGACGAAGAACCTCTCCCATCTCTCTGTGTAGTCGTTTTTTATTGAGGGGGTTCTGAGAGCTGCAGGGATGTTTGCTTCCGTGGAGCATGGCCCGGTGCTCTGTAGCGACTCCAACATCCTGTGTCTGTCCTGGAAGGGCAGAGTGCCCAAGAGTGAGAAGGAGAAGCCGGTGTGCAGGAAGCGGTACTACGAGGAGGGCTGGCTCGCTACCGGGAACAGCCGGGGGGTCGTCGGGGTCACGTTCACGTCCAGCCACTGTAGACGGGACCGGGCCACGCCGCAGAGAGTGAACTTCAACCTCAGAGGACACAACAGTGAGGTAATTGGGGAGTAATGATTTTTTTCTTTTTTAAATTTTAAACTGCTTATTTAATGTCTATCTGATTTATCTATGTTAAAATCACAGCCTAGCTGAGCAATTTTTGGTATAATATCTTATTTAGTAGTATGAGTTACAATTAAACTGGAACTGCAGCTATTGAAGTTTTCAGAAATATATATTTTTGCTTTACCAAGTCTGCATGTGTGGAAAAATGAAAATTATGTGCAAAACATGGTTCATTTTTCTGACATGGTGTCTTCTTCCAACCTTCCAAAGATAAAAATCAGCTTTTCTGGAGAATAAAATGTGTAAAATTATGAAATAAGTATTAAAATATAAAATTAAAATAAGTTTATTTTTTTGTAAAGCTCTGGCCTGCTATTAAGCAGTTTTAGTTAAACCAAGTCTTACTTTGGTTTAAGAACTATAACGCTATTTAACATAGTTTAGTGTTTAATTTTTGGGTAAATCTTCTGTTCATAATAATTTGTCTGGATTACAAAAAGCTTTTACGGCAAAGGAACACAAAGTTTCTCCTTTTAACTTTATTATCCTGCTTATTATTAAGAAGAGTTACAAATCTTGGTACACAGACATGCAAAGTGTAATGTAATAACCTTTTGCTCCTTTTTGTGTTGCTTTTTTTATGTCGTTACTTGATCAAGTCAACTTGAGAGATGATATTATACATGTGGATTCCATTACATATTATATCATTACTGAGTTGTCATCTTAAGTTACGTTTAATGTTAGTAGTTAGAACTTTTAGCACGACTATCACTGCTTATTGTCACATCAGTTGCTCTCTGTATTTTCCACTTAGTAAATCGAGCCTATGTAGGGTTGAGATTTTCTCTACTGCCTGTAAACATTTTCTAATCCAACATGTTTCATGACAGATGGAGGTTTAAAGCACAAAAGGATAAAATAGGAAAAAAAAAATCTGTAAGCTGTTCAGCCTTCTTGGTGTCTGCCAAGGTCTCTCTGGTTTTCAAAGTTAGATGGACTTTCTGTGTGTTGCATTGAGTTTTTCTCTGAAGTCGGGGTGAGAATTCATCGCTAGAACACAAAATGTACACTTCTTCCATTTGACAAATGGAAGAGCATAAAGAATATATTTAGAACTTTGATTTAAACTTTATAGATCTTTAAAAACAAAAGATGAAGTGTCCTGTTGATTTCTTTCCTTCTAAGGTGGATGATGTCATTCTCTTTTCCAACACAGAAGTATCTATCTTTGTTTAGTTTAATTGGAGCACTAGGTTTTATAAAGGCACAATCAGTAGGAGTCTGTGGGAGTGGAATCATTTAATAGAAATTTTATTGGGGGTTGTGGTTAGAGGCAAGACTTCTCCCTGACTCATGCTTTGACAGTCTTACATCAGATCTCCCTGCTACTCCCAGTCACAACATTGCAGCGCTCCAGTCTGTTGTTGCTCTCGAGTCTCAGCGTGGTTAAGCGCTCGAAAAGCTTCCCACTATCAGTGCAATGAGGCCGCGGCACTTCATCAGAAACATGAAATGACTAAATCCTGAGGCAAATAGCTGCTGTGTGTGGGGGGGGAACTGATTGTTGCCGTCAGCATATAACGGAGCTGGCACCGATGAAACCGCACACAGGTTGCAGCTTCGCGTTCTGTGGGTGGAGCTGCTGGTCAGATGGAGCATGGTGCTGTGTCAGCATTCCATAAGGCGGCTGAGGGGAGAGTGGATGGATCCCAACACGGAGGGACTGAACCAGAGCGAAAATGTCATTTAACTCTGCCCACTTGAACTCGGTCCAAACACCTATTCAGTTTGGCTGAAATGTCCCTTCTGTTGTTTTTCTGTAATTTGTGCGTAGCAGAGCAAATTTAAGTGATTTTAAAAAAAAATTATTATTATTATTATTTATTTATGCTAAATTTGACCAATATGTATACAATAGTGCAAAAAACAATCATAATATTTGTTAAAAGAGATGTTTAATTGCAACTGACTTTTAATTGTTTGTCTGCATTTTACTTCATATACCTGACAATAAACTCCACTGAAATAAATAGGTTAGAATTTTTAGATTGACTCAGAGAAAAATGCTTGTTATTCATCTTTTCTCATCCCAGAAACATTGAGACAAAAGCCATAAATAACCTCCCTTCCATAAAGCTATAAATGCTTTTAGAAACATAAAATCCTGTCAAACAGTCTAATGAAATCTGTCACATATTTGACAGATGTCTTTGCTCAAGAGTGTGATTTTTTTTTCCTGTTTTTATTTAAAGTGAAATAAATGAAGGAAATGCAACAAAACAAAGGATTTTATTCTAAGGGTCCTGGCATAAAAAAAATTTCCAATATTGTGTCACAAGGCATTTTAAGATCAAACTTCTTTGCAGTTTTTAAAAAGAGCTTCACCAAGAAATGTATTTATCTTTTTTACCCTCTTTCTCTGAGTCTTATCCTTTTGGTGTCAGCTTCATCATTGACTATGACTTGTGTCCTAAATTAGCTCAAGTCACGTTTTTAAAGAAATATCACACAGAAATGCACTACTAAACCGTTTGCTCATTTAACCCAGTTAATAGAATAGAATAGAATAGAATAGCATTTATTGTCATTGAACAGGATTCAACAAAATTTCTATTGCAAATTCAAATTTCTATTGCAAAGTCAAAATATACAATATTAAATAAACAAACACACAATAATAATAATAATATATACAACTAAAATTAACTAAAGGCACTCAACCACACCAAGAAGAAGCAGCAGGTCCAATTATGGTAAAGTGCAGATGATGTGACAGTGCAAGTGCAGAACAATATGGCTGTGTGGGGGTTGGAGGGGGGTGTATGTGAGGTTATGATATGTGTGGGAGGGGGCGGAAGGGAGTAATGGCTCTGACGGCTGTGGGGAAGAAACTGTTTCTCAGTCTGTTTGTTGTAGTCCGTATATTCCTGTACCGCTTGCCTGATGGCAGCGGCACAAACAGTCTGTGGCCCGGGTGGTTGGAATCCATGGCTATGGATCCAGCTCTCTTCTTGACCCGGCCCGTGTAAATAGAGTCCAGGTCCGGGAGGGGGCATCCCACAATGCCTTGTGCTGTTCTCACCACCGTTAATCTGCAGTTTTTAAGAAAAAGTTTGCTTCTAACATGACATGGCATGAAAGAAAGTCAGTTTCAAGCTCTCAAATAATTTTTTATTATTTTAGGAAAACGGATTAAACATTTTAACAGTGCAGGATCCATGTTGAGGCTGTCACAGGGCCGAGTTAAAGAGTGAGTGTGATGTGTGGCTGGTGTTCCAAGTGTCATTCATATAGAAACCTTTAGTTTAATTTAAAGCCAGTAGATGAGGGGAAAGTTTCAGTCAGACAACTAACTGCATTTGTTTTGTGAAAGACTATCATTCTTCCAGAGATTTGGAAAGGTATTTATGTTGGTTTTCCTCCATTTTGTTAAAAATCAGTAATCTCTTCATTGTCTGCTTGGTAAAAAATGTTAGATGAAGAATAATTGCAAAACACCAACCTTTTTCAGAAGTTGTCTGATGTGTGTTAAAGGATTGATTTTTCAAGATTTTATTTCTGTTTTCAGGAGTCTGAATGCTCTATATCTGTATATTGTGTACCTTTTCCATTATTTAACTAAAGTTAGAATGCAGAGAATGGTAAACAAGAAACTCTCAGATGTTCTAAGATTAAGAAGCCATTATGAAACCATTCAGAGGAGACTTCTTGGTGGCTTCTTACCCAGAGGCAGGAGTCTCTGGAGGTCCGATCCAGAGTTTTCTCTCTGACAAAGAGAGATAAGTATCTTAGGTCCCTAAGATAATCCAACAGAGACATGTGACCTCAGGGCATAAAATAATGTTTACGTCTTGTTCAGACTTGAATCCTACTTGACCCCTTAACTGCATTAAAATGGTCTCACCAAATGTGCTTAGTTCAGATGGCTGTGCAGTGGTAATCCATCCTGGGAGAGAACATGTTGCATAACTCCTAGGGCTCAGCTGCAACCCCAGATTCTCTGCTCTTCCTCCAGAGTTACCAACAGAAATGGTGTGGCCTCCACACTGCTAATATATACTCACAGAAACATCTATACAACTCGCTATTAAATCAGGTTTTTATTACATACAAGATAGACTCAAACATTTCAGCTTGTATCTCCCCTCCCTGAAAGTACTGTACTGTTACTGTTCTGTGGCATTGCAGATCATTCCACGCAGCTTTGCTCAAAATTCAGACTTTCTTGCCTTTGAATCAGCATAGTGCATAGCTTTTCTTGAAGTGAATTTTATGTCTGACTTAATATCCTGTCAAAGTAAGGTTGGAAGGGCTGAAGGCTGTGGAGGGAAAGTGGACATTCACATTTAACTGTGACTTAAAAGTGAAATCCTGTATCAGCAACTCTTATGGGTGTGCAGGCAATAGTTCTATTCATTTCTTAGAACTGTATTTGGTTTCATTGGGAATGTTATTATTTGATAAAACTGAATTTTGAAGTCAGAGAATAAAAAGAAACAGTTGAATTCATCTTTTTATTTTTGTAACTTAAACAGTAGGATCACAGTGAAAATGATCTGAGGAGATGTTAGCAACTGTTTAAGAACGCCAATTGTTTTTAGTTTCTTAATGCTGGTGCTCACTTTGCTGGATGCTGTGTTACATCGCCTGTTGAAAACAATTCCTCTCTGTTCTACTATAAAATATACAATCCTGCTTAACAAGTCTTTGTCGTGTATCTGTAGGAGGTTGAATGTTTGCACGTGACTGTATTCTCTCCATCTCTTTGGAGAGAATCAAGTGCTTTCTCATGCCTGTCTCCATGTGACATCTGATCTCCCTGATCGTTGCATCACAGCGAGGTGCTCAGGTGGGATCCCCTCACCATCTTACACTAATCTCCACTCCGAGCTAAATTTACATCCATTCACAGTTTATTGTCGCCTCTGTGGCATTGCAAGTACACGTGATGTACGAAATGGGCATGTGTGAAAATTGGGTTGATTTATTTATTACATTTTTTTCCCTCTCTCTCTTTTAATAGTCATGACTATGAGAAAAATAATAGAACATTCAGTCTTTGATATATGTGTAATATGAAGATTTAATCTCAACTTGTACAATGCCAACTAAAATGTGTACTTCCTTGGTAATTCTATGACTTGATTGATTAGTATTAATGTAAAGGCGTAATTAATCCAGAACCTACACTATAGCTTCCCAGTACCATCATGTTCATCGTGCCCAAAAATGTAAAATAGCACTTGATTGATTTTTTACTTATTTATTTTTTTAACTATTATTTGTTTTTACCAGAGAAATTCACAAAACTCAGTGTTTCATTATAGCCTAAATGTGTTTCGTTATAACTTTTAAATCACAATATCAATTATTTCGATAAACCATTCATGGTATTCATAAATGTATAACTTTGCTTTTTTATCATCATTTGTTCAAAATAAGTAAAAAGCCAATTTTCATGAGCATTTTCATTAGATGCTTATCACAGAAAATAATAAAATATTCTTTGGTTTCCCAAAGGGATATTCTTGTTTATTTTCTTAGTTACTCTTTTTGGCATGTTGATTCCCAGTTTAAGGATAGACGCTGTATTGATTTTTTAATTTTTTTCCAACTTTCATTGACTGATCTGTCGGAGTCACACTTATCTGAGTGCCTAAGCCGAACTAAGACCTTGGTCTTGTGTATTTGAGCGTGTAAAGCCCACGTGCTCTGGTCGGTGAAAGCAGAGCTGCTCTTTTCTTTGGATTACTCCCTTGGGAATCGGCTGAGTCACTGTGCACGAGACCAGAGAATGACTGGGAGAGCATAGAGCAATGTCGTCGGAATGATAACAATGTCAGAGAAGCTGGTCATTAACGGTTTGATCTGTGCTGTGTTTAATGCCTTCCATGTGTAATCACTCAGAGGGAAAACACAAACCTGTTCATGTTTGAATTGCTGATGCCAGGCTTTATATGTTACAGCATTTCTTTATTTCTTAGCAGAATATGGACTGAATGTATGAAGTCGTGTTGTCTGTAATATGTAGGATATTAGCACCTCCTCAGTGACTTTCTCCAAATGAGGTTAACCTACTTTTTCTATTTCCATCTAACATGAAGCTAAATTTAGATCATAAAATATTGTGAAAATCAATATTCCTTTTGAGCTTTTTTAGGCTTCAACTGATTCTTATTTGGAGCAAATTTATTATCTGTCAGTGTTTTGATCATCGCAGCTTTGTTGCTTATTTATCTACACAAAGCTCAGCCACAAAGAAAAATCATTTCCATATCAAGATAACGTTGTTGTCTGTTTTAACTTGAGCTGTTTTTCTTTGTTTTATAGGTGGTATTGGTGCGGTGGAATGAGCCTTTCCAGAAACTGGCCACATGTGACACAGACGGAGGAATTTTTGTATGGATTCAGTACGAGGGTCGCTGGTCTGTGGAGCTCGTCAACGACCGTGGAGCTCAGGTTAGAATTGTGACCAATGTGTTGAGAAACAGATAAATTAACAGGAGATGAGAAGGTTTCTGAAGTTCCCTCTGCATGCGTCTGTAGAAAAAATGTGTAAAAAGGCTAAAAATAAGTTGCAGTTGCTAAAATTGCAAGACAATCTTTGAAATGAACTTGGATTGAGCACTCCAAATAGGTCTGATATTAGACCAAAAAAAATATCAAAAGATGAATATTTGGATAACATGTTAAACACAGAAACTGGCATTGCTTTCTAACAAAACGACTGTAACAGAGAAAGTTTCTACAAACTCAGTTTATTGTTCATTTTTTTGCTTTTCCTTCATTAGAACTCTTAGCAACATTTTACAATTTATATTATTACATAATGATCCCTGTAGGTGAGTGACTTCACCTGGTCGCATGACGGAACGCAGGCTCTCATCTCATACCGTGACGGCTTTGTCCTGGTGGGCTCTGTCAGCGGACAGAGACACTGGTCTTCTGAGATAAACTTGGAAAGTCAGATTACCTGTGGAATCTGGACTCCTGATGACCAGCAGGTAATTCATACACCGAATAGATAAATTAACTACATTTCCTGAATATAGCAAGTGGTACAGGATCAAAGTAGCACCAGAACATCACACTATTACAATTATATTTCATTGTTATTGTTTTTTTCCTAGAACATCACACTATTATGGTCATATTTGGTTCTTATTGTTATTTGTAACTGGAAAAAACACTTCCAGTTGTTCCACTTGTGTCTTTTCAATCAAGTCCTGGAGGTCATCAAGATGATCATAACGGGTTGAAATTGAGATTTATTTTTATAAAGGCACAGTAAATATGAACAGATTTAGACAATCCAGTTGATTCCTGATTGTATGCAAACCAAATATAGCTTAAAGTATAGCGGGTTGTTTAGCTGCTACACAAGAAAATCAGATTGAAACTTATAGAATTTAATATTTCATCTCTGCACTATGCCATCCTAGTGGACAGATGTTGAAATTTGTACTTTTATTTGCCATACTGCGTTTTTGCTTTTGGTATCCAGACAGATGAGAAAATATTTTTAAATGGCAGCAAATTTAGTTATTTTTAAACATGTTTGTGTTGGCTGTCTTTAACAAATTTGTGTTTGTCCTATAACTTTGTTTCTGTGCAGCATATAAAATTTTTCTTGGTTTCTTTCAAGTTTCATTTATCTCTATGAGTCCAACCCCTCTCCCTCCTCCACTCCTTCCTTTTTTCTTTAATTTTCTTAAAGGTCTTTGTTTTCCCTCCTTAGGTTTTGTTCGGCACAGCAGATGGACAGGTCATAGTCATGGACTGCCACGGGCGTATGTTGGCCCATATTCTGCTCCATGAGTCTGATGGCATTGTTAGCATGTCATGGAACTACCCCAGCTTCCTGGTGGAGGACAGTAGTGAGAGTGACACAGACTCTGATGATTACACTCCACCCAAAGGTATTCTTCTCAAACTTTTTAAAACTGGACAGAAAACTGAACCATTATTGTTGTGAAGCTGCTCATCTTCAACCCTAACTTGTTTGAGGGAGAGGAACAGGATGCACCCTGGAATTATTTTACTGTTGTAGACAAAGAAAAATCCAGGAAAGCATAATTTTACATGACATTTTTAACTTCGGAAACAACAGTTCATTTCTTTGAACAAATGAAAAAGATGAAAAATGCTGAATTAACAAAGATATGAGAAATGATACTGTAAAGCTTTTGAAAATATTCTGTTAAGGTGCATTAGAAATATTAAGAAAAACCTGTGCTATATTGTGGGATAACTAAGGACACTCATGCAATTAAATATTTTATTTGGCAGCCATATTTAATGTATAATTCTAAAGGCACCTCCTATAAACAGGACACCAGAATTCCCTATGTCTCATTGTTTTAACTGGGTTAAAACCAGCAGTCAGATTTTAGCATTTTCTTTTTAGCTTATGCCGTTTACTGAAGTAGGAGAAATAAGACAAATATTCACTTTCAGATAAAAATAGGAAGAAACACTTTTCATAAGCTTTCATGAAGTATGATAGCAAAAAGTAAGTTTATTTTAATTGGTGTGCGTTTTCCTGTTTGTCTCCTTTTATCTTCACCCTAATTACTCCCAGTTGCCAATGTTGTTTTGTTCATGGCCTGTCTTCCTCCCACTTTGCTATTTGTTCTTCTCCTCCCTTCACCACAGGCCAAGTGCTTAAGCTGAAAAGTGCTTACCTCATCAAAAAGGCTGGCTGTGCTCTAACTCACTAATTATAACGTTCAGTAGAAATTGATTGGCTCACACAGAAATTATCTCTCAAGTTGACAACCGGACCAAGACACACTTCCTCATCAATCTTTTCTTTGCAAATGTCTTTGTCATATAGTATTTCAATAAGTCATTAATACTAAGCTAAACTTAATTGAAAGGTGCATTTTCTGTCTAGTTGAGTGATTTTTGTCTTTTTTCTCCATAACATCAGCAGTTCTGACAGCGTTAGGCACCATAAGCATGCTTTAAAAAATGTCTCACCTCTTGCCTGACAGACCATTGTTGTCCTTTATGTTCTCTCAGTGCACAGCCAGAAACCACTGCTGACAGTCAGCTTCACCTCTGGAGACATCAGCCTGATGAATAGTTATGATGACCTCTCACCCACACTGATCCGAACCGGTTTGAAAGGTGTGTGGGTCTCCCAGGAGTTAGATTACTACTTTCCTATGTTACTACCTCTTGTCACACACTTCAACGCTTAAATAATTTAAGTTCATGTTAAAAGAATGAATGCTGATTTTTGTTTCCCCGGTGCTACAGATGTTGTAGTCCAGTGGTGCTCTCAGGGCGACCTTTTGGCAGTGGCAGGGATGGAGAGAACAGTCCTCCTCTCCCCCGACGCTCCATGTTCTCCACCCATCAAGAACGCCATTGTCAAGTTCTACAATGTTAGAGGAGATCACATCTACACACTAGACACACCAGCACAGGTGAGAACTTGGAGCTGAGACATACATGGAAGCTGAGTTGAGATGTCTTCAATCTTATTTTCTTTCATCTTTCTGGTCAGAAGCAGTTTTTAACTTGGTGGTCTTTTGTCATGTTTCCACTGAGCGCTATAGCATTAGTCTGTTTCTATTGTAAAAGCGGTCCGTGCAACTGATTCATACCTCACCAGGACCATAAAATGGTGTACCAAGCCCCTGAGTGGACACAAGCCATTTCTTTCTGTTAAGCGAATGTCAGGAAAGGTGTCCCTGAGAGCTGCATATTAGAATCTAAGCTTCCTCTAAATCAGGGGTGTCAAACACCAGTACCCAAGAGCCACTGTCCTGCAGTTTTTAGATGTGCCACCGGTACAAAACACTGGAATGAAATACATTAATGACCTAATTATTCTATTCAGGTGTGGTGCAATAGAAAAAGTTGCAGGGCAGTGGTCCTCAAGGACTGAAGTTTGACACCTGTGCTCTAGATTGATTACATTAATAACATGGGCCAGATTGCTCCAGAAACATCTTTGGTTCTTCAGTGTCATAAATTCACAGTTGCCCTGGGGTTTGCAGGTTGACATAATGCAGTCATCTGTGACTAAGCACTGGAAAGATGCACAAAAAGAATACCTCCATTGTATTTACATAAATTTACATGATTGAATTTGTGGATTTTCATAAATATCTATTTTATTTAAAATCCTATTTTATAGTATTTTGATTAAAACCTTTACTACATTGAACATCTGAAGTGCAACAGATAAATAAGACCTCTTTTTCACTTGGCATGAAAAACTACTTGGTGCAGCCACCTTCTTACCTCACATGTCATTATAGTAACAGTATTTGTATAAATATTCCAATTGGCTGGTTTTTGCCTTGGAATGCCGAGATTAATAACAAGATACAAACCTCTGACCACACCTCTTACTCTGACTTCACTTTGTATTTTTTGGCACCTATATTTACACACAGAGTGTTGCGATAGTATATTTTCATTTACAAATCAACAACTGGCTTACCACTATCACTGTTTTTAGCTTCCTATATGAAACAGAGAGAGACAACAGCATCCTATGGAATTCAGTGTATTTTTTTTGTCTGTGTCGAGGTAACGCTGAGTTAGTTGGCAGCGAAGTAAAATTCTAAGAAAATCTATCTAATATTACTGATGCTAACTCATTCTATCAAACACAATTTTGGCTGCCAGTAAAGCCACTTGAAATTATTCTGAGACTCCATATTGTGACATTTTCCATATTGTAAAACCCAGATATTAAAATACTATGATTCTGAATTTAGTTTAGAGCTTGACATGAATGTCTAATAACAAGTACCTAAAAAGTTACTTCTTTGGCAGTAAGTGGAAAGCAGTCAGACTTTCATTTTTACTTTTTTGTATTTCTGATGTTTTTGTTAAGAAGAAAATGTCTTTACTTTCTCTACATGTTCGCAACAAGAATACAGTATTGGGTGGTTTAATGCTTTTATTTCTAGAAACCATCAATCTGAAACTGCTGACTCAGTTCTTTGACCCAAACCATTATCAATTTGAAATGGGTAAAATTAATTATTGCCATGTTTCGTTCAAATGACTCTGAGCTGCACCTACACCAATAAACAGAGTTAGCTGGAAGGACACTGAACTTTGTCCCCTTCTTCTCCTTCACACTGCAGCGCCCCATCACTACGCTTTGCTGGGGTCACAGAGACTCGCGTCTGTTCTTGGCGTCAGGCCCGGCGCTCTACGCAGTTCGAGTGGATCACCGGGTTGCGGCGCTACAGCTTCTCTGCCAGCAGGCCATCGCCACATCCGTAAAGGAGGAGAAAGATGTCGCCAAACTCACCATGCCTTCCCGGCTCTGTACCTACGTCACTGCTGCTTTCGCCCCTACCATCAAGGTAACACAAGGCAGATCCAATTAGCTCAATGGAAGAATATTGAAAGGCTGCAACTAAATGTAACTAACAGTCTAATATAGAAGAACTAAACAAAACCAAGTGTCGTAACAATTGTTGCACAAACTTCATGTTTCCAGCCACCCATCCCAGATCCCAACAACATGCGGGATTTTGTGAGCTACCCGACATCCGGGAACGAGCGACTGCACTGCACCATGAAGCGCACAGAGGATAACCCGGAGGTGGGAGGGCCATGCTACACTCTGTACCTGGAGTACTTGGGTGGTCTGGTGCCCATCCTGAAGGGTCGACGGATAAGTAAGCTGCGCCCTGAGTTTGTCATTATGGACCCCAAAACAGATGGTAAAACAGGTGGGCCTTCGTTTCTTCTTGGGTCAGTAACTTTAAAGAACTCGTAGGAAATACTTAAAGAACAGAAAGATTTCCAGCATCCTCCAGAAGTTTTACTAATTTACAAAGTGATTTATTGAGACTGGACTCAAATTTATAAAAACATTTTTAAAAATGGAGAAACATTGAAGTAAATAAGAATAAAATTAGTAAATGTTTTCTTCTTTAAATTTTAAAGATTTCTGTGGCTTTTTATGGCTGGGGGAAAAAAAACTAACTCTGCATGACTTTTTAACCAACAACAATTTTATGTTTGTCTCTTTACTGCCAGAAGCAATCAATGAGTCAAAAACAGACTCATTGATTTGATTTCTTATTTGTGTTGGGGGAGCTGCACATTTAGTAAACCGTGACTTCTGATGTTTTGTTTCATCAGATGAGATATACAGCAACAGTCTGATATCAGCCATGATAGACAGCTGTAACTGCTCAGACTCCAGTGACATTGAGCTCAATGATGACTGGGTTGGCAAGAAATCTCCAAAGATATCAAGAGGAAGCAAATCTCCTAAACTTCCCAGGTAACTCAGTAAGAGACTTCACGTGAATGAATTAGCAAAAATAATATCCATCAAATCAAAACCTCTGAAGAAGTGGTTGGATTCTTTTTCTCACTTTTTGTCAGAGTTGTTTTATACAGCCTCTAAAAGTCTGCAGTAGAGTGGAAAGATTGTTTTTAATATTTAGTAAATCTTAAGTAGGAAAAAACAACAAAAAAATGTCCTTACTTATTTTTTTATTTACTTATTTCTTATTCTGTTTTCTGAAAGATAATTTGAATTTCTGGAAAAAGAGAGCTGTGCACACAATTTTTAGTCAAATCTTTTTAGTTTTTCACTACACAACTTGAGTTTTTGTCCAACTCCTTGATCATTTTGGTTTTTGACGCCGGGATAAGGTTTTAAAATCCCGGTAAAATACATGACTATAAGTTTATGATTATAATGTAATAAATGTGTAAATGCTCAAGTGATATTATTAATTACATGATGAAAATATTTAGTGGAATGTCTCTGTTTTTTGTTTTTCTTGCATGCCTAAACCCTCTTTTTTTTATTTGCTACCTTCTCTGTAGAGACTTAGTTTGTCCCTTTACCAACAGGATAAATATTGACCCTAGAAAATCACCCAAGCTGTCCCGAGCAACGCAAGAAATCTCTAGGTCGCCGCGTTTACCCATAAGAAAACCCTCGATTGGTTCACCGAGTCTCTCACGGAGAGAATTCCCTCTGGATGACATCAATCAGGTAACTAGAAGATTATGTAAATGTTGCAGGGCTCATTAAGTGAGCTTGTTTTGGTTTATGTCACCATATATGGTTTCTTTTTAGAATTTATTAATTTTTTTATATTTTGCAGCAAAATTACCTCGCTCAGGTCACATCCAATATTTGGGGAACAAAGTTTAAGATAGTGGGACTGGCTGCATTTTTACCTACCAATCTCGGTGCAGGTAAGTCATCCACAGCCTCTCAATGAATTGGTATTATCAGCATTCTTTCTTTTCTCATTTCACTCTTTTCTTTTTTTCTTAGTCATCTATAAGACCAGCCTCCATCTGCAGCCCAGACAAATGACCATCTATCTGCCTGAGGTGCGCAAAATCTCCATGGAATACATCAACCTGCCTGTTTTCAGCCCCAATGTCTTCAGTGAGGACGAGGACGACCTTCCTGTCTCGGGCCCTGCTGGAAGCACTGACGACAACCCCCCATGTACTGTAAACATCCCCATCGCCCCCATCCACAGCCCTGCCCAGGCCATGTCCCCCGCCCAAAGCATTGGCCTGGTCCAGTCTCTGCTAGCCAATCAGAACGTTCAGCTTGATGTCCTCAGTAATACGACAGCAGCTCCTACTGGAGCATCGGCCAGCGGTTCGGACCAAAGCCAGGATGCCATCTTGACGACCCAGTACACCGTGCCCACCAGGTATTCCAATCCCGGTCAGGTCATTTTTGGGGGGCTGGATGTGGGTCGGCTAATGGTTGGACCACCGCCGTCCCATCATCCATCACAACAACAACAACAACAACAGAGTCAGCAGCAGCAGCTTCTACAACATCAACAAATTCAGCACCACCAACAGCAGCAGCAGCAACAACAAATACTTCAGCAGCATCACCTACAGCAGCAGCAGCAGCAGCACATTCAACAGCAGCTGCAGCAGCAGCTTCAGCAACACATACAGATGCAGCAGCATCAACAAATGCAGTTGCAGCAACAGCAGCAGATGCATCACCAGCTGCAGTCTCAACAGCACCATCTTCAGCAGCAGCTTCAGATCCAGATCCCTGCTCCATCCCTGTCACCGGGGCAACCTTCGGGAACGGCCCTTCACCAGCTGCAGCCGGGGGCCCTACAGATACAAATCCCCCACCAGCCAGCAGAATTAGTTGTTGACAGATCGGCGGGCGGGGAGCACGAACACCTGCTGAAGATCAAAACCACTCGGTCAACGCCACAGCTAGCTGACGCTGATACAGTTGTGTTCAGCGCTCCTTTGGAGCTCAGCAAAATGAATCCGCCGCCTCCTTACCCCGGGACCGTGGCCGTGGCAGTTGCTGCCGCTGCTGCAGCTGCTGCAGCTGCTGCTTCACCATCACCTTCCAACGCAGCTTCCAACTCCTCGTCTGGAACTGAAGGAGGCGCTAGTGGAACTCCTCCCCCTAGCGAGCTCTGCATGAAAAAGAGTGACTTCAAACTTTATGCGCCAGGTCAGCAGCAGCTACAATACCCCACACCTCTAGGCTACGAGAGGATAACGACGTTTGACAGCAGCGGGAATGTGGAAGAGGTGTGTCGCCCTCGAACACGCGTTGTCTGCAACCAGAATGTCTACACACTCCAGGGACCTGGCAACTCTGCCACGCTCAGGGTCACTTCCTCTTCATCCTCGTCTGCAGCTGACAAGAAAATCCAGCTGCCCTACACCTCTGCTACGCTTAACAGACTCACCGCACCCCGCTATTCCATACCAAGCGGAGACCCACCACCGTACCCCGATTCGGCCAATCAGAGCGGAGCTGCTGGGAGGAATCCGAACCAGCGACTCGACAGCAGCTTGATCCACGCCACCCTCAGGAGGAATAGCCGAGAGGCCGCTCTTAAAGTCTCCCAGATGCTAGAACTGCCAAGGCCGCTTCCTCCTAAAGCTAAAAACAGTCCACTAGCAACCTCCTTCCAGCAGAGGGTGCCAACAGCCTTATACACATGCAGCCAGTGCAGCAGTGGATCAAGTGTTGGCGGTAGTGCTCCAGGGAGCGCTAATGGGATAGCAGGGGGAACGATTATCAGGCAAGATTTCCCTCCAGGGAATGGCGCTCCACACAGCACAGTGATAGTTCACTCCAGTAGCACTGCCGCTCTGGCCTCCCAGTCCTCATACAGCCTGATGAGTTCACTGGAGGGGTCTGGGAGTGCAGCGGGAGGGAACAGAGACCGGGCTGAGTATGTTAACTCAGCGTTTACTGAGGATGAAACACTCAACCAGTCGCTGAGGCATTTGGTAATTGGAGCAAATGATGCATCAGGGCTTGTCATCAAACGCCCACCTCCCTACCAGTGGGACCCGACTGGCACAGAGGAGGTGTGGATACCTCAAGAGAGGACACCAAATGCCCCCCCTGGAGCGCACAAACCTCCACCCCTCATTCTCAGCCCGACTCAGCACTTGGATGTTACCAGACTGCCTTTTGTTCTTTCTCCAAAGTCTCCCACCAGCCCTGGTGCTGCATCATTCCAGGCTGCAGCAGCAGCAGCTTCAGCTACAGGCTACCAAATCTCTCTGCAGTACCCCCCAACAGCAGCCTATGCCGGAGCTCAGCTCCAACCCATCCCAGTGTCGCCGCGCCCCTGCGCATCCCCTAAGGAAGTTGTGGCACCTGTGGCCCTCTCACAGCAGGACACGACCCTCGTCTTGTCGCCGGGTTACTCTCCAAACATAGCGAACCTCGCCTGCTGTCCGCTTCCTCCCTTATATCCCGGAGGAAGTTCCTGTGCTGGAATCCCCATCCCTCCCATTGCCCTTCACACACCGTGGGGAACATACAACCCTTGTCCGCCTATGCCCAGTCCTGCAGTGCCACTTCCACCCAAAGCCTCCCACGTATCAGCAGACAAAAATGTTCTCTCACCTCCTCCTCCACCTCCTCCTCCACCTCCTCCACAGCCTCCAACACCACTAGCAGACCCACAGAGCCACGGGGCGTTACAGGAGACAATGGCAGAGCCAGGGGATGCTTACCAGGAGGTGTTGTCTTTGACTGAGAGCCCCGTACCACAGCGGTCCGAGAAGTTCAGCAAGAAGAACCGCAAGCGGATGGACGGCCGGGCCGAAGAGGCTAACGTGTCTCAGTTAGCCGAAGGCAGCAAGTCAAAGAAAGAGGGCAGGGCTCTGGGGGATTTCAACTCACTGATCTCCAGCCCCCGACTGGGAGGAAGAGACAAGAAGAAGCCGAAGGGGCAGAAAGAGCAGCAAATGAAGGCGAAGAAGCTGAGTAAGGCCACAGCCAACAGTGAGTTCCAGGACAGTTCAGAAAGCGAGCCGGAGCTTTTCATCAGCGGTGACGAGCTCCTCAATCAGTGCCAGAGTGGGAAAAAGGGCTGGAAGAGTAAAAGGAACCTGAGGGCTGCTAACGAGCTCGATGAAATAAAGTGCCGGAAAGCCAATGAGAAGGAAGACAGAGGACTGGGCAGCCAAGGGTTTGTGTATGTGATGGCCAACAAGCAGCCTCTGTGGAATGAAGCCACACAGGTCTACCAGCTGGACTTTGGAGGCCGAGTCACGCAAGAGTCGGCCAAGAACTTTCAAATCGAACTGGAGGGCCGGCAGGTGAGTTGGGTTAAGTTTTCATTTCAGAACCTCAGATGATATGTTCTCTCGGCGCAGATCTTTTTGTTTTTTTCAGATGGCAACATTTACATTTCTTATGGTAAATTAAAGAAATGCAGTGTTATAAATATGGCTTCAGTAGGAAAGAAAGTTTCTATAGATTCCACAGCCAATCTTTTTTGTTTGTAAATGTCATAAATGATCTTTTTTTGTCATAAATGAAGCACACTAGAAACTATAAATTAATATTTCTATACATTGAGTCATTTTTTTATTGGTATTAAATTGCAAACGAGAATGAAGTGACACCCTTTCTATATGTTTTATTGCTATTCATTTTTACAAGCATTCTCAATTATTTCCAGCAAATTTTTTCCATTTATCCCAGTGTTTGGAGAATAGGTCTCTTTAAATTGACTGTGACGATCAGGTCTTCCATTTTGTAAATATCTACTACAATCTGAACCCATTCTTGGGCTATTAGTTTTTTTTGTACCATCCATTTTTTTGTAGTTACGTTTTTTTTCTGAACTCGTCCCTGAAACATTTTTTGGAAATTTGGTGGAATTTAGATGTGCAATATATAATTAACTCCACTGTTTATGTTAATCCAACATCTTTGGAGGATGTTGCATTCCTATTTCCTTGTGTCTGTGCAAATCTCAATGTGTGTTTTAACGTCCTAGGTGATGCAGTTTGGTAGGATCGATGGTAATGCCTACATCCTGGACTTCCAGTACCCCTTCTCTGCAGTCCAGGCTTTCGCAGTGGCTTTGGCCAACGTCACCCAACGCCTCAAATGAGACGTCCCCTCCCAACACACCCCAAATCATCCCATGATTTTAAATGCAGCCTGCTGAAGGAGCACAGTTGTTTGCTTTGGAGATTCATACACTCTAATAAACTCAGCGGATTTTGGAGAAAAAGACTGAAATTGACTGTGGTCAATGGGTGGAAACGCAATCACACTGCACTACGCAATGCTGCCACTAGACATGGTGCAATAAGCATTGACTGCGTTTTTTTTTTTTAATGCCATTAGATCTGCTCCGTTCTGAATTCGGTGGCACCCTCCAAGCACGTAGGGCCAAAGAGCTGAGCTTGGGTTATCATCATGCAAATAAATGCTGCTTTGGGTAGAAGAGGTTTTCTTAGAGAGACAGATTGTCAAGGTGCAGTTAAAAAAAAAAAAAAAAAAAAAGCAGCAGTCATACTTGAAAACCACACTCTGGAGGTTAAATTACTTTTTCCAGAGCACACAGGTACTACTGGGCACTGAAATCCATTGCTGTACAAAACTTTAGTAAAACAGTTACAACTTTATTAAACTGCTTTTGCTTATAGTTTATTAAATGAGGTTACTTAGTGGAGGTTTTTGTTCTATACCATTCCTGTTGTTTCTATCTCAGTCAGTTTCAGCTGGATTTAAGGCTGATATATGCATCATTTAGGAGCACTACTAAAAGTTACGACTTTTCACTGTTTCTGGAAGGAAATATCGGTCTTTATCAAATCTGTTTGAAGGATGAAACCTGTCACCCTGCTACACTTAATTTATATGTACATGTTGTTTATCTTTCCAAACATGGATTTTTTAAGAAAATATTGTTATTGTTGAAGATGTACAACCCTCATACTTTTTCATCCCAGTTTTTCTTACCGACTTTATTTGGGGAGGCTGAATTTAAATATTGCTGTACACTCGGAGTATTCAGGTGGGAGCGGTTTACAGAATAGCTTTGGCTGACATATCCTGTAATTGGATATCTACATATGGTGACAGTGGCGCAAAAGACGTCGCCATGGCCTCAATTGAACAACTTAACCTCTGGCATGAAGTGATAATGTCACCTGCTGTCACTTCTGTGAAGTGAGTACGTATTTGGGGGCAGTCCTTGCTCTTTAGGACCACACTAAAACATGTTAGCATGGTACAGGAAATATTTTTGTATATTTCACCTATGCCATTTCATATTCTTCTCAGAAGGCATGTAAATAAATTGGAGGTGTCAATGTGATAAAGAGACTTCGGCGACTCTTGACAAGTTTACACCTCGGCTTCACTGTGTTTAATTTCAGGTGTGGAGGGAAGCTGTAACACCGTAAAATTACTGTTAAGCTAAATCATCGTCGTCACTCGGTTTAATAAGACTACATTGAAGATTGAAGCTCCACTTCATAAGCTGACTGTGCAAACTGAGAGACGGGTAAAGCTGTTTAAGTGTTAGCAAGGATCATGGATGGAGATAAAGTGCAAAGGACATATATGCATTAATTTCTGTTTAAGTACAATATCAGCTAAAGTCACCAGAAGCGTTTAGGTCTAATAAAACAGTGAAGGTGCTGTAGGACTAAACTCTAATTTGTGCCAAAATATCTACTCACAATTTTACAACAGATGCAGTCCAAAGGGGGAGAACCTATTCTATTTTGACCATTGAATTGATAATTTTATTACTTTTAATAAGTGTGATCTTTCCTGAACTCAAAGATGCATGTTGGTCATCGGGTGTAGAAAAATGGACTGAATGAAGATATTTTAAACCCTATTATAAAGGAAAAAAACAAGCATGTCATGACAAAACCCTTTTTGTGTTAGCTGTGCAATATTTTGTAGGAGAAAATTGTGTTTTTTTTTTTTTTGTTGCTTTCATCCATGTTTTGATACCATTCTTTTAGTTCAATATCTGAGATTGCTGGTTTGTGCATTTTTTTATTTATGAGATTATTTCCTGAAAGGAGGAAAATATCCATACATACTGTATATTGTGGAGTTTTCCCAAACTTTTTTTGTGTTAAGTCTGTAATGACTGTAGCCCAGGTTGTGGGGTTGGTGATGAGAACAGGCATCCTAATTTGAAGTTTGCTTTGGATGAAAAGATAAAAAATAAAGATGTGAATGAGTAAGTGCCCAGTTTAATGTAGTTGGTAGACTAGTGTAAGTGTTAAGTCGAGGTGTGTTTGTATTCAGCTGTGCAGTCTACCAATCCCATCAGTGTTAAATCTATTATATTTAAATGTGTTCATGGCTTCTACACATTCAAACACATTCTTCACTGAGTTGATGTTCAGCATTACTTATGGACTCGGTTAGGGATTCACTTTAAACTGATGACGAGCTGTTGTAGATATTGTAGGATTTGACTTTTCTTTAGAAAAGATCTGTGCTTTGTATTTGCAGGTGTAGACTTAACTGACAAAAACACTTGGGAAAAAAATGAGACTGAGTATGGTGACTGAACGTTCATAGTGGATGGATAGTAAGGCATGCCATGTAAATTATTTTAGAACTGTATATGTCACTCATCTTTTTAATAAAATCTGTCATTGTTTGAGAAAATACCAAGTTGTGTTTCTTAAAATAATTTGATTAATTTTAGTGTTCAGACTGACTGAGGTAAAAACATATTAAAAGCAGTTGCTTTTTAAAACATATATATATATATTTTAAAACAATTGTTGTAGTATCTCCTTGTAGTCCAGTGTTGCAATATTTTTTGTTAAATTACACAGAAAAGGTTTGCTATTTTTTTGTAACTGAAGCATATTAAATAGTTTAAACTGATAAATTAGTTATGGAAAATCCATCTCGTGTTGCATTTACACAATGAAGCACAGTGAATGATATATATTATTATGATATATATGTATTATTATTGGTGTAGATAATTATTCGACACCAACAATATAATGGAGGGTAACAGCAAAGTAAAATGATGTGTAATAATTACTTTATATCTTTTACAAAAATTGCTTCTTATGTATTATTATTATTATTCTGAAACAGAAATTATTTTATTTATTTATCTGGCACAGAAATATAGAGAAAACTGGGTATGTTTATATGAAATGGATAGATTAGAATGATATATTCATGTGATGTACGCATCAAAAGATTAAAGTGAGTAAGCATACAAAGCAAACATAACAAAAATACTGTTTTTATTATTATGTAGATTTTTGTAAATCTTCCACTTCCCGTCCCTGTCCGTGGTGCTGAACTCTGATCACGTGACTCCCTCTGGCGTGTTGGCTGCGTGTTTCCGCCCCCTTTTCATTTCAACACCTTTCCTTTCTTTGTCTTTTCATGAAGGGACACAAACAGAACAGCTTCGGCTGCACTTTTAAATAACCGTCACCACAATACTGTACAGACAGACCTATGTGAGCTGCTCGCCGAAGGCCGCGGGTTGTGTCCTCATCGCCATTTTCAGCCGTCAGACACCTCTGTGGAATAATGGACACAGACTACTCCTCCGGCTTGGAAAACCCTCTTTACGGCGAGCTGAAATACTTCTGCAGGAAAATACAGGAGGCTTACCAGGACCTGAAGGAGGATTTAACACCTTATCGTGATGATCGGTTTTACAGGTGAATCTGATCTCAACGAATCTTCCAAAATGTACGATAAAGGATTTGTTTAGTAATCAAAATGATTCTGACAAGTAAAGGGGAATTTGCAAGATATCAGATTATTATGAGTATACATATATTTTTTTAACATACCGCACATTTTGCTTTTATATTTTCATAATGTAATGCCTCAGAAACAATGGACCCTGATAAAACACTTAATGAAAGATAATCAAGATAATCAATAATCGTTAGGTCTTGTTAAACAGCAGCTAAAACATAAAGGCGTGTTGATTATTGGCAACAAACGCAACAAGTTGCCATGTTTATAAACACCGTTTTACATTGGTGAGAAAAACATGTCTTGAATTAATAATAATCCTAAAATAAGGTAGAAGTTGACATACCGCGGCGCAAACCAGAACGTAATAAATTAATAAATATTGTTTGTGATTCAGTGTGCAGATCTGATGTAAAAACAGAGAATGCCCTGTGATTTCTGTAGCTTAGAATATATAAAGGTGCAGGCAGAAAAGGACGCATGCTACATAGGCTTCCTGATTCTTAAGGCCCCTTCGAAGTTCCCCTCCCTCGATTCTGTCACGTGACTTCCAGACTCCTCCCAATCGATGACGTTGCCCCTCTGCACCAGCAGTTTGATGTTGATACACGGATGTGGATTCACGACGAAAATCTACCAGTTTTTCGCTCCGCCGAGACTGTAAACCGGATTAAATGGAGTTGTAAGTGTCTTTTACGTCCAGGGAGCCTACTAAAGACTTGTATTTGACGCTAAAAGTTGTGAGAATGAACGTTTAAAAGCCACATCTGTCAGTACTGTTAGCTTAAAGGAGCATGGACGCTGTTGTGTTGACATATCCGGCTCAAGTCAAAGCGGCATTAAACTTAAAGCAATTAAAACGTTTTTGTGGATTTTGTGTGTGCTTTATCATTAATTACCATCTTCTCGTGACAGGCTGGCACCCATGCGGCTCTACACCTTGTCTAAAAGACATTTTGTCCTGGTCTTTGTGGTGTTCCTGATGTGCTTTGGCCTCACAGTCTTCATTGGGATTGCAGGTACGTGATGACGCCATATGAAGCTCAAAAGTTTGACTCTTTCCATCTTCCTGTTACTCATTGCGCCCATGTGAACCACAAAAACATTCTCGTTTTCGTTGAAAGCTGCCTGTGAGACTTAAATGCTTAAATGCTCAGGTCAAATTTGAGAATCCACACTGCTTCCAGGATATCCTGGTATCTTGTAAACAACTGATGGTGGGATAAAGCTTTAGATGTATGGATGTATTGGCGATCATCTGGTGTAATTAGGGTGTTCCTCTGGTCTCTTACTTAATTGCCAGATTATTAGTTTGACTTTAATGATTGTGTCCACTTTTTTTGATTCAACCACAATTTCTTAAATTCGTCTGCTGCATTGATATGCTGCCCCTTTACTTTTATAGCCCTAAACTGGGCTGGAGATTCATCTTCCATCAGGACTCCTAACACTTGATGTTACAACAAGAGCTGTAATAAAAAGGCCTAGATTAAAGTATGTTCTTTTGTCAGAATTATCAAAAGTCCAGATCTAAATCCAAGTCTAGACATAAAATTTCTTTTTACAGATGCTTTCCAATCAGTCTGACTGTGCTTGAGCTGTTTTGCCAACAACAGGAAAAATGGAAATCCCTGCATTTGCATGCATGATTTGCAAACAACTGAAAGTTTTTTTTTTTACAACTTCTTAATTGTGAAAGGAAAATACCATCTGTGTTTTTTTTTTTCCTTCTTTCCTTTAATACATAATCATTTTTAAACCCACCACCTAAAATCCTAATAAAATTAAGGTTTGTTTGTAAAATCACAAAATGGCTTTTTCAGCCATCTCCATAGCAACATAACTCAGATCAGTTGGGTGAACTTCCAGCTACCGTCCGTCTGTGGTTGTATGAGTTTTCATAATTCTTTAAAACAAGTTGCGTCTTTTCACAATAAAAGTGCTCAGCAGCATTGCTTCAAGTGAATCTCTGTCCTCCTGCCTGTCACATGTGTTTTTCTTTTTGGGGGTTTGATTTGAAATAATCATTTCTGTGTTTGTTTACTTTTTCAGGTCCAAGGATTATTGCTGAGCAAGAGCATAATGCTGATCAGCTAAAAAGCATAAATAGTTCAATAAAGGTGAGACATTTCTAAAACAAAGGTGTGTATATTGCCGGAACATCTCACAATACATTTAATAGTTATCACTTTTCATTTGGCTTGTTAACCATCTACACATAAAGCATATTTGTTCTAAACCAACAATATTCTTTGTATTATTGTTATGATAAAAACTCAGACTCTAATAGTTCGAGGCTTATTACAAAGAAGCACCAAACCATTAACCAGAATATTTTTTAGACCTGGTAGCAGAAATATTGGCATTGTTTGACAAAAGAGTTCAAATATTTGGAAAAAAATATATTTAAAAAATGCTCCCAACAAATAGGAATATGTAATTTTTCACAAAAGTCCAAATTAGTGATGAAACCATCAATAAAAAGCCACAAATTCTCACCAACACAACCCAAATACAGATATCCTGTGGAATTTGTCACATTTTCTAAATATTCAATCTTAATTTATTGTGCCATTGATGCTTTCAGACTGGACCATTTAGTTTAGTTTCTCCACCTCTCACCACCTACAACCAGCAGCTGTGGCTCACCTGTGTGATGCAGGCTGGAAACAGCAATAGTATGTCATTTTTACCTTCACATCTGAATGCACCCTGAAAGCTTCACTATCAATATTTTTACCTGCCTAATAAAAGCAACTTCTGTCTGCATCAGTGAAAGACTTCAAGCAGAACTTTGAGATCAATGTTGATCTTAAAGGAGTGATGCAGGTCGCCAGTGTGATGCATATCAAGAGTGTGCAGCAGAAATCACGGATGCTGCATTGTGGTGCTGTAAGTTACCACACAAGATCAGATTGTGGTGAAAAAACTTGACTGTTTTTGGCATTCAGTAAAGTAATGCAGTTTTCTGTTTTTCGCCTATGAAGCAGAAATGCGACGAGATCATATTGCTGCACCTGGGTTACCTGAACTACATTCAGTATCAGGTCGCAGTCAGCTTCCAAGGCCTTGAAAACATCTCCTATGAAATCAAGATTAAATTTGTGGTGAGTGGAAATTTCTCATTTTTCTTTTCTTTTGATGTTTTTAATTGCTTCTTTATTTAATGTCTTTTCCCATTCTCTTTAATTTTTTTCCACCCATAGTGGAAAACGTACAACCCCACCTTCTCTCAAGTGGAAATTTGGTTCCGTTTTGTCTTTGTGGTTTTGACTTTCATGGTAACGGTAAGAAAGTTTGCTTCTAAGGTTTGAAATATTTTAAGTTTGCCAGTTCAGTCTGAACATAGCAAACTTTGACAGTAACAATATCTCTTTTACATTCTAGTGTTTGTTTGCACATTCTCTGAGGAAGTTTTCCATGAGGGACTGGGGTATTGAGCAGAAGTGGATGTCTATTCTGCTTCCTTTGTTGCTGCTCTACAATGGTGAGTTTCCATTTTATTTCAAATTTCACACCTGGGTGAAGATGGCCTCCCAACCTTATTCAAATTAAACTGAATTTGTGTCAAATGATTGTGTTTGTTTTCATAGGTTCTGTATTTTTGCTGTTTTTCAGATCCGTTCTTCCCGTTGTCATTCCTGGTGAACAGCTGGTTTCCAGGGACCTTGGATGCTTTTTTCCAGGCTCTCTTCCTGTGCGCCCTGCTCCTCTTCTGGCTCTGCGTCTACCACGGCATCAGGGTCCAGGTGGGTGCAGTCGCTCTTTGCATTAATCCACAAAATGTTCCCTTATTTGTTACCGATTGCTGACTCTGTTTCCTCTCGCCTTTGCAGGGCGAGAGGAAATTCCTCACCTTCTACCTGCCCAAGCTGATCATCGTGGGTCTGCTGTGGCTCTCTGCCGTCACACTTGGCATATGGCAGACGTAATATTCTCAGCTTCATTCATATTCATAAACTGTGACTCCTAAAAAAACTGAAGAGCTCTACTTCACTTTTTCAGCGTTAACGAGCTCCAGGATCCCACCTTTAACTACAAACTGGATATTGTGAACTTCCAGGTAAAACTGGTGCCTTTACCGAATTTTAAACAGCTTTTCATGAGGAAATTCTGTAGTGTAATAAACAAGCTCCTCTCATCCTTCGTCAGGGCATGAAGGTGTTCTTCCTGATCGTTGTTGCCTTCTACATCCTGTACCTGATATTCCTGATTGTCCGAGCTTGTTCTGAACTGAAGAACATGCCTTACTCAGGTATTCCAGCATCTCTCACTGTTTTTGTTTCAGTGTTGGGTTTTAGCCCTGGCAGCATAAATAAACTGTACTTCCTTTATCTCTAGATCTTCGGCTTAAGTTTTTGACAGCGCTGACGTTTGTAGTTCTTGTTATAAGGTACGTTCAAGGAATTCTGCTTTTTTTAAAAATAAAAAACAAAACCTTAATATCCTGGGGGGGTTTTAATAATCCTTTTTTCTTCCAGCATGGTCATTCTGTACCTGAGGTTTGGTGCCAAGGCTCTTCAGGATAATTTTGTGGCTGAATTATCTACCCATTATCAGAACTATATCCTTTGTATTTTGTTAAAATATGCAAAATATTTAAGAAAACTCCATGTAGGTATTGTATTTGTCCTTAACTCCAGATATACCAGCTGAATTTTTATCCTTCTACGGCCTGCTCAACTTTTATCTATACACATTAGCATTTGTGTATTCTCCCTCAAAAAATGCCCTGTATGGTAGGTGATACCTGATGATAAACTGGAGCATCTGTTGAGCTGTAGGATATTTTAAATTGATTAATTAATCCAACTTTCACAGACTCACAGCTGAAGGATAACCCTGCCTTCTCCATGCTGAACGACTCAGATGATGAAGTAATTTACGGGTAAATGTTTTCTAGAATGTTTTCTTCGCTTTTCCAGGCATGTGATAAGACACAATCCAAACAGATCCGTGTGTGTTTATACAGGAGTGATTATGAGGAGATGCCTTTACAGAATGGACGTGCCAACAAAGTAACGACTAAATACCAGGACGACAGCGACAGCGACTGATGCATCCATGGCAGATCATTTGCGTGCATCTGCACTTACAAAGTAAAAAAAAAAACTGTACATAAATATATATATTTTTAAAAGAAGATAAATTACATCTTGCTGAATGTACTGTACTTTTGAAAGGTGAGGAAACCAACTCACACAAAAGCAACACGTATGTATAACAGTTTTTACTGGTGTTATAAACACTCGTGTGACTCTTCAAATCCTGATTAATTGAAACAAACAGGAAATGTGACACAGAGTTGGAGTTCCGAGTTGAAACTTTTTAAAGCTTTATGTTAAACCACTGTTGTCTGTCTACTTTATATCATTCCTTTTTTGCCTTTTGGCACTCTGACAATAAGAAACCACTGCAAGATGCAACTCACTAACATCATAGTTTAGGCAGGAAGTAAATTATGCTGCAGGGAATCTAATCGTAAAACCTCTTTAGCCTCAGATAAAGGGGATGTTATAAAAGAGCCTTAATTTCAACAGGTACCACTACTATTACCACTTTAGAAAAGCAGCTGTAAATGTGCACTTTTCAAATTTTATTTAATTTGCCAAAAAGTGATTTGATACTGTTTAGTAGGATAAGTTGTGGAAGGTCATCTTCCAGCCAGCTAGTTACTCAATTCTTATCCCAGCATGTACAGAACAGTGGCCCAAGCATTTTTGCCTTCTTTAAACCTTTTTTTTTTAATTCAGAAATTTATTGGTATTGCCAATTTCTTCTTGCTCCTCTTTTCCGTTTTAAGAGTCAGGAGCTTATGGACAAAAACAAAATAAAAGTATTTCTATTCAATATGGATGTGTTTTCATCAAGTTGGTGCCTTGTCTTTACTCCTTTTCTCTTGTAAATGGACTCCAATCTCAGATCTATAAATGTAAATATGGAATTCCTTGTAAATGTTGGTTATGTTGGCTAAACATGGTAGTTTTTTTCTTCTTCAAATGTTATTTGATTTAGCTGATGCAAGGCTGTAAATATGGCAGTGTCATGTGATGTGGAAATAAAGCAGTGGATACAGATGTATTAAGATTGTGTTTAATTGCACTTAACATACAAACATTTCATAAAATTTCACCCAACATTCTACTTAGTGGAAAACAAGAAAATCTAACAAAGTTTTAATAATGTTATAATTTTAGATGGCCAGCCCAAAAACGCTAATGATGACGTACATGGTGTCGTTTTCCCATCTCACTGTGCAGCTTCCTGTGAATACAAATATGCAAAAAAAAAAAGTGCTGTAAAAGGTGTTTGCTGCTTATGGATTTCTCTTTTTGTTAAATGTTTCAGATCATATATTAGAATCAGAAATGGATAACCTGGGTACCATCATAAAGCCATTTTCAAAGAATTTCATACTTTAAAGACTGAATGTATCTAACCTGATCCTATGTGGAAAAAGGTAATTGCTTTCTAAACTTAACTAGTTGTGGCAGCCCTGATGTTTAAAAAAATGAATCATTTAAAAACGGTCTTGGTGTTATTTCAGGTTTTCTGAAACAGTTCTTTTCTACAAGCTGATATAAAATTGAGCTCATCATCATTTGCACAATTTTAAACTTTATAAACGCAGGTGTAACAATTTTGAAACGCTAAAGCTGCTACTTAATAATATGTGGACATTATGGGCTGTATGATTTGAAGTAAAAGAGAAGTGCGTTTACCGTCAGTAGTGTTGTCCCAGAAGCAGGTGCTGGCTGTTTGCAGCCCTGCTCCATTCTTTTGCATGATGATGCAGTTTACTGAAGCAAACACAAACGGTCTGTGATCAAAAACACAAGAACTAGAAATGTCATTCGGAAATCAGAGATCCACATACCGATGAACTTGAACGGCTTATCCAGCTTGCTGAGCTGAATGAGGCACTGCTCCACCACGCTGGTGGTCCACTGGTTCACCCTGCCGTGCTTGTAGGAGTTTTCTCCAATCACCGTTTCTACAGACTGCACAGGACCAGACAATGTTACCAACACCTAGAAAATATTAGTTAATGGAGAAGTTCTGCTTCCGGTATATTAATCCAACCAATGAAAAAGAAAGAATAAAAAACGGTGCCTAGCAACCGTTGGTGTACTTAGCAACCAGGCATCGCTAATTACAAATTTCACAAGTAAAGGGTTGAATAGTTCCATAAAAATCCATAAAAGCTTTTATTAACAAACAATTACAATTGTGGATGTTTCTCTTACATCTTTTATGATTTTGCTCACTTCTTCGACAACGAACGTGGTCTGCAAAGAAACAAAACAGTTTAACAAGCTAGCCAACCGACGGAGCTGCTCGGGACAAGTGCCCTTTGTAGCATCAAATACTGCGCATGTTTAAACATGTAGACTATACAAATATAGCACTTATCAGACTTAAAGTTTTCACTCTAGTAAGAGACGAATATTGAGAACACAATCTACCTTATCTTCGCTCATAAAATCGTCCATAGTTGCTAATGTTGCAGAAACCGGAAACAGAGTCACTATAGAATTATTTTCAAAATAAAACAAACGGACTCGTCTTGGACAAATTAAATCTTCCTCAGCAGATACGTTTTGAAAAGGAACCATTGATAAATAAAATGTAACTGTATAAAAAGAGAAACATGTAGAAACAAAATGGACACAAATGCAATAAAGTAGATGATCAGTCATTTTTATTGTGTACGCATTCTAAATGTTTTAAAATTACAGCGGCAGCAATGTTTTTGTTCCACGTATATGTAATCTTACTTTGAAAATAACCGGAACTCTAGAATAAGTGTATTGCCGCCAGCTTTCAGACGTAATTGGAAAGGGGTCGTTTTGATACGCTTTACGACAAATCTAGCAAAGGACACTATTTCACCGGGCCCTGCAGACGTCTTTCGATCTATTCCAAAAAATTCCAGTGACATCTTTAAATCGGAGTCTGGGAGAAACATTTTTTACGCAGACTTCGAGTTGCATGCCACAAGCACAAGTTAACGACGGGAACTCAAACTTCAAATGAATGTTGCAATTTAAACACAGGAGGGAGACAAAACGCAGTTTTTAAAGAACATTTAATTTTTAAGTTCTTGAATACCCTAAAAATGAGACAGTCCTTATACAACAAAAATGGAACATCTTTTTCTATTGGGGGTATCGGGGATGCTTGTACATTGTATTTTCTATGAAAAGAGAACACTTTGTCTCAAGGTGGAGTAATTTTATTTACAAACAACTTTTTAAAAATAAAATAAAGCAATGTTGATGCCAATTTCTGGTTGTTTTCTTCCTTGGGTTTAATTGCCATTTCCAAATGTTCTGTCACGGTTCACTTCCAAAGAAGCATTATTGAGAAGTTTTGTCTCTTTTCCTTTGAGAATTATTTCTATGCAACACTTATCAGCTTTAGGTAATCCAACACCATAAAGAGAAACTTACTAAACAGCTCCAATGTAAATGAGTTTTCATCAAAAGAATCGGCAGCTCTTCCAGTTGAAAACCCCCAAAACAATGCCAACCAGTCCATAGAACAGGATTTATTTTTGTGTGATGGGGAATGAATTCTGGTCCATTAACTCGCCGACTCTTTCCTGCAGGATTTGAACCACCTCCGCCAGGATGAAAACATGCGTGTCATCCAGATCTTTTAAGATGAACTTCTTTCCCAAAGCCATGGTTTCGTCGAGGTAGAGGAGGAACTGTTTCATGGCAGGATCACTGGCAGAGAAGAAAAGAAGGAATAAATTCACACAAAAAAACCCTCCAAAAAAGTAGTTGTTCACATGGCAAAATTTACAATCTATAGTGATGAAGTCATGCAGGGAGCTGGTAAAGACACCACGTTACCAGGCTGACATTTTTTGCATTGCAGACATTGTTATTGTTTTGTGTTTAAAATGCTAATTGTAACTCTTTCAAATAGTGTACTTTCCAGTATTCTTTTCAGACTTCCTCAAGAAGACTTGAGCTTCACACTCACCATTCAACCAGGACTCCTTTGTGGACGTTTACCATGTTGACAAACGCAGAGGTGATCAACAACGCACTTCCTCAGCTGCAGCCATGTAGCACAAAGAAAACACGACATTAATCGCAGTTCATGGTTAGCAGTTTTATTATATAAATAAAGGAAATTCATTTGAATGTAACCAATAAACACGGGAACATACAGAGAACCAAGTTATTCTTTTATTGAACATCTGTTGTCTGAGTTTAGCTAACTATTTTCTTGCTAACGCCAAGTAAATACATAATTTGGCGAGAGATTTGTCAGGCTAAACCACTGCTTTAAATGTCTATCGTATCGATTAACTCATTATGCATCCACGTACCTGATGATAATCCAGATTTATGTACAATTACGGCAATTGACTCCTTTCTGAGAAGCTGGTAGCAACCGCTTCAGTTTTCAGTGATGTAAATGTACGGCGTGCGACAAGGGACAATATTTTGCTCATTCGGCATCTAGACAAACCCCTTTCATCCGGTTCAAAATGCACAAGTTTACAAGAGATCATTTCTAATGATATGTTAGCAATTTTCTTTATAACCCATCTTCATGCATATTTGTTATTCTTCATCTGCTGTTATCCCCAAAGAAAACAGTTGATAGTTTTAGAGTAACACAAAACATTGAGCGAGTGATGTCAAAAAAAGAAGAAAACCGACTAACGTTCACCAGCTTCACTCATTTGTTGGATTTATTGTCAGTAATATTAAGTTTTAGGCCAGAAAATCAGTTATACCAGTGAAAACATTTCAACCGCTTGATTAATCTTCCAAGATAAATCAAGTGAGCTATTAATTCAGAACCCTCTGAGGACAGGCTCAGAAAGGAACACATTTTGGCACAAAAATCTGTACAATTTATAAATATAAAAATAAAGCTCAACATTAACACTCTGGTCCAAACTACTGAGGAGTATTTTACAAACTAAAAAGACCTTGTTATATTCTATGTGCAAGGATGAGCTTAATCGTAAACATGATAATGGTGACGTGTGAAAATTAAAATGAAGGAAATGTGTCTGATTTGCAGGAAATACCTACAATAGAATGTATTTATTAATGTAGGCTCTACATTAATAAAAAAGAAAAAAATCATTTTTTTTAAGAATCACAGTTGACACATATCCACAGACATTAATGGGTAAAACAAATTTCATTTGTCTTATTCAATTGGTATTTCACTTCTCACATAGTGATTAGTGTCCATGTTAATGTGTGATAAGTTGGAAATGTGTCTTTATAGATTTGATTTAAGGGTGATGGTCAGTTTCAAGTAGTAGGTTGCATCATTGTTATTGTGCTTCTGAAGTTTCGTCATTGGCTGATGAAATGCTGCAGTGCTTCTTGGATGAACTGCAGGCTGCGTTTGTACAGAAACGAGTTTTTCTTCTCTGGCTTGCAGATGTTGAGATGATCAACATCCACCTTAATCAGCTCCCCGAGGCCGAGATCTAAAAGAAAACGAAGTATGAGAAACAAAGGGACACATGTTGCGTAGCGTCAAGTGTCACACACCTGCTGACTGCGTTGGTACCACCAGAATCTTGATCATGGGACTGACGTTTGTAGGCTGGGTCTCTGCAAAGCTCAGCACCTTGATTTCATTTTCTTTGGCAATATTAAGGAAGCCCTCATTTAGACTGCGGAGATCTGGTGAGTCTTTACACACGCAGATATTGAGTTTTTAGAGGCTGAACTAAACCCAGAGAGTTATGCAGCTTATAATGAAAACTGGAGATTCACCTTTACAGAGTTCCCTGACTTCTATAGAGGGAAACAAGAGATATCTGACATTGACAGAGTACTCTGCCATGAAGGTGCCATGGTGAGGAACACTATAGAACATAATTCCCTTTGTGTTCTTCAACAATCCTTGCAGATCTGGGTCATCAGCTGCATCCAGCAACATTTTCTTCACAAGCAAACCTAACGGAGAAATCAAACACAAGAGGGCACAAAAATAAAACATACATTCTTAAACTGCACTGAAAAAATAAGACGTTTGTGGCGTAATACCTCCCATACTGTGAGCCACCCACACCACAGGCCTCTCCCCAACTCCTGCAAGCTTTAATTTGTTTAGCAGTTCTCGACTTCTGTACGCCAATGACTTCCTGATGAGAGAAACGGAGGAAAAAAGAAAACTCTTCACAACAGCAGACCCGTTCGTCTGGAACCAAAATGCTGTTTTTCTCACTGGTGGTGTCACCGTAAAGCACCATATGAAGGATATTTCCTTTTCATCATGACCACTTCAAGTATTTTGGTGTTTTCAGCTTGAGCCAATCACAAACATACATGAGTTGAATACAGATTTTTTACCTTTGATTGTCAGCAGGACAATTAGCCATCCAGTCACTGAGATGACTGTCATACTCCACTGACAGCACTCTCAGGTTTGGACAGTCAGCTGCCAGCCACGACTGCCAAAAAAATAAAATAAATAAAAAATAAAAACAGAACAGTAAGTGGTAAGGTTTATTTACTTGCAACATTTCATCAAATTTTTTAAAAACATGTTGAAGAGCCTTATGTTTTTAAGGTGATATGAATATTTGTCACCTTTGGCCAGCACTCTGTGTAGTCATCTTCACTGTCAGCTTCCCTCTCTTCTTCTAATGTGCTGCGGTCCCTCTGCCTCCATGTTTTAAAAGCTGCTCCAAGAATCCCATGGATGAACAGCACATCTGCTTTGATTGGCTGGCTGCAAAAGAAGTAAAAAAGTAACTGTTTAGTTGTATTTAGAAAATAAATGAAGTTAATTTTAGCATGAAACTATAACCATCTTCCTACTCAACACGTGTTTGTGGGTGGAGGATGTAGACGCCATCTTGGTATTTCTCCCTCACTGCCTCCCTGTCCAGGTTGGCCAGAGCCCGAGCTGCATGAGACGACTGCATCACATGAGGAGACTTCATCGTCTCGGCCAGGACAGACACCCAACCTAAAGACAGGTAAATATAGTCGAGTAGAAATTCTGTAAGTAATGTCTGGATAGGAAACCATGTCTTGAAATGGTGACTGACTTACCAGACTGGACTATGGCCTGGTGAACACTTTCGTTTAGTGCCAGATTTCCTATTACACGCACAACGTTCCTCTGGATCTTCAGGGACTCCCTTCGAAGCTGATAAAGTCTCTGAAGAATCTGCAGACCTCCATTTTCAACGATGTGGTCACAGTGGCTCTGCACCTGCAGAGCATACAGTCAAGTTTCTGTGATTTACAACAAGATATCAGTCACAGTCTGAGAGACTGATCCCCTGAACTGTAGTCACATGCAGTCTATATGTAATTACCTTGGAGTGCTGTACGAGTGCTTGCAGACAGAAGGACTCTGCTTTTTCTGAGGGAACAGAGGTGAGGCTCTGGGCGTAGGGAAGCCCATTACCCCCAAAACACCACAGACCACCCTGCAATAACAATTAATGCAACTGTTTTCCAACTTTTCCCAGCCATTAAAATCCCAAACGCTTTGTGCATCCATTTGTTGACAATACCCTTTGTGCCGCCATAGACTGATTGCTCTCCCTAAGTGCCAGTGAGGTGAAGTACTGCACACATCTGTCGACCTCAGACAGAGGCAGAGATGCTAAGAGCTGCCGCAGACCATCCTCTGCTGACACACCCTAAGAAGACAAAAGCATTGTTGGTAGCCGTTGGCAGCACATCTTTGCATGGTATGGAAATGTGTATGTATAAAAATATTATACTGTTTTATAGAAATACATACATCTCCTAAATCAGGCAGTGCAGGCGGCTGTCGGAAGAATCGCAGGTCGACTTGAGGTGTTCGGGCCAGGCCCACTGCTGTTCGCTGGTCGATTACTTGGGCTGCTGTCTGATACTGGTAGTCTGCATTATTCGAGACATTTGCCAAATGAGTTGATGCAAATTAAATGTAGTCGACCAGAAGTTGTGTTTTTACCTTGCCAGTGGGCATTTTCTGCAAGTTCCTGGACAGCCTGAAGTCTTACGGCTTTTTTAGGCGACTGTGTCCTCTTGAGAAGCAGCCACAGTGCAACCTCATGTGGGTCTGCATCCATATGACTAAAGTGCTCTTACACACAGACACAATAAGTCAATTTAATAACTTAACATATCAATACAACAAAGTAAAATTGTGCTGCTAAGACAGCTAATTACACAAAGGAACTAAACCCAGTCTATGTCTATTAATAATCTTAATCTACAATACTGCTTTTAGATTAAAACAGTCTGGGGAGTTCCATCACAAACCTCGTAGCGAGAAAAATTGTGTCGTCACCTTGGCAGCTTGCAATTCGCAAAAGTTAAAATGTTAACATTTTGTCCTTGAACACTAGTCCATAAAAACTAGAAAACTCAAAAAAGTGTCAACTGAGGATTACACACATTGATGTATGACACAAAAACAGGATGTTCATGTCTAAGGCAGGTGTTTCCTTTTTTGTAATATAAATAGACAGCCACAATGACAAGTAAATGCCCTTTTCTGTTTCTTTAGGCAGAAGTATCACCTTTCTTCATTCAAATTAAAGACAGAAATTTCCTACATAACACTGAAGCAGGGTTGATTTTCTTACCATCTAGTGACTGTTGGAAAAGCTTAGAGGAGATTTCCAAAAACCTTCTAATTGCTTTGTGAAGTTCCCTCCTTGCTATATGTGTGAGCTCTGTGAAAGAGTAAATTCATACAATAGGTGAAAACTTGGAAAACTTGAGTACAGCAGTTAAAGTCAGTGTCAGTTTGTAGTGAGCATTTTGTCCCACAATGTTGACCTTGAGTTATAAAAATGAGGTCATAGACCCAGAAAATTCATACAGAAAATAGAGTAGAAGGAGGAAGGAAAGAGAGAGGGAAATGATACCAGATGTTCAGGCCCACCTGGATATGGAAACACAACTAATCATGTCCTAAATACATAAGGACTCTCAGCCAGGTCTAATCCTGCTACTCCAGACAATATCACACGTCTAACACCATCAAAGACACATTCACAAAAACAGTTTATAGGTTTTACTTATGTGGCACAAAAATCTCTGTAAATGAAACTCATTACCTGTAGTCAGATTCTCCCTTTCAGAAGAGGGTGTGGCACTCAGATAAATGTACGACTTATATTTCTCCTGAAGGATTGCACTAGTGTCGATGGTCACAGACTTATTTAAGGCAAATACCTCATAAGTGATAAACAAGCAACCCCTGCAGAGAAGATGAAGAAAAACAAGATCTCAGAGACAACTTGCCTTACACAAACACCAAACTTTCAGTGTTGAAATCGGCATGGCGATACGGCAACTTACCCACAGACAACTGCGCTAGTTACTTTAGCTATTTTTTCTAAATTTTGTGGGAAAAGAAAATTAATATTAGTAAACAGTTTTAGGAGACTCCAATTTAATTGAGCGTTGATTTATTTACTATGTGCATAACTCAGTGTCCAATGAACAATCAAATTCTGTTGAAACTGGGAAGCAGAATGGAGAATTATGTATTTAATATGACAAAAAAAATATTCAGACAATGATTTTTTTAATTGTGAAAAAAAAGAAACGTCAGAATTATTCTAGTGTAATTGTAACAATGTGTGTTGTGTTTTAAGGTCATCATGATGGCAGGTGAATTCAGACGTGTCTCAGTAAAAGTGCATGCAACACGTTTAGATTTTCACTTGTAAGACATTTTGGAAAACAATGTATACTTTTTCCTCCGATTAACAATTATGTGCTACTTTTTGTTTGTAAAAAAAAATAAAATCTCAATATAATAAAGGTAAAGTCAAGTAAAAACTGTTTCAAAGTGATGCATGCTCTTTTTTTGAAAGAATAAGATATAAAATATCAGACAGGACTCGGTTTCAAAACAAAAAGCTGTTCTCAAATTTAAGAGAAACAACATTCCCAGGTCCAACATATATTTTGGGATCACAAGGATTTGCACATCAATGTATTTAATGTAAACTTCAATTTTATCTGGGGATTACCAATGTGGTAGGTCATTATTGTGTGATGTCTTACTTAAATATTTCCACAGGAAAACTTTATTCACACCAGGTGGCCCAGCTGTGCTCAATCTTCTACAGTGGATCAAACGAAGAGCTGCTACAGACATCCTCCACCTCTCTGCATCAGTCCAACCAAAACAAACAAAAACACGAGAGATTTCGCAAACCAGATGTATTAATGGGTATCGAACGATTGATGTGTTAAATAAACTCTATAAATTGCATTAGGATAGTCGACCCCAGTCCTAGCTAACTGTAGCTTGTATAGCATGACTTCATATAGGGTCATTCACCTTAAACACACGATCAGATATGTTTCACTTCGTGACACACAAATAAAACGCCAAAAAGTGACACATTTTGGAAAGCTAACACACCGAAACCCAGCAGTAATCTCTAACGGACTACGAGCTACACTAACGGCTAGCTAGCTAGCTATTATAGCTCGCACTAATAGTTAAATCAGAGGAGATATTCAAGGCCAACCAGCGAATAAGTCATTTTAATAGCAAGTTAGTATAGTTACCTTAAGTATTACCGGTTAACCTTTAGAAGAAATAATGTATTTATTGACTTCTTCGGCTGCAGCTGGTGTTTATTAGAATCTTCGTCTCACAAATATTACATAGTCGACCGCTATGACGTCACCCGGGGCCATCAGGTAAGCGAACATTTATTGAGTTTGATAATAAATACCCTGAATGGGTTTGTAGTTATTAGTGTCAATGCGATAGGCGTTCACACACTCTTGAGTTCCTCTATTTTTCCCGTACACTTTTCGCAGATTAATTACTCATTCACGCTTTGTGCTATTTTAACCTTTCAAACTTTACCATATTCTGCGCATTCAAAATATGAATGAAATATTATGAAATATTCAGCTTTTTATGATCATCTTGGGCCCCAATGAAATGAATGGAACATCCCATAATTTCTAAAAAGTTCTAGGAGCGCCATTCAAACTTTAAAATGCTGTCATATTTTTCAACTGTTTCTGAATTTACCTATTTCTTACAGAGTTCATAAAATCCCTCTTCATGTTGCTGCTGGCTTTATGCTCAGTCTTTAGAAAAAAAAATACAACTCCAGTGGCTCTGAGGGTTTCAAATGTAACCCTTCCAACACTTTTTCAAGGGTTGGGTTAAGGGTGGTCTAATTGATGGATGGTTACTCTAGAAAAAAACAACAACCACATTTTGTTGCAGAAGAAGCCTTTATGACATGGTCAATACTATAAAGGCTATAAAACTGACAGTATCCTGTGCAGAAATGTCTTAATATACACAAAGAACATGACCCCACATGTTATAGAAACTATGCCAAGCTTGTATATGATTATGTTATACGATTATTGAAACGCATCAGAAACAAATATGGATGTTTGGGTGACTTATTCAAATTCTCCTGTTGTGCCTGATGTCGGGGTCAAGGATTTGGTCAGAGGTACGGCTATCAAACCACTTATATCAACATGTCCTGTATGTTATCGACAAGAAGTCCAACACATTGAAACACTTCACATCGTATAGGATTATAAATTTCTTTTGGGAGCTGTGAAATATTGTGTTTTTGAATAATTTATTCACAAAGAAAAACTACTGGTACTATAAACCCCTGGCTCATCGCAAGTCACCTTAGGAAAGTGTTTTTATTAACAGGAATGTTTGGCTTTTCTTTATAGAATATAAAGTAGTGTACCTTATGTGCTCCAACATTTCCCATATATTGTCTTCATGCCAAATCTTTTTTAGGTAATATAGATATAAACTGTATCAACAACACTTCTCCCAAATAATTAACACCAATTATTGCTTGAGTAATTCACAAAGTGAGGGTGTAGTTGCTAAAAATCTATTGTTTTATTATAGTCAATGATCAATTATCTCTTACAAGTTTTCAATCTCACATATACATAGCTTAACAAAACAAACAAACCAAAAAACTATTTTGGCATCTGTAGCAATAACACATTCAAACTTGTACTATCAGACAGTCTCTATACCTTTAGTCAGCCCATAAGTATATATAATAGTTAAATCAGTGATCATGGTAATCCAAACCCACAAATATTAGGATTTCAAAGAGATTCATTGAGACTGACCATAAGAACATGAAGGGCAATAAATATGCATGCAAATGGCTGTTAGGCCAATCTAACCCTGTCCTAAGTGCCATTTTGCATAGTTTTTTACTCTCCTTTCAATTGAGCTTCATGTGTATTTCTTACAATAATAGTGCTTCATGTTTCTACATTTTGAGTATAAAATAAAATAACCTCCCATGAAAACATTTCTAACTGAATCAAATCTAAATATAAGCTAAGCATCTTTATGAATTCTTTTTCCATAGTAAACAGTCAGTTTCACATGTGTTTAGTATTTCATCTGTAATGGCAAGTAAATGAAGAAATGAAGAGATACAGAAATGAGGCTGCAAAACTCGGCCAGGTCTTTAGATCCTCTTTATCCTCATCGTCCAAGTCAGAAAAAGCACTTAATTAATTCATTAGGCATTAACTATTTAAGTCTTCTCACTCCTCTCAGGTACATGTTTCTTGATAAGCCCTGATAATGCTCTCATAAGCTGGAGGAGGGGTCTGCGTCACACCCAAACCCCTCAAACCATTGTTCCCCCAAAATGACTCTGGTCTTGAGCGGTTGACAGCTGGCTCTGCTGCGGTTTGCGCCAATCCAGGTGAGGTGTTCAGAGGTGGAGTACGAGGCAGCGTGGTCTGACTCCCCTCCTCGGCCTCCCTCGCAATCTGACTGCACTGTATAAGGGGATGGAAGGTAGAGGCCCTGAAGCTGGATTTATGCCCCACTGCATCCAGGTGATCTGGGGAGGAAGTTGGACGATGGAAGCTGAAGGCAGCGCTTATTAAGCTGTTGTTGCTGCGACGTTCGTAGCTGCTGCTGCGGTTGAACCCTGGGCGGCTGCGAGGGGAGTTCTGGGAGCGGCAGGGCGGACGGCGGGTGATGCTGGCAGAGCCTGCCTTGCGTCGGGACATCCAGGTTAGGATCAAGTAAACCGTGGCACCCAACAGTAGGCCCACAGCGATGGATACACAGAAAGCTATAATTAATGGAGCTGTGAAAAGAAAATTTAAAAGCCTTTATTTAAATTTTTTTTTGTATTTCATTAAACCATATAGACCAGAAAAGTTGAAAGGAAATTTTGTTTACAATAATCTAAATTATTATTCAATGTGTGTTTGCATCCACTCCACTTTACTACAATACAACTCAACAAAATCCAGTGCAACATGTCTTCAGAAATCACTTCATTAGTGAAGTAATCTCTGCATTAATCAGCTGTTCTGCGAAGGCATTAGAGGTTTATCAGTGAACGTAAGTGAAAGTCTTAAAGCACAAGCTTGGCATGATTCCAAACACAGCTAGACTACTGAATTAATTGAATAAACATTTATCAGAGAAACAGCCAAAAGGTCTGTGGTAACAAAGTGTTAGCTTAGAGAAGCTAAATAATCTCACTGCACATTACATATCTTAATACTTCACAATTATGTACCATTTTGTATTAGTCTATTAAATTGCTATAAAATACATTGATATTTCAGGTTGTAATGTGATAAAATATAAAAATTTTAAGCAGCCTCAATTATCCGTCTAAAATCATAACTCCTTTAAAACAATACCTTTTAAGATGATCCCACTTGGTAAAAAGAAAAACTTTTCAGTTTCATGTTTAGAAAAATTACTGGCTTTTTTTTCTCTCATTTTGCACAGAGGAAAGCCAACAAGTTAAACATTATCTGCAAATCGTGTTTGAGAAAAGTACAACTTTAAAACATTTTAAACTGTGACGATAATGAACATGGTATTCCTTGAAAGCAGACTTTAATTTCGTAGACTGTTATTCACAAGGAGCACTGGCAAACATATTGTACCCATTTTAGCAGAGATTAAAGCCTCAGATACTTGAGTAAAAAAAAAAGCGCCAACCAAGGAGACCACATCAAATGAAGCAATGGAAGGGGAAGGAAAAGTTAAAAAAAACAAAACAAAAAAAAAAACTCACCAGCATCAAAGGACTTCAGTATGTCCAGAATGACATTTGTGTTGTTTTCAGCCATGACAAGAAAAGAAACAGATCCCCCAGGCAGTCAGTCTTATAAACTCCTGTTCCCCCACTTCTCCCCTGCAACCTCTTTGTCAGTGTTTCCCCTCTTCTGATGGGTTTTCCTGTCTCTTTCAGCCTTGTCCCTTTTCCTGTTTTCCTACTTTCTCTCTCTCTGCTGCCTCACTCACTTTCTCTGAGACTCTTTCCGAGAGAGGCTGTACTCAGAGGCACGCAGGACCGACGGCGAACCCTGGCAGTCATCTTGTTTATGGAAGCGGAAAACTACACTGTCACATTTCCTGCTTTTCTGCTTGAAATTAGCAACAGGAGTGGCTTATCTAAGCAGGACAGAGATCCTGGAGGTGGGGAGACAGGGTGTTTCTGTAATCACTTCCTCTCCCATCACTTCCTTAAGTTTGATTAATGGGGGGAAAAAAAGTTATCACAACATAACCAAGGGATATTAAATATTTCTATTCAATATTTCTGCCTCCTACAAAAAAGACATCATTTTTTGAGGAGCTTTCTGTTTCTTGAATTTTAGAGGTGCACATTTGAAACTTCTGTGCTACATTCCTAACGGCCTGTCAGCAGTTGGATATCTGCAGAAATTCCAGCATTTTTGTTGGTAAGCTCAGTCTTTCCGCAGCGTCTGCCAGGGCAACGGCGTCTGGATTGAAGGGTCATGTACTTCAGTAAAAACATTACTTGTTTGACAAACCAACAAAAATACTGCACATACCTTGTTTACAGGAACATCTTTTCAATTTAATGTTTGTTTATTTAACAAGTTGTGCCTTCTCAGAGCCCCTCATGCTGGGCTTATTCTTTCTATAAAGCAAATCAATGCACAATTCAGTTTGCTTCATCATTGTCTGAAGCACAAATTCTGAAGTTTACTGGTCTTCTAACTTTAGTTCCTACGTCAGTCGAATTATGCTTAACATACACATTGTATGAAAATGCATATATTGAATTTCTTCAAGAAGCTAAAAGCCTAACTCGACTTTACTGCCTCGGAGAGAAATAAGGCCATTGCTTGAACTTCCTTGAATTGTTGGCTCAGCTCTGAGACCTGTACAAAATAACCAGCAACCACCCACAACACTGTGTGAATTGGTATGCATGGTTATTGTTTGGTTTAGTAGAGAGAGTGAAGGTTTCTGTTCCATTTATAATCGAAGACATTCTTTAAGCTTTAAGACTTCCTTTTGCAGTAATTAGCAGTTTTTCAACCTATGCTGAAGGACGTATTGCATTTTTGTCTTTTATATTATAAAACATCAAGAATCTTCAACCTACAGCCGAAACCAGATTCAGACATGTTTTATGTAAAAAGGCACATTTTTTGAGTTTGATTTTCTGATGAAATTATTTCTGCCTTTAAATTGTGACATTTTTTCACAAAAAGGTGTTTGGCACTAAGCCATCTTAGTGCTGCCCTCTATGGGTTAAATGGTGGCCACTGCAGTTGAATTCTTCTATTGGTTCAGCTTGACTGACGTTGACGTCAGAGCCCCGCATTCGAATATAAAACCATCTCATGGTTTTATAAGC